AATGCAAAAGGGATAGGGAGTTAGGGAGAAACAATACTATAAGCTAAAGATCATTTGGACTCACCAAGCGAGCGAATGGTGCTTTCCTGAGCAGAAGATCGGTACTCTTCTGGTACTTACGAATCTCCATCAAGGCTCTGGTTCCAGGTCTGTACCTCCTTTTCTTGGGAGACACAGGAGGAATCCCTAAAAAACAAGAGTCAAAGTGCTTGTTGGCAGGGCCTGTTGCCTCTACATCAAAGTTAAAAGCTCACATTCACCCATTTTACTTATGAGTAGTAAACACCGGTTTTTCCCAGAGCCAATCAGAAAAATTATGCAACATGATCAGCAGTGAGCTGTGCTCCATGATACTACCCACATCCTGGTTGGGACACACTGTAGAATAGTTAGACATGAACTACTCACCAGAAAAACCACTTTTTCTTGGTGTTGAAGAGAATGATGCTGTGGGAGATGGAGGTGGGTCACGACGACTGGGAGTTTTGGCCTTCCGCCGGCTGCGCGGTGAACTGTGACGCATGATTTCCAATCTAGTAGGAAACTAGGTTTAAGAAATACAGGCTGCAGCAGTTTCACTGGGAAAGGTTTTAGAGAACAACACATCGAAACAAACATTTATTTCACTGGGTGACCCGGTGCAAATGTCAAACTTCAGTTAAAAAAAGAAAGCAGCGAAACATGCTTTTGTGTTCAAAGCTCCTCAGGATTGGAATAGGTTACCTGCAGGGCTACGGTCAATCTCTTGTTAGTTTATTTTGTAATTCTGCCTAATATTATGACTATACCCAATGTATTACTTCACTTAGCACAGGGTATCTGCAGGTTTAAGGGAGCCAAATTTAAGACTTTTTAAGACCTTTTTTAAGGCCACTTAGCCCAAATTTAAGCTACTTTTAAAATTAAATTTAAGCTATAATTTCCAGCTATTGCCTGGAACCGGTGCCAACTTGCCCTTCCCCATGGTGCAAGCTCCCACTAGCTTAACCAGCTAATGTGCTCATCTAAAAATAGCCCCCTTTCACAACCAACTGAATGTGTACGGTTCTGCTTACGCCAACATCATACACAAAATATGCTGAAGACTAACTAGAAATTGAGGAAAACAAAAGGATCTTGTTTATTGGGTCTTTGGTAATTTAAGACCTTTGGAAACTGTATTTAAGGATTATTTGTCATTTTTAAGGATTTTTAAGGCCTTAAATTTGGAAAAGCTAATTTAAGACTTTTTAAGACTTTTTAAGGACCCGCGGATACCCTGTAGCAAGGTGTGACTGATATTTTTAGTGTGTGCCACTGCAGGATTTATTTTTGTTTGTGTTTTACATCTTAGACTTGTTTCTTTGTCTATTGACTCTGCTATCTTGTTCATTTGTTGTAAGGCAGGAGGACCAACTCAAAACTGAGTGGTTTTATCTTCCTAAAACATAAGTCGATGACAATTGATCTGCTGTGTGCTAATGTAAAAAACGCCTACACTTCTACTCCCCTTCCCATGCTTGGCCACTCTGATCACAATCTCATACATCTGATCCCTGAATACAAAGCCAGAGTGAGACGAGAGCCACAACAGAAGAAGTCAGTGAAAATGTTGTCTGATGAAGCTAGTGAGAGACTGAAAGATTTCTTCCAAACCACAGACTGGGGGACACTGTTATAGAAATGTACGTTTATAACTCATATTTCAGATTCAAATGAGTTCTATCTCGACTGTTTATTCAGGTTGCCACGTGTGCAACGTGTGCAACCCCCCAACCCCCGCTCTCACGGAGGAGTGCGCGCAATCTGCCAGGCTTAACTAATTTTCTGGGGGAAACCCTGTAACGTAAATTCAGCTTTAATCATTTTCATTCTATACAAAATCTGTAGATTTTAGAAGCATTAATGTCAGTATATCGGTATCGGCAAATATCGGTATCGGCCATAACAGTGATCTTAATATCGGTATCAGCTCAAAATTTTCATATCGGTGCATCGCTAATTAAAACTGATTAATTACAATCAGTAAACAGACATAAAATGTTAATACTCCTTTAAGAAGTTTTGATTGTTGGGATTTTATAATGTTCAATTTTTACAAATATAATCTTGGAACCTCACCACATCATGACTGGCAAAACTGTGGGAACTCCCTTGAAGGGTTGCAGACCCCAGATTAGTAACTGCTAAGGCAACCCCTGTAAGGAAAAGTCTAAAGATGATTCTGGAGGATTAATATTGATAAATACAAACATTTGGCATGACTTCTGAAAAAAAGATCCGACTTTAGAATAAAACTAAAAGATTTATAAAAACATCAACACAAAGACATCCTGAGACACCTTAATGAAAAAAATAAAGATTTGTCCAGCTTCCAAACTGGGTGCTCATCCATTCAGCAGCCGGTCAGAAACAAATGCTCCGTTAAACTGGTACAATTTTGTTGACACAACAGCCGTCACATTAAATTCTATTTACAGGTTCAATAAAAAAATTGTGCAAAATTTTACTTTAAAATATATACCAGGATGGTTTTCCTCCTGATGTCATGAGACGACTTCAGTGTAACATGAGTCAAGTTTTAATGCTGTTTAAAAATTGTGATAATTTACCACCTACTCAATTTTACACTACCAGCTACAACTGAATCAGCAGTGGGGGAAATTTGCTTTTTACAAGGACATGGTATCAGTAATAAATAAATACGCAGTTTGTTTCGAAAAGCTTTTGTTTTGCACCCATATGTCACACCATACTGGAATCACCATGTTCCGTATATCAAGTGGATGGCAGATCCCCCATAAATATTTGTAAATAAATAAAGGAAAAGAGGTGTCATTTAAAATTCTTCATAAATGTTACCCTGCAAAGCACTACATGGTGAAATTTAAAAGAAATATTATGTTAACTGTAGTTTTTGTGGAGATCATCCAGAAACTGTTCCTCATCTGTTGGAATGGGTTTAGCAGGTTTATTATTCGGCATATGTTTAAGGATTTCTCTTTAACATGGGAAAATGTGTTACTTTGTTCTTTTTTAAACACCAAAAAGTATAAGTATTTTGTTGTAATAAACTTCTTGGCTAAATTCCATAACCATAAATGTAAATTTGCTAATAAGATGCCATATTTTCATTATTTTTATGGATGTAAAACTATATATAAATCTAACTTATCACTTGATGGATGTTTGCGGATTTTTACATATATTTGTATAATTAATCCCCCTGGCTGTTGACTTATATATATTCGATACTTAACTTGTTCTCTTGCACTTTGAAAAAAAAAACACGAGTCAAGTTTAAACGTTCACAAAACCACACGAGAAACACTACATATATGATATTTCTTACAATACTCTAACTTTCACCTATTTAAAACTCATCGTGTTTGGACTACTCAAATGATATCCACCTTCGTAAAGGCTGTGTTGAAATGCTAAGTCAAAAAACGCTTTTACGACACTTTGTATCATTACTATCGCGCAAAATAGCAGCAGGTTTACACCTATATAGTTAAAAGACAAGCACATGATGGAACAATTCATTTTTAAACCTTGTGTACTTCTATAAAACGAGTAAATACCTGCGAAAGTTTCTAATCTGCTGATGTTCCACAGACCGTGTAAAGAGCCTGACGTTTCAAAATGAGCCTCTAGACATTTCAAATCACGGTTGGTTTCCTGCTTATCCAATCAGCTTCTTTTTCTTTGAGTATCCAATCAGCTTCGAAACACTGAGTTCTTACAAGGAGTCTGGTTGGCCAGGCAGCATTTAAATGCGCGCGCAGCGCACCCTGTCAAAGAGGGGATGTGCACGCTCTCGCCCCCTACAGGAAGTAACGCGCAACAGCGCTTTTTTAGTGGAGTTGGAAACCACAGACATGACATCAAAATGTAAGAAACAACCAAAGCTTCACGTGGTGGGCTTTCACGTGTCCGTAAATAATGGATAAAAGAGAAATAGCTAACAGACAGAAGAGAAAAAGACTGTTTGAGTAAAGATAATTGCTAGAACGTTAGAAAATGGCTTAGTTCCACAGTCTCAGACACACCACCAAAAACATTCTCTCCTCTGGATGGATGGTTATTTTATTGGTGGAACCATGACCAGCGTTCCTTGTAATGAGGCAAAACAGCATTTGTTATAAAAGTCAAAGCTTCATGACAAAAAGTGTAGAGGACATATTTTTGGCGCTTTCACGTCTGGGCCAGCACAGACCGGGCTGGGATGCGTCGGTCTGGGCCCCACACACACTTCTCAGGAACAGGGACATCTCTGAGCACATGGGCGGGGAAATAGACATGCGGGAAAAGTCTGTGGTGTCTCCCAAAATGACAGCCTTGCAGCTCAAGACATGGCAGCACTGTCTGTAGGTGTATGCTCTTCACAGCAGTGGGCAGGAAAGGCAGAGGGCTGCAGATTCTGCATGTAATCTCTGGTTACTCGCAGCCCCAAATGAAAAAATCAAATTGGCAGAAAAATGTATTAAAAATCGCTAATGGAATTATCTCTTTTAAATAAAGCTTCTTCTTTTTTCTTTTTTTTTTTTTGTTTTGGATTGACTGAGAGGAGGTAGATCAGGCGTCAGGATGCTGCCTGCATGGAGTGGTGAATAGGGGCTGTCCATCATGGAGGAGGCCCTGGAATGGAGACAGGACCTTCTGTAGACATTATCTCATAGGCTGGACTAAAACCACTCTATCCACCCAAAACAGCAGGTGTAAGTGGCCAAGCTGAGGACACTGACACACTTGTTACTCAGACCAGTCAGATGATGCATCAATTTTAGCACACTGACCAAAATAGCAGCACCATAATTCATGGCTCACATTTGTCTTGTTTTCTTTCAAAAAGGAACCAGAGGTGATGGTGTAGATCTTTTTGATTAGTCTGACAGCAGTCAAAGGAATAATATAAACAATCCTATCAAAATATATAAGAATAAATATTTGGTTGGATTGGATATATTTTACAGTGGAAAAGGGAGGGGGTGGCTTATGCTAGTGAAGGGAAAGTAAAAGTAAAAACTGCTGAACAGCTTTGTCCAACACAGTGTCCCACACAAGCAGACGCAGCTTTTCTTTAAACCTTTGATCTTCAAGGGAAAACCAGCAGCTAACATGCTCCATAGTTTGAATCCTTCTGAGCAGCAGACTGCAGGTTTCTCCTTTGAAAACAGTCACAGGTAAGACAACTCTGGGTCTGACAACAGGTGATCTGAATGGCAGAGGGGGAAAACTACTCCGCCAGAATTCATTTGTTTTTGTTCCCTGAACATTTACACTAACAGAAATGCAGTTCTGGAGTCCAGTTTGTCAGAGATGGGGTACAAAAGTCCCAAAGCCAGAAAGACGGGTACCACTATTGCTGGTATGGTGTTCAAGGTGAGAAAATGACTAAAGCCTGTCTCCTAAAATAAAAAAGACAACATTTTATTGACTTTTTAAAATGAATTCAACCTGTTGAGAACAAAATAGAAAATGCTAATTTGTTGAGTGTAATATAACAAACTATCTGTTTACAACAAATCGGACTTCCTGGTTTGGAGCATGTGACAATAACGAGCCAGGGACCAGTTTAAGCCTTCACCATAGCTTATTTGGATGAAAATCTGCTTTCCTCGGTTCTAGGATGGAGTGGTTCTAGGAGCAGATACCAGAGCTACTGATGACATGGTGGTGGCTGACAAGAACTGCATGAAGATCCATTACATCGCTCCAAAGATCTAGTGAGTACAGCGGTGTTGTCCTGCCTTTTAGATTCATAGCAGGGTTGATTTGGTACGAGAAACACTAGTTTAATTGTTGACATAGTTTTGTCTGTGCTGTAGCTGCTTGTGTCACCTGATTTGCCAGGCCTCTACACGTGTCAAATATCCCTGCACTGCAAAATCGTGCCTTGGATTCCTTTGATTTTATTGTGTACATCAGACCCACATGATCTAACGGTTCCCGTGAGGAAATTTAACTTGTTGAAACTGTTTTGTTTGTGCCGTAGCTGCTGTGGAGCCGGTGTGGCTGCAGATGCAGAGATGGCCACACAAATCATGGCATCCAATGTGGAGCTCCACATGCTCAACACTGGTCGACCCCCTCTTGTTGCCATGGTTACCAGGCAGCTGAAACAAATGCTGTTCAGGTAGGGGCAAATTGTCTCCTCAAAAAGCAAATTCAATTTTTGAAAAAGTTCTAAAGAAATAAAATTTGAAATGTTGAGGGAAAAACGTTGCGCACATTTTTCTGCTGCGTTTTCTTTCATAAATCTCAGAGTTTGCGTGGAAAGTTGCTTACGCAGTTTTCCAACCTCGTTTTGTGCGTAAGCAAGCTTGATAAATGAGGCCCCTGGTCTTTAAGGCCTTACATGGACAAGCACCATCATACATTCATGATCTTCTCAGTCCCTACACCCCCAGCGGTCCTTGAGGTCCAGTGACCAAAGCCTACTGGTTGTGCAGCACCAGGCTAAAGACCAAAGGTGACAGATCATTTGCTGCTGTGGCCCCCAGAGTCTGGACCTCTCTCCCCCTGAGCCTGAGATCAGTGGACTCAGTGGTCTCCTTTAAAAAGCAGCTGAAAACTCACCTGTTCAGGCTGGCTTTGATGTGACCTTCATCACCACTCTCTCCTTATTCAGCTCTCCCTACCTATTCCACCCGCCTCAGGACCCACTGATTTCCCTCTTTCCTATTCACTCCCTCTCTCTTTCTTTACGTTTTTAATCACAATTGTCTATTTTTGCTCATTTTAAACATATTTTTAATTATTTTCTAAATTATTATTTATATTTTAAATGTTTTGTTTTTGTGGAGCGCCTCATGATTTTTATCTTGAGAGGCGCTATAGAAAAGATCTTTTCTTCTTCTTCTAGTTGGTTATCTTGAGCTCCTATTCAAATAGCCTATTCTCAACGAGAGTATTTTAACTTTTATCTCAATATTTTGACATTATTCTGGAAATAATATGTCAACATTTTCCCTGCCTTTTGAGTTTAATCTCAGCACTAAATAACAGTATCCCAGGCGTCTTCCCCGGTCAAGGACACCAGTTTTCAAATTAAAAGTGTCAAAATTCTCTCACAATGCCATCCTTCTTAACGACGTGCATTGACCAGAGCCCCGTTTACAGACTGAAACTATACGCTGATGCAGAGAGACGTTTGTTTCTTCAGGTACCAGGGTCACATGGGTTCATCAGTGATAGTTGGAGGAGTTGATGTGACTGGAGCCCAACTGTACAGCGTTTATCCACACGGCTCCTATGATAAGCTGCCGTTCCTCACCATGGGTATGTGTGTCACTGACTCTATTGTGAAATGGCAAGGTTGGTGTCTGAAATAACCTATTTTAGAAACATGGCGATTTTTTTGTCCATCTGAGAAGACCATGTGCTGAGAGAACTTTTTCCTTATTTCAGTAATGTTTGCAGATTATATTTTGTACATAGCAGAGCTCTGTGTCGAGGGATTATGTTTTCAACGTATTATTTAGTCCATCTATATGATGTTTGCAATAGCATGACAGTTTCTTATGCACTGGGCTTAAATGATGTTCCAACTAGTGTTTCTAGCATCCATTGAACTGGGAAACTCATCCTGTGGGACATCGTTAGTATCAGGTTTAGTATTTGACCAGCTCTAGAGAGTTCTTTGTCAGGAAAAGCCTGGAGTCTAATTCTAGGACAAGGATTAAAAGAGCAACTGTTTTGTTTAACAGAAGCCCGTCGTTATCTGGAAGCTTCGCTGTCCACTGACTGGGTTCATAACTTATTTGATAGCTATGGATCACAAAGAGAAGTAACACTTTTTTACATAAAGATTCTCATCCATAGGTTATAAAATCTCTGTTGGACAGCAGGAAATGACCAAAAGCTAACAGGAAGCATGAGAGGCATGTTATGGTTGTTCTCCCAGAGACAGGAGTCTGATCCTGGATATTCTCTCTCTCTCTCTCTCTCTCTCTCTCTCTCTCTCTCTCTCTCTCTCTCTCTCTCTCTCTCTCTCTCTCTCTCTCTCTCTCTCTCTCTCCCTCTCTCCCTCTCTCCTCTCTCTCTCTCTCTCTCTCTCTCTCTCTCTCTCTCTCTGCAATAATTCAGCACTTAGTTTGAATTGAAAGAGTTGCCTGGATGAGAAGAAGAATGTCTCCCAAGTGTTAGCGTGACCTTCATCACCACCCTCTCCATATTCCGGCTTCCCCAGGATCCCCTGATTTCACTCTTTCCTCTTTGTTTTTGTGACGTGCCTGGGGATTTTTATCTTCAGAGGCTCTATAGAAAAAAATGTTTCCTTTATTCTTCTTTCTTTTCTTTCTTAGTAGGCCACAGTGGAATAAGTATTTATTAGTTAATTAGATTCAGTCTAATAATATATAGATTTATTAATTTATCATTATTAACGAATGACACATTTTATCCAAATGTTCATGTTCCTCCAAATCTGATCATTATAAGAAAGATCAGTCATTAGTTGGAAATCCTTATTATTTTCCATCTCTGACCCTTAGTTTCTCTCATCCAAATTTTTTTAAAAATCCTTATGTTTTATATTTTATTTTAAATTATTTACCTTTACACCATGAAATAATGATACAAGTCTGTGTTTTCTAACTCAGGCTCTGGGGCTGCTGCTGCTGTCTCAGTATTTGAAGACAGATTCAAACCAAACATGGAGGTAAGACTGACAAGAGCTCAATGTAATGTGAGATTGTGATGTGTTAGTGCTGCATTGGATCAGGAAGTGTTGATTATTGTTTTAGTCACATCAGGTAGGAGTTAGATTTCAGGTGAGATGAGCGGTGACAGTATTTGCCCCCACCAACAGGTTGTTAAAATGAACTAGCTCTTCAGTGTCCAGATCCACAGCAGAAATGTTTCCTCTGCTGATTTACACCAACAGGGGGCTCCTGCTGGTTGTTGCAAAAGAAAAACTAACAGTTTGATTTCATTATTTTCTGACTTGTAGGCAAACATATGACCACTGAATCTCGTCCCACTATAATCATTGAATTGTACCAACTCAAAACTCCTCTTATAATAATGTCTGACTGGAAAAAAAAACACTTTTCCTTTCAGCTGGAGGATGCAAAACAGCTGGTTAGAGATGCCATTGCTGCAGGCATATTTTGTGACCTGGGTTCAGGCAGTAATGTGGATTTGTGCATCATAACTGATGCTGGAGTGCAATTCTTGCGAGGTTATGACAAACCCACAACAAAAGGCAAAAGGTAAGCATGGTTAGAATTGTTTGAAACAGTTTCTGATTCATTTTCTCACTTGAACAGATGAACATAATTATTTATAATGGAGGTTAAATTCATGATTTACATGTTCTGCCTCACAGCACACAGAAATAATTTAACATTTGCATGTTGAAACAAAAATGTAAACTCATAAAACACAAATCTAACAGGATGAGCTGCAGTGGTCTCCAACCCTGGTCCTCTAGGGCCACATATCTAACATGTTTTAGTTGTTTCCCTGCTCCAACACACATCATTCAATGGCTGAATTACCTGTTCATCGTGTCATTAAGCTCTGAAGAAGCTTGTTAATCACCTATAGCCAGGTGTGTTGAAGCAGAGAAACCTCTGATATATGCAGGATGGTGGCGCTGGAGGGCCTGTGTTAGGCACCACAGATCTAAATGAAGTTTTAAAACTGTAGTCTGTAATAGATGTGATTTATTTTTGTAGCTGGAGAAGAAATGACTTTTTGTTCCTGCCTTGATTCTAGAGAGGGACGGTACAGATATGAGCCAGGCACCACGGCGATCCTGACCAAAACTGAGACTCCCCTCTCTCTGGATGTTGTGGATGAATTTGTTCAAATGATGGATGCTGAATAAAATACCAGGAAAAGTACTCTCTGGGATGTAATCGGCACAGTCACATAAAAGAGAAAATAAAGCTGATAAAAGAGGTTTTGTTGAGTGATCAGAGCCACGTGTGCAGCTACACAGCTGAAGAGCACTTTTTTATTGTTATTTTAAAAACTGTACCAGTGTCTAGCTGTGATGTCCAAAATATTTTTAAAAATCTCTCAAAAATCACCTGCTGCATTTACTCATATTTCCCTGCGGGCCTTTAACCCTAAATACATCGCATGTTGAGAGATAAATAGAAGTTAAAGTCATTTTAGTCAAGTCTTAAAAACTCGGTTGTGTATGATTTTCAAACAAAGTCACAAGATTTCATGAGAATTTTACCACTAAAGGGGTATTTGTGAAAAAGTAACACAGTGGACACTCAGAGAATAAACACTGGGTAAATTAGAGGGAACAAAGGAGAATAAAATGGTGTTTCTGGTCACCTTAAAACAGCTGATGTACTCGGCAAAGATTCCACAGAGATGACTTCTGAAATTATTTATTTTTTTATACTAACAAGATCATACATTGAACAGGGACCCCTCTAGGGCTGAATGACTTTGGAAAATAATCTAATTGCAATATTTTTCTTCAATATTGCAACTTGTACTGACTATAAACAAGTTTATGTATCTATATGTTTATCTACGTATCATATCAACAAGTTTATTTGTCTACATAAACACTCACAAGTAAAGGTGCAATGCTTTGCAGCCAGGAGCCCATCCCTTGAAGGAGCATAGGTATTAGCATCAACTGTGAAAATGTATTAACAGGAAAGAAGTGTGTCCCGTTTATTGAAGTCTTTTGTGTTTTGAGTTTTTAATATCTTGTCCATGCAGAGCTTCCGTAGTTCTGTTATGTTCAGCTGCTAGCCAAAACTCTCTCTCTCTCTCTCTCTCTCTCTCTCTCTCTCACACACACACACACACACACACACACACACACACACACACACACACACACACACACACCAGGCAACCTATGTGCCTTATAGACATCATTAAAACCAAAACAAAGAGAATAAATACAAGTCAGGGATAATGATTTATGATTTAAACTATTAAAGGAACATTTTACCAAACCACTTTATTTTTACACACGTTTTTAACACAAGATGTGAGGGTCCACCAAAGTGCTGTACAGTGGATCAACGCCATCAAAGAAATACAAACAAAAAATAAAACTAAATATTAAGAATAAAACCAAAGAAAGCCAACTCAAGACAAGCATACGACAGGCGAGACCCGCCAATAAAAGAACGTTATCACTGGGATTTTAAAGCTAAGCTAAAGAAGAAAAGGTTTCAAGATGACTTTTAACAAATTTTGGCATTTGCAAGCATTTAACATGGATTAAGCTTTTCATTCATTCATTCATGATGTTTCCACAGTAGCTGCCTTGGACCACGGCACTTGTTCACTTGTACTTGCATTTTGTTCAAAAACAACACAATAGTCAAAGCAAGCGCATAAACTCCCCGTCTCATCTATCAGCACGATGAAGAGGGCAGCAGGAGGACACGGTCACAGATCACACAGAAGCTCTGCTTTGGATCCAAGAGGCAAGAACAACATTCTGGAAACGGGGTCGTCTCATAACAGATTATTACACGTAGACATTAGCTGAGATTGCTCTGGCTTTAATAACCTTGACAGATTATCCCAATCACACTCAGTGGACCCAACCCCGGTTTGAATATTAGAGGCAGCGAGCATGTAGCTGTGATAGACTCTCTGTCCTTTCATGTCCACTCTCAGTTTACATGATAGCAGCTGAAAGAAAACCTGCCTTTCCTTTAGAAGAGTGATTCTCCAGCATTTAGGACAAGACCCTCTTAAACTTTCTTGATGGATCTAAAACAAACTTCTACACACCTACCTCATGAATGGAATGGCCATGAAAAACCTGTTAGGGGCAAGGCCAAGTTTAGATTTGGGGGTCATGTCATTCCTGTGGCAGGGCAGCTTCTCAATAGGAAACCACTCGATGTTCTGGAAGAAAGAGTCATATGGTCACAAAGCAGCTGCCAGCTAGAAGTATCAAACCTGTCAAATTTCGTTCTTACCCGGATCTCTTTCCTTGTTTTGGGGTTAAACTTTGTGTCCTTGGACACCCCCGGTATGATATAGAGCCGTACCAACTGGTCGGTGATCTTCTGCTCAATGTACCGGTCTTTACAAATGCGGTTCTTGATATCAAAGCCAGTCTCTTCCAGCACCTAGAGAGCAATCAGCGTGTTTGACCCTGAGCACCAACTATGCATCCAAACAAGAGTGCGTCACAGACAACAGGACTATGACGAATAACATTTCTAAAGTGGACCAGGTTAATTTAGACATTAACTTGCAGCAGGTTTCTGAGCTATGAACGTCACGTTTCAGTTTAGAACTCAGAAAGTTCTTTAAAAAGAGAAGAGAAATATCCTCAAGGACCAAAAAGAAGTCTTTTAACTCAGTTTTATGTTTACATATGGCTCCTACTGCATCAAGCTGGTCATGTTTTCAAGAGCAGGCCCAAGACTCACCTTTTTAGCTTAGCTTTTAACTATTAACTATGTTAAATATTATTTTTCATAGCCTGTTTTAATTGCTTGCATAAATGTTCTTCATAACTTTTTATCAGTTTTACTATCCATCTATGTTTTTACATTAATTTCTATTTACATAATTTACTTATTATTATTTATTTTAGCACTTGTTAATTTATATTTTAATGTATTTTATTATTTCCAGTGTTTTCTCTGTGGGAGCCGTCTGCCTCGGGTGCGGCGGTTGGCAATGGCGGCCTGGGTGCACTTCCGGGTAGCCCCTGGGTGGAGGTGGAGATCTCAGCCCTAACTCATTCGGGCACCCTGTGTCGGCACAAAGGCTGCTGCTTTCAGGACAGATGGCTCCCCTGGTGGCGTCTCCTTATCCTATCTGGCACATCTGAGCTCAGCTGAGTGTTGTTATGTTCTTAACTGTGTATGTGCTTGTGTGTGTGCATGCATTCGTGTGCCCTTGTGAGAGTATGTTTGGGAGAGTGGTTTGGGGAAGGGGGACAAATTTAGTTTTTCTTTTGTTGAGTCATATTTTACGTATAAAAAGCGCTTTAAAAATAAAGTTTTGATTGACTGATTGATGATTGATTGATTAATTGATTTAAAAGCTGACTCACCTCACGAACTGCACAGTCATGGGGAGCTTCATCCTCATTCACTTTACCCTTTGGAAAGCCCCAGCCAGATTTTGCAAGGTAGCCCTGAACAAGTAGTACCTGAAAAAGAAAAGGTGCACCATTTAAAACACACACAAGAGCGGGCATGCACATGTGCACACACATACACACGTGTAAAAGTTGGACACATCTAAGATTAAGATCAGCTGTTTCTCTTTAACACTTTTTGCTCTACTTCCTACCAAGATTATGGTGACTTATGAGGGAAGTATGGCTTCCCCGTGCTCTGAGATCTCTCCTATACCAGCTATAAAAGCTAGATCTGATACTCCTTCAACAAGTGAGCTCAGCACAAACTCACGCTCTCTAGTGATTCGTCCAGGATAATGGCTCCATAAGTCGGTACACCCATCTTGTACTCCTTCCACTGTTCTAGAACCTTCTGCACGTCTTCTCCATGGGGCAGAAGGAAAGGGCAGTGATGGAAAAGTTTGCATGTGTCAAAGAAAATCTAGTGTCTGCAAGCATGAAGATAAGTGCCACCCATGGAACAGTCTATGAAACAAGACACATGCTTTTTCACATGCAGTAAATTAAATATTAATTAGCAGCACAGATTAATCAGTAGAAGTAATTTTTATAATGATGAGACAAAAACGGATCATATTTCTGGATATCAGCTTTGGCGAAGTCTCTGATCCCACAATGAGGTGCTCCTGGAGTGTTCTGCATGCAGAAGTCCAGGTAGAACCAGTGAGCCAGCTCGATCTGGAAGCAAACTCTGATGGCGTTGTCCCGCTCCTCACTGGGGATGTGAAGGATGAACCGACTGGAGAAACACACAAACTGAAAATCAGACACGACGAACAGAGGTACTGCTCTGTTCTGTGATGCTTGTGCTGTGTTCTGCTCTTGCTCCATCAAATTGTTCTGTTGTGAATGAGCCCAGACTGTCGGGTCGAGGTGGGGGGCTATTGACTATGTACTCATCCTCCCTCCCCCTCAAGCGACTCCCGGGCTCATCGCCCCCCACCAGCTTCGAGGTCTCTGTTTTTGAACTCAGTCTCTCCCGTCTTATTCTTTTTATTCTATGTTACCGACCACCAAAATATAACTGCTTTTATTAGGGACTTCTCAGATCTTTTAGCTGAATATCTCCCCTGGTATGACCAAGGTATTATCCTTGGTGATTTTAATATTCACGTTTGTTGTCTGTCAAATCCTCTGGAGAGAGATTTCTCAGATGTTCTGGTTTCATTTGGCCTCCAGCAACTGGTCAATGTTCCTACTCGTGATCACTCCCACACACTGGATTTAGTTTTACCATTTGGACTGAAGGTGCAGGACTTGGTTGTTCAGCCTGTCTGTTTCTCAGACCATTTCTCAGTTGTTTTTAACATCTCTGCCATATTACCTGTAGTGAGAAGGCAGGCTCCTCACTACTCTTGGCACATCTCTCCCTCCATGACTGCCTCACTACAGTCCATCCTGGAGGTTGAATTATCTCATCCTTCCTCATCTGGGATCACCACGGATGTGGATGGGCTTTTAAAATCTTTTAATTTGACTTGTTCTGTTGCCCTGGACTCAGTCGCTCCCCTTGAACATAGACGTAAGAAAACCACCTCTGATCCTTGGCTGAACAATGATACACGTAGCCTCAGGCGGCGTTGTAGGGCGCTGGAAAGAAGGTGGAAAAAGGACAAGCTACTGACCTCACAGCAGCTTCTGATGGATGCCCTTGACCTGTATCAGAAAAGTGTTAGATCTGCCAGGAACAAATACTTCGCATGCATAATCTCACAACACCAGAGTGATCAGCATAAACTTTATAGCACTGTCAACTCCATCTTGTCGATAACTGAACCTGGTAGTGTTGATCCCTCTGGGTCATTGTGTGCTGAGCTCCAGACCTTCTTTCTTCACAAAGTCCGGGACATTAGGGATAGTCTTGTGCAACCTCCCTCATTCTCTAACTTTGCTCCCATCTCTCTTAGTGAATTGGCAGATCTGATTGGAAATATGAAACCAGCAGGATCTCCTGAGGACCCTCTCCCCCCCGAGGATGGTGGGTGATATCATCCCTATTTTGGGCCCCACCATCTTAGACATTTTTAACTCTAGCTTGGCCACTGGAGTGTCTCCTACTTCTTTTAAAAAGGCGATTGTGCAACCAGTTTAAAAAAAAAAAACCTGGTTTAGACCTCTCAAACCTTGCAAACTTCCGGCCAATCTCCAAATTACCATTTTTGTCTAAGGTCCTTGAAAAGATTGTCTATTCACAGATTACAGCACACATGAATAGCTTTTCTCTGGTTGATGTGTTCCAGTCTGGGTTTAGGCCACTTCACAGTACTGAATCAGCCCTTCTTCGCGTGACCAATTACATCCTGGTGGCTTCTGACTCTTGGTCTCCTGTTTTGCTCCTTCTATTAGATCTTTCTGCAGCATTTGATACCATTGGCCATGATATTTTGCTGGATAGACTTGAGTCATGGGTGGGCTTAGGGGTACCTCACTTCAGTGGTTCTGCTCATAACTGTCAAACAGAGTTTCCAAGGTTCAGTTGGGTAATTGTTCCTCTACATGCCTTCCACTTCCATGGGGAGTTCCGCAGGGATCTGTGCTTGGGACTCTCCTGTTTTAAATTTACATCCTCCCCCTGGGTTTCATCCTGAGGAAATATGGCCTGAGCTATCATATCTATGCAGATGATTGCCAGATCTACCTGGCTTTGAACAAACCAGGCTCCCCCTCTCTTCTGGACCAATGTTTGCCTGAAGTGAGGGTTTGGCTTGCCAACAATTTCCTGAAGCTGAATGATTCTAAGTCTGAGGCACTCCTCATGACCCCTAACTAAACCATACACTTATCTTCTGATTTGGACACTCTCCCATATGACCTTAATCAGTGTGCTACCAACCTGGGGGTGAAACTGGATACTCACTTTTCCATGGACCCTCAGATTAACGCAGTGGTCAGATCGTGTTTTTACCAGCTGTGCAGACTAATTTGCTTAAAACCGATCCTGAAACGAGCACACCTGGAATCCGTAATTCATGCTTTTATCATCTCCCGACTGGATTATGCAAATTCCATTTTAATTGGTTTACCTGCCTCCGCTCTTAACAGGCTTCAGGTCATACAGAACGCGGCAGCCAGGTTTTTAACAAACACCCCTAGAAGAGACCATATCACACCTGTACTGGCGCAGCTCCACTGGCTACCCGTAAACTTCAGAATCAAAGTTTACAATCCTGATTTTTGTTTTTAAGGCCCTGAATGGTCTGGCTCCGGATTACCTGTCTGATCTTGTGACTCGTTATGTGCCAAACCGGACATTGAGATCTAGTGATTGCCTGCTGCTTCGCGTTCCAACAAGGAAATACAAAACGCGGGGGCAGCGTGCTTTTGTCTATGCTGCTCCGACACTCTGGAATGCTCTTCCTCTTTCAGTGAGGCCATCCCTCCTCCGTTTCAAGTCACTACTTAAGGCTCACTTTTACGACCAGGCATTTTTAAATCCCTGACTTTTATTATTTTACTATGTGTTTTCTATTGACCGTGATTATCTGCTTTGTTGTGTATTTTATTGTTGACCGTGTATTGTTTTTATGTTGTGTTCTTACTTTTTATTCTGTACAGCACTTTGGTCGGCTGCCATGCCGTTTTTAAATGTGCTTTATAAATAAAGTTGTTATGGTATGTTCTTCGTCACATTATTGTTAATTCTGTGTTTTATACTAAGCCATAATTTACTTTATGGTTCACTTACAAAAACACCAGAACCAATAACAACAAACATCCAGCTTGCTCTGAACCTGTCCTCTTTATTATAGGACAGCGCACCACCATGTATGACCAAGTCTGCTAGATGCCCTGAGCTCTAGCATTTCAATCACCTCTTTTAGTTTTCTTTTACTAAATAAAAGATGTATGTCCTCATTTGAAAGCAGTTTAGTTTCCTCCACTAATTATGAAAAGCATCCATCCAGTATTCAGTCTTTGAGGCACACTGCAGCCAAGAGAACTGATGGATGTTACAGATTTCTGTTTGGTTCCTGATCAGCTGGGTTAAGTTAGTGTAGTTGGGATCTTCGTGTAAATTCTTTACAGAGGAGTATTGCAGAGATAAGAGATCATCTAACCCGAGAGTTGGAGCAGACCGATGTTATGACGGATTAACACCTGGACTATGGGCATCAGTCGTGTCAGCCTGGTTAAATCTATAAATCCGAAGATGCTCCCAAAATGACTTTCAGTCAGCTCTAGAGACAGGTTGGTAACTTCAAACGACACAACAAACAATAGTGGCTAGTTAATCTCTGACAATCACAACTCTGTCGTCACAAAATACAATAATCCATGTGAGTGATAAGGGCAATATTCCCCTGACCTGCACAGATCATCCAGGACGCTGGAGGGGATTTCTACTCGTTTAATTTCCATGTTGACTGAAAACATTTTAACTTTGTCTCACAGTGTAATTATTATTGTTCTTCGGTCACATCCTTCCTCCGTAAATCCTCAAAGTATCAGGCGTGACATTAAAAGCAAACGCTTTGATAGTCCACCTGAGAGTAAATCTGTAAGGCTTGTCACCAGCATTCAGACATCAATTCTGCTTGCTTCACAGCCAGACAGGACACGGTAAAAAAAAAAAACAACAGAAAAGGTTATAAAAAAGCATTCTAGAGTTGATAAAAACAAGAGAATATTTAAATCACACCTTGTTCTGTAAAAGGAGCAATGCATAAATTGATTTGGTTGTAAATTATTACAAATAAAAACTATTCAAACAACTCTAAATCATCCATGCATAAAGATGCAGATTAGGCTTAGGGTTGAGAAAAAACATGGAATTATACATTTTAATTATCCATAAAAGAAAGTCAAAATATTTTCTTTAAAGTCACTGGAGGTAGGTCGATCCTCTTGGTCTGGAAATGCAATGTGATTTACATCTTCCAACTCACTCCCACAGAAAGCAAAACCGTTTACCAAAATATACACTTCTGTCTGGTATTGATACATGTAGCTAGATCAATTTCATTAGTTTAAAATGCCCTTTTACTATTTGAAGGGGTAGGGTAAGTTCTAATTTCCATGATATTTTGTTCCCCTAAAACAGTTTTTGTCAATTTACACTTCTGATTTGACTATTGCCCATCAATACTTTACATCAGTTCAAGAAAAAGTTTCAATGTATGTGACATCTTACAAATATTTTAGACCAAACCCTGAGCCATGGAGGACATCACATACAATATTCAAGCACAATGAGATGATTCATTGTTAAAATTACAAAATTAAACTGTATTAATAGTAAAAAACAAAATTTCATCATTTTTATTTTTAAATCAGAACATAAAAAATGGCCTCAAAATTATATTTGTTTAAAGTTTTACATTAACATACAATAGAGAACATGTACAGAAAAAGAATACATTTTCTTTACTTCAGCTGATACAATATGTACATAGTAATACTACAGCAAACAGTAAAATAATGATATTAAAAAAACACAGTGGCCTGACAAAGACTGGTTTTCCACATCTTTCTTGCCAACATCATTCCAATGGGTGAAATTGTTAAAAGAAACCAGATTCATGAACACGTCACAGAAAAAACAGATTCTTGGTCTCTAACTGAATTGTTAATATTACTAAAAGGTATTTCCTGTAGCTGGGGTTCTTTGGGTCATTGTGAGAATTTTACAGACGATCCACTCCACGGATCCTCCTGGCCAGCTGAATGTCCCGAGGAAACACAGTGACCCTCTTAGCATGAATGGCACACAGGTTGGCATCTGAAAACAGCAGGACTAGGAAGGCCTCTGCTGCCTGTGAACAAACAAAAAAATAAATAAATAAAAAAGACATTCAATGCTCAGTGTTTCACATTCATTATGCAGGAGTTGGTGCGTGGCTTTATGAAACAGCTCATTTTAGGCACATATATTCTAAAATCAAACACAGACAGAAAACAAAATGCAGGGTTTCCACCAGCGCTTTAAAAGCCTGGCGAACCACCAGGCCAAGCATTCACCCCCGCAGTCACGGACGACCCATGGTAGTGAAACGACACGTACGCCCTCACTACAAAATTCTTTGGATATAACAATTAGCTACAAGCTGTCTCCAATTGTTTGTGACATCCATCCATCAGTTTTCTGCCGCTTATACAAAACCGGGTCGCAGGGGCAGTAGCTTAAGCAGAGAAGCCCAAACATCCTTCTCCCCAGCCACTTAGACCAGCTCCTCCGGGGGAATCTCAAGGTATTCCCGGGCCAGCTAAGAGACATAGTACCTCCAACGTGTCATGGGTGTTCTTTAGGTTCTCTCAGTTACATGTGCCCAGAACACATCACCTGGGAGGCGTCCAGGAGGCAGATGCCCGAGCCACCTCAACTGGCTCCTCTCAACATGGAAAAGCAGCGGGTCTACTCCGAGTAGGGCTGGGCGATATGGCAAAAATAGAATATCACGATTTTTCCAATATTTTATCACGATTTCGATTTTATCACGATTTTTTTATCCATGAATAGCATAACTTCAATTGTGTATTAAAGAAGAGAAACATTGAATAAATAAACATTTATTCATATTAGGGATAATCAACACAGTGCTAACACGCTTATATTTTAAACTCACACCAGAGATGATAAAAGCTCTGAGAGAAACAATTACAAAAATCAGTTTTTCTCGTTTTTCAAGTAACTTAACATAAATTAAAATCGTAAACGTATTTAAAGTGCAAACATGTCAATTGCAAACGTATTGTGCAAACATTAACTTGTTCAAAATACTATGTAGCTCCCAGTTGCTCATGTAGTGGATAGTTAAGCTCAAATACGGCTCTGATGTGCGGCTGGACCAGAGATCGCTTGTGGTAGCAAAAAACTGCGCATTCTGAATATTTTCTGCAACAAGTCTCTAAATAAAGTAAAATTTTCCAGTGCAGATTGGAGACAACCCATAGAAGCACTGATTTGATCTCATTTCAGAGAAAAATAGAACAGGTTAGAAGCACCTAATAAATAAAATTACTAACAAACTCAGGAATCTTTCTTTGCTTCACTGTTCTGGTGCTGAAAACATCACTAATGCGGATCAAAGGAGATACACAGATGAATGCACCTCTTATTATTTGGAAACTACATTTACTGCAGCTGGCAGAGGCAGAGATTGTTTCTATTGATACACGGAGTTTACAGAATCATTTTAAATGTTAATAGGGGAAGACTGCAGGAGGGAGCGGTAAAATACAGCAAAAACAAGAAACTACGAGTCTGATGAAACCCGCTGGTTTTCCATCAGGCAGTCACGGGGCAGCTCCAGCGACCGAGCTCATTCCGGTACCGACACCGGCTCGGCAGAGGGTGAACGAGCCGAGGTGACGTCGTGCTCTGCTTAAGAAGCGGTGTTATTTTCTTGCTTCAGAAGAAGCACCCAACGTGTTTTTACGCTTTCTCCGAGACATGTAACGTCACTAAGTTGTTAGCGCAGCGCACTAAGGAAACCCTGCGTTCCTCTTCGGAACGAAAACCTCGTTGTCGCTCAGCCGCGGCCGAAGCCATGTTTGTTCACACACAGGTGAAAACAAGCGGGGCACTAATATATTACTATGACTCACTCTGATTGGTTAAGGGTCAAACAAAGGCGTGTCATTCGCCTGAGGTAAGTTCCCTTTTCATTCAGAGGCAGAAATTCAACAGCAGAGCTGTGAATCGTGATAAAACGGTCTCTCAAAAATGACAGACCGTCAGATGTGTAGATCGTAAAACTGTCTAAAATCGTCATATCGCCCAGCCCTAACTCCGAGCCCCTCCCGGATGACCGATCTTCTCACCTTATCTCTAAGGGAGAGTCCAGCCACCCTGTAGAGTAAACTCGTTTCGGTTGCTTGTATCCACGATCTAGTTTTTTCAGTCACTACCCGAAGCTTGTGACCATAGGTGAGGGAACGTAAATCTAACAGCTCTCTCTTCACCACGACAGATTGGTACAACGCCTGCATCACTGCAGATGCAGCACCAATCTGCCTAACAATCTCGTGCTCCATCTTTCCCTCACTCGTGAACAAGACCCTGAGATACTTAAACTCCTCCACTTGAGGCAGGACCTCATCCCTGACCCAGAGAAGGCATTCTACCCTTTTCTGACTCAAGACCATGGTCTTGGATTTAGAAGAGCTGATTCTCATCCCAGCTGCTTCACACACGGTTGCGACCAGCTCCAGGTAAAGCTGGAGATAACGTTCTGATGAAGCCAATAGGACCATATCATCAGCAAAAAGCAGAGACCGTAGGCCACCAAAACAGATCCCCTCAACACCTTGGCTGTGCCTATAAATCCTGTCCATAAAAGTTATGAACAGAATCAGTGACAAACAGCAGCCTTGGCGGAGTACTACTCTCACTATTACGTCAAGACTGGATTACTGTAATTCATTACTCTCAGGAAGTCCACAGAATGTAGTTAAAAGTCTTCAGCTTGTCCAAAATGCTGCAGCTAGAGTTCTGATGAGAATTAAAAAGAGAGATCATATCTCTCCTGTCTTAGCTTCCCTACATTGGCTGCCTGTTAAATTCAGAATAGATTTTAAGATCCTTCTTCTCACATATAAAGCTCTTAATAATCAAGCTCCAACATACATCAGTGACCTGATTGTTCCATACGTTCCTAACCGAGCACTTCGCTCTCAGACTGCAGGTTTGCTGGTGGTTCCCAGAATATCTAAAAATAGGATGGGAGGCAGATCTTTTAGCCATCAGGCTCCTCTCTTGTGAAACCAACTCCCAGCTTTAGTCTGTGAGGCAGACACCTTGTCTACTTTTAAGAATAGGCTTAAAACATTTTTATTTGATAGGGCCTATGGTTAAAATCTGATGTTAGCCTGGATCTGTACAAGTGGGGGAGTACAGGGAGGTGGAGTGTACAGTCGTTAAAGACGGCTCTCCCTTGCCCTGCCTCCATCTAAAATGCTAGGTTATCCAGAGTTATCTCTGTAGTTACCGTAAATCCTCTAATATTAGCCTGTATTTAATTAACTGCCGGGTGTCAAATTTTGGCCGGAGTCGGCGGAGGTGAATAATGGCCGTTTTTTTATTGTGGCCGGGTGGAATGTGGTATCAAGCAAGTACAGGGGGCGGTTGTGTCATCCGTCTCACTTTTGATTTGCCAGTGATAGACCGCGAGGGTAACTTTAACCGTGCAGAGACGAAGAGGAGGCGAAAATTTGATATCAAGTTCAAAGAGAACGTGCTGATTATGCTGCAGAACACTATGGGGAGCAGTAGCAGGGGTTGTATGAACTATTCACTAGTCGACTTCACCGCTCTATAGTGACTTTTTATGCCTGTCATCGACTAGTCGCTGTCACGTGATAATGACCGGCAAGATGCAGTCCTCGGAAAAGACAGCAGCCTGCTGTCGGCAGGTGACAGGTGATGAGCGTCGGGAGGCAACGCGCTGTGCCAGAGCGTCGGCACTGACACCTGCCGTAAAACGGACATTTAACCAAATTGTGACGTTTACCCTCTTGCAATTTAACATTCCCCTCACCCCCATCCTAACCTTAACCAGCTTGCGCATGCAAAGCTCTGATTGTTGACGCGCTCCAGACATCTGCGTCCTGAGCACGGCCACAGTAACATCATCAAATCAGGTGTTGCCACCTCAAAAACTAATTTAACATGCGATCGTTCATGTCGGCTCATTTCCTTTTATGTTTTCTGTTTTTTTATTCTTTTATTTGTTCCTGATGCGTTTTGCTGCTGTGGATCGGGGCGCATCACCTGGTTTGTCCTCGGTGACGCGATGTGGCCGGCAAGCAGCGCGCACTCCGCTGTTTTTGCGGTCGGTAGATCTTTTAGAACTGCAGTTCAAAGGTAACTCATAAGGTGAATATATATGAACCAGGTAGCAGTTTTTCTTTACGATTGAGAGGAGATGCAGGAAGATAATAAACAGGCAGGACAGAAAAATAGTCAAATAAAAACAAGTTAGTTTTTGTACCTGGTGGTTGCAACAAACAGACACCATTGAAGGTAATCAGAAGTGAGGAACAGAAAATGAAATAATTATTTTAATGTTTAGAGCAGCAGGAACTCCGAGAGGCTGCAGGCGCATCAGTGAGTTTACGGCCGCTGCGCGGGGGGAGGGGGTGGGGGAGAGGGCTGAAGCAGAAACTACCGTTGTTAAAAGAAATGTGTTTAACTTTGAAAATGTGGGCGCAATTTTAATTGTCAAAAACTCCAGCGAACCATTAGTTCATTTTGCTCAAATAGAAATTGAGGCCTGCCTCTAATTCTGGTCCTCCTTCCAATAAAGGCCTGGAGCTTGATGAGCTTAAGTCAAATACAGGCCCGGGCCTGTATTAGAGGATTTACGGTGTGCTGCTATAGCAGGGTATATACAGCAATCCTTAAGTAAAATTTACTACTTTTTAATACTTTTTTTACTACCTTCAGAATTTTTTTAAAACCATCACAACACTAAATTGCAAGTGTTAATCAGCGACCTATTTACACATATTTTAACATATATAACATACAAAAAGAATAGACTTAGAGACTCACTGATGTTGACAACGTATTGCACATATTTATTTTACAATAAGCCAGGCACTTCTTTTCAGCGGTTCAGACAGTTGACCACGAGGCCTGAAATGATGCAGAACGACCACTGAATATGACGTCATCATTATGTGACCGGATATGCTTAAGTAGGGCTGCTCGATTGTGGCAAAAACAATAATCACGATTATTGTGACTGAAATTGAGATCTCGATTATTTAATACGATTTTTCAATTTATGTAGATTTTTATTTTTTTATTTTTATTCAGTCATAAAACTGCTCAGGGCACAATCAGGGCAAAAATAAACAAGAAACAAGATGATCACTAAAATAACTCCTGATTCCCAGTATAAAAAGACCAATATACTTATAGCTCCTAGTTTATGACCCAAGGGCTATAGACCTTGGTTTAACTCATTTAAGTCTAACCAGTACAGACCCAAATACCAATATCTTGCTAATACTGACAACAAGAATTATACAGTGGCATTTATAACAAATACATGCAAATTGATGTTCACTAAATTTTGCATAACATTTATTGAGTCGTGTCAAGGTGCTGTAGGAGAGTGCACTAGCACCGTGTCCTCAGAGAGATTAGTTATTTATCAGCGTGAGGAACTTATTTCTACCTTATTTATAAACTATTTATTTACAAGTCCATCAGTTAATGTAATAATTGTCCCAACCAAAGCTGCACCCCCCACCCCCCAACCCGGTCTCACAACAATCGGGGGCAAGCTGCACATGTGTTTAACGCGCCGCACGCGCACATTTAGCCGTTTTTATCGGCTCAGGAGTCCGCAGGTGCGGTGTGTGTGTCACTCACTCTGGTTACTCCAACAGAGAGCCGACTCTGAGAGCTGTTTCTTTAGCGACTGACACATCACTACATCATTCCCTTTCCTAATGTCCTGAAGAACGGTCCGGAGTGTTTAGCTAACTTGCAGGAAATGTCGACGACAGTTATCCAGAAAGTAGCTAAGGGTTACCAGAGATGTTTCTGAGGTGTTCGCTAGGTAGTTGGTACTTTTAAGATTTAAAAAGTCAAGAAGGGGGTCTGAGAAGCTGCTAGAAATAGCGTCAAAGTCGCCAAGTTGGCAACACTGTGGAGGAGCGCTTCATTTGCAAATCAGGGCAGCGCAAGTGGGAGGAGCAAATAATCGGCTCGTTTTATTTTTATAATTGTTCAAAACATTTCATTCGGAATATATTTCTATGTCGATGTTGAGAATACGACATCTGATAGTCTGAAAAAATAATACCTAATTTGGAAAAAATAATACCTCTGAGACCAAATTTAACACTTTTAATGGCCTTAAATTTGACTATTTTTATTTATCACTTTTTAATACTTTTTAAAACCCCGCGGACACCCTGTATAGGCTTAGAATGCTGGAGAACATACTGACCACTTTCCACACTACTTTCTTCTAGGGTTGTCACGGTAACCGGTGTAGCGGTAAACCCCGGTAAAAAAAAGTTGACAATAATAATAACAGTTTTGTTTTTAAAAAAACTATATTATCTCGGTGGGTTTACCGTGGCTGCGGTGTAGGCGCGGTGACCCTTACCAGCCACCGTATCATCTGCTGAAGTTGCCGGCGGCACATGCGCGCTTTGTTGTTTACAACCAAAACTTTCTTGAAGCTAGATGGCTTTGCCGCTGGCCGCTGCTGCAGATCGCCTCCTGTGTGTCAGGTAATAAAAGCGACAGCGACAAATTTCGCTGATCGCGGTTGTTTGTCGCCTCCCGTGTGTCGAGCCCAAACATACACATCAGGCTTGTGCCTCCTCTAGTGTCATTTTAAAGGATTTTATTTATTTATTTAACCATTACCAGCAACAGAAATGCTACTAATAACACACAATTAAGTGAAGCTGGAAAAATTAAAATACTGTGCAAAATTACATTCATCTCTGTAATTCAACTAGACTGAGAGACCATGTAAAGGCTCGGGAACCTTTACAGGTGCTTCAATTTGCAATTTTAAATTTAGCTGATTGGGGTCTTGTTAAATATCACACAGTGACTTTTTTAATAGTCTAGATAAGTGCAATGTTCCTGTTAGTAGTTCCTCCTGTAAAGTGCTTATTTATTTAAATTATTCAGGTTTATAAAAAACATTTTGACATACATTTTACTATGTTCCAGTCAGTCATTTATATTTCACTATTGTAGTAATTTATAGTAAATTAAGTAAGTTCAATTAACCAATTTTTCTTGCATTCTTTAATGAAAAAAGTAACTAAGTAGTTACTTTTCTTGTTTTTGGTAATTAGTTACTTTTATAATCTCGTAACTCAGTAACTGAATTACTTTTTGATAAAGTAATTAGTAACTATAACTAATTACTTTTTTAAAGTAACTTTCCCAACACTGTGTACCACGCTGTGGACATGCCAAGATCTATTGATAAGAGAGTGGTCCAGTTAAAAAGATCAAGACATTTGTGATGTTGGGTCCCAGCCGGAGGATAATCTGAGACTCGTTAAAGGCTCAAAGTGTTGATCAGGCAGAGTAAAAACTGTTAAGCTGATTTAAAAGGTGATCTGAAAGATAAACGCTGCTGCTCACCTCCTGCAGGGCAAGAAGAGCGAAGACCTGCCACCGCAAATTGCCTCTGCTATAACTCTGGCACACCTCGTGAACCTGAGCCAAGGGAGAGAAACAGGAACACTTAATCACACAGTAACAGAACTAGCATTTTTAATTTAGTGGGCTGGAGATAATGGAAATCACAAGACAGTAAATAAATGATCCTGATTAATGATAAGATACAGTGTCATCATCTGTCAAACAGAATAACGACAGGGATTTTTAAAGCTTCAGAAACTGTTCCAAGACATGGAAGAGCAGGGTGAGAGGACAGTTTTTTCAGATGTCCTGTGACATCTTCAAGAATGATGACCCAAAGAGATTGAATGATTTTTTTTCTCTCTCCAATGGCTTTTCTGTCTGAAACGAGCGAATGAGGCAGCAGCAGACACAACAGGGTCTCAACCACAATGAAGTGTGATGGAGATTATTCTAGGCAGCAGTCTGACACTCAATATCAGCACAGAGAAAAATACATTGCAATGCAAAAGGGATAGGGAGTTAGGGAGAAACAATACTATAAGCTAAAGATCATTTGGACTCACCAAGCGAGCGAATGGTGCTTTCCTGAGCAGAAGATCGGTACTCTTCTGGTACTTACGAATCTCCATCAAGGCTCTGGTTCCAGGTCTGTACCTCCTTTTCTTGGGAGACACAAGAGGAATCCCTAAAAAACAAGAGTCAAAGTGCTTGTTGGCAGGGCCTGTTGCCTCTACATCAAAGTTAAAAGCTCACATTCACCCATTTTACTTATGAGTAGTAAACACCGGTTTTTCCCAGAGCCAATCAGAAAAATTATGCAACATGATCAGCAGTGAGCTGTGCTCCATGATACTACCCACATCCTGGTTGGGACACACTGTAGAATAGTTAGACATGAACTACTCACCAGAAAAACCACTTTTTCTTGGTGTTGAAGAGAATGATGCTGTGGGAGATGGAGGTGGGTCACGACGACTGGGAGTTTTGGCCTTCCGCCGGCTGCGCGGTGAACTGTGACGCATGATTTCCAATCTAGTAGGAAACTAGGTTTAAGAAATACAGGCTGCAGCAGTTTCACTGGGAAAGGTTTTAGAGAACAACACATCGAAACAAACATTTATTTCACTGGGTGACCCGGTGCAAATGTCAAACTTCAGTTAAAAAAAGAAAGCAGCGAAACATGCTTTTGTGTTCAAAGCTCCTCAGGATTGGAATAGGTTACCTGCAGGGCTACGGTCAATCTCTTGTTAGTTTATTTTGTAATTCTGCCTAATATTATGACTATACCCAACGTATTACTTCACTTAGCACAGGGTATCTGCAGGTTTACGGGAGCCAAATTTAAGACTTTTTAAGACCTTTTTTAAGGCCACTTAGCCCAAATTTAAGCTACTTTTAAAATTAAATTTAAGCTATAATTTCCAGCTATTGCCTGGAACCGGTGCTAACTTGCCCTTCCCAATGGCGCAAGCTCCCACTAGCTTAACCAGCTAATGTGCTCATCTAAAAATAGCCCCCTTTCACAACCAACTGAATGTGTACGGGTATGGTTCTGCTTACGCCAACATCATACACAAAATATGCTGAAGACTAACTAGAAATTGAGGAAAACAAAAGGATCTTGTTTATTGGGTCTTTGGTAATTTAAGACCTTTGGAAACTGTATTTAAGGATTATTTGTCATTTTTAAGGATTTTTAAGGCCTTAAATTTGGAAAAGCTAATTTAAGACTTTTTAAGACTTTTTAAGGACCCGCGGATACCCTGTAGCAAGGTGTGACTGATATTTTTAGTGTGTGCCACTGCAGGATTTATTTTTGTTTGTGTTTTACATCTTAGACTTGTTTCTTTGTCTATTGACTCTGCTATCTTGTTCATTTGTTGTAAGGCAGGAGGACCAACTCAAAACTGAGTGGTTTTATCTTCCTAAAACATAAGTCGATGACAATTGATCTGCTGTGTGCTAATGTAAAAAACGCCTACACTTCTACTCCCCTTCCCATGCTTGACCACTCTGATCACAATCTCATACATCTGATCCCTGAATACAAAGCCAGAGTGAGACGAGAGCCACAACAGAAGAAGTCAGTGAAAATGTTGTCTGATGAAGCTAGTGAGAGACTGAAAGATTTCTTCCAAACCACAGACTGGGGGACACTGTTATAGAAATGTACGTTTATAACTCATATTTCAGATTCAAATGAGTTCTATCTCGACTGTTTATTCAGGTTGCCACGTGTGCAACGTGTGCAACCCCCCACCCCCGCTCTCACGGAGGAGTGCGCGCAATCTGCCAGGCTTAACTAATTTTCTGGGGGAAACCCTGTAACGTAAATTCAGCTTTAATCATTTTCATTCTATACAAAATCTGCAGATTTTAGAAGCATTAATGTCAGTATATCGGTATCGGCAAATATCGGTATCGGCCATAACAGTGATCTTAATATCGGTATCAGCTCAAAATTTTCATATCGGTGCATCGCTAATTAAAACTGATTAATTACAATCAGTAAACAGACATAAAATGTTAATACTCCTTTAAGAAGTTTTGATTGTTGGGATTTTATAATGTTCAGTTTTTACAAATATAATCTTGGAACCTCACCACATCATGACTGGCAAAACTGTGGGAACTCCCTTGAAGGGTTGCAGACCCCAGATTAGTAACTGCTAAGGCAACCCCTGTAAGGAAAAGTCTAAAGATGATTCTGGAGGATTAATATTGATAAATACAAACATTTGGCATGACTTCTGAAAAAAAGATCCGACTTTAGAATAAAACTAAAAGATTTATAAAAACATCAACACAAAGACATCCTGAGACACCTTAATGAAAAAAATAAAGATTTGTCCAGCTTCCAAACTGGGTGCTCATCCATTCAGCAGCCGGTCAGAAACAAATGCTCCGTTAAACTGGTACAATTTTGTTGACACAACAGCCGTCACATTAAATTCTATTTACAGGTTCAATAAAAAAATTGTGCAAAATTTTACTTTAAAATATATACCAGGATGGTTTTCCTCCCGATGTCATGAGACGACTTCAGTGTAACATGAGTCAAGTTTTAATGCTGTTTAAAAATTGTGATAATTTACCACCTACTCAATTTTACACTACCAGTTACAACTGAATCAGCAGTGGGGGAAATTTGCTTTTTACAAGGACATGGTATCAGTAATAAATAAATACGCAGTTTGTTTCGAAAAGCTTTTGTTTTGCACCCATATGTCACACCATACTGGAATCACCATGTTCCGTATATCAAGTGGATGGCAGATCCCCCATAAATATTTGTAAATAAATAAAGGAAAAGAGGTGTCATTTAAAATTCTTCATAAATGTTACCCTGCAAAGCACTACATGGTGAAATTTAAAAGAAATATTATGTTAACTGTAGTTTTTGTGGAGATCATCCAGAAACTGTTCCTCATCTGTTGGAATGGGTTTAGCAGGTTTATTATTCGGCATATGTTTAAGGATTTCTCTTTAACATGGGAAAATGTGTTACTTTGTTCTTTTTTAAACCCCAAAAAGTATAAGTATTTTGTTGTAATAAACTTCTTGGCTAAATTCCATAACCATAAATGTAAATTTGCTAATAAGATGCCATATTTTCATTATTTTTATGGATGTAAAACTATATATAAATCTAACTTATCACTTGATGGATGTTTGCGGATTTTTACATATATTTGTATAATTAATCCCCCTGGCTGTTGACTTATATATATTCGATACTTAACTTGTTCTCTTGCACTTTGAAAAAAAACACGAGTCAAGTTTAAACGTTCACAAAACCACACGAGAAACACTACATATATGATATTTCTTACAATACTCTAACTTTCACCTATTTAAAACTCATCGTGTTTGGACTACTCAAATGATATCCACCTTCGTAAAGGCTGTGTTGAAATGCTAAGTCAAAAAACGCTTTTACGACACTTTGTATCATTACTAGCGCGCAAAATAGCAGCAGGTTTACACCTATATAGTTAAAAGACAAGCACATGATGGAACAATTCATTTTTAAACCTTGTGTACTTCTATAAAACGAGTAAATACCTGCGAAAGTTTCTAATCTGCTGATGTTCCACAGACCGTGTAAAGAGCCTGACGTTTCAAAATGAGCCTCTAGACATTTCAAATCACGGTTGGTTTCCTGCTTATCCAATCAGCTTCTTTTTCTTTGAGTATCCAATCAGCTTCGAAACACTGAGTTCTTACAAGGAGTCTGGTTGGCCAGGCAGCATTTAAATGCGCGCGCAGCGCACCTGTCAAAGAGGGGATGTGCACGCTCTCGCCCCCTACAGGAAGTAACGCACAACAGCGCTTTTTTAGTGGAGTTGGAAACCACAGACATGACATCAAAATGTAAGAAACAACCAAAGCTTCACGTGGTGGGCTTTCATGTGTCCGTAAATAATGGATAAAAGAGAAATAGCTAACAGACAGAAGAGAAAAAGACCGTTTGAGTAAAGATAATTGCTAGAATGTTAGAAAATGGCTTAGTTCCACAGTCTCAGACACACCACCAAAAACATTCTCTCCTCTGGATGGATGGTTATTTTATTGGTGGAACCATGACCAGCGTTCCTTGTAATGAGGCAAAACAGCATTTGTTATAAAAGTCAAAGCTTCATGACAAAAAGTGTAGAGGACATATTTTTGGCGCTTTCACGTCTGGGCCAGCACAGACCGGGCTGGGATGCGTCGGTCTGGGCCCCACACACACTTCTCAGGAACAGGGACATCTCTGAGCACATGGGCGGGGAAATAGACATGCAGGAAAAGTCTGTGGTGTCTCCTAAAAGGACAGCCTTGCAGCTCAAGACATGGCAGCACTGTCTGTAGGTGTATGCTCTTCACAGCAGTGGGCAGGAAAGGCAGAGGGCTGCAGATTCTGCATGTAATCTCTGGTTACTCGCAGCCCCAAATGAAAAAATCAAATTGGCAGAAAAATGTATTAAAAATCGCTAATGGAATTATCTCTTTTAAATAAAGCTTCTTCTTTTTTCTTTTTTTTTTTTTGTTTTGGATTGACTGAGAGGAGGTAGATCAGGCGTCAGGATGCTGCCTGCATGGAGTGGTGAATAGGGGCTGTCCATCATGGAGGAGGCCCTGGAATGGAGACAGGACCTTCTGTAGACATTATCTCATAGGCTGGACTAAAACCACTCTATCCACCCAAAACAGCAGGTGTAAGTGACCAAGCTGAGGACACTGACACACTTGTTACTCAGACCAGTCAGATGATGCATCAATTTTAGCACACTGACCAAAATAGCAGCACCATAATTCATGGCTCACATTTGTCTTGTTTTCTTTCAAAAAGGAACCAGAGGTGATGGTGTAGATCTTTTTGATTAGTCTGACAGCAGTCAAAGGAATAATATAAACAATCCTATCAAAATATATAAGAATAAATATTTGGTTGGATTGGATATCTTTTACAGTGGAAAAGGGAGGGGGTGGCTTATGCTAGTGAAGGGAAAGTAAAAGTAAAAACTGCTGAACAGCTTTGTCCAACACAGTGTCCCACACAAGCAGATGCAGCTTTTCTTTAAACCTTTGATCTTCAAGGGAAAACCAGCAGCTAACATGCTCCATAGTTTGAATCCTTCTGAGCAGCAGACTGCAGGTTTCTCCTTTGAAAACAGTCACAGGTAAGACAACTCTGGGTCTGACAACAGGTGATCTGAATGGCAGAGGGGGAAAACTACTCCGCCAGAATTCATTTGTTTTTGTTCCCTGAACATTTACACTAACAGAAATGCAGTTCTGGAGTCCAGTTTGTCAGAGATGGGGTACAAAAGTCCCAAAGCCAGAAAGACGGGTACCACTATTGCTGGTATGGTGTTCAAGGTGAGAAAATGACTAAAGCCTGTCTCCTAAAATAAAAAAGACAACATTTTATTGACTTTTTAAAATGAATTCAACCTGTTGAGAACAAAATAGAAAATGCTAATTTGTTGAGTGTAATATAACAAACTATCTGTTTACAACAAATCGGACTTCCTGGTTTGGAGCATGTGACAATAACGAGCCAGGGACCAGTTTAAGCCTTCACCATAGCTTATTTGGATGAAAATCTGCTTTCCTCGGTTCTAGGATGGAGTGGTTCTAGGAGCAGATACCAGAGCTACTGATGACATGGTGGTGGCTGACAAGAACTGCATGAAGATCCATTACATTGCTCCAAAGATCTAGTGAGTACAGCGGTGTTGTCCTGCCTTTTAGATTCATAGCAGGGTTGATTTGGTACGAGAAACACTAGTTTAATAGTTGACATAGTTTTGTCTGTGCTGTAGCTGCTTGTGTCACCTGATTTGCCAGGCCTCTACACACGTCAAATATCCCTGCACTGCAAAATCGTGCCTTGGATTCCTTTGATTTTATTGTGTACATCAGACCCACATGATCTAACGGTTCCCGTGAGGAAATTTAACTTGTTGAAACTGTTTTGTTTGTGCCGTAGCTGCTGTGGAGCCGGTGTGGCTGCAGATGCAGAGATGGCCACACAAATCATGGCATCCAATGTGGAGCTCCACATGCTCAACACTGGTCGGCCCCCTCTTGTTGCCATGGTTACCAGGCAGCTGAAACAATTGCTGTTCAGGTAGGGGCAAATTGTCTCCTCAAAAAGCAAATTAAATTTTTGAAAAAGTTCTAAAGAAATAAAATTTGAAATGTTGAGGGAAAAACGTTGCGCACATTTTTCTGCTGCGTTTTCTTTCATAAATCTCAGAGTTTGCGTGGAAAGCTGCTTACGCAGTTTTCCAACCTCGTTTTGTGCGTAAGCAAGCTTGATAAATGAGGCCCCTGGTCTTTAAGGCCTTACATGGACAAGCACCATCATACATTCATGATCTTCTCAGTCCCTACACCCCCAGCGGGTCCTTGAGGTCCAGTGACCAAAGCCTACTGGTTGTGCAACGCACCAGGCTAAAGACCAAAGGTGACAGATCATTTGCTGCTGTGGCCCCCAGAGTCTGGACCTCTCTCCCCCTGAGCCTGAGATCAGTGGACTCAGTGGTCTCCTTTAAAAAGCAGCTGAAAACTCACCTGTTCAGGCTGGCTTTGATGTGACCTTCATCACCACTCTCTCCTTATTCAGCTCTCCCTACCTATTCCACCCGCCTCAGGACCCACTGATTTCCCTCTTTCCTATTCACTCCCTCTCTCTTTCTTTACGTTTTTAATCACAATTGTCTATTTTTGCTCATTTTAAACATATTTTTAATTATTTTCTAAATTATTATTTATATTTTAATTGTTTTGTTTTTGTGGAGCGCCTCATGATTTTTATCTTGAGAGGCGCTATAGAAAAGATCTTTTCTTCTTCTTCTAGTTGGTTATCTTGAGCTCCTATTCAAATAGCCTATTCTCAACGAGAGTATTTTAACTTTTATCTCAATATTTTGACATTATTCTGGAAATAATATGTCAACATTTTCCCTGCCTTTTGAGTTTAATCTCAGCACTAAATAACAGTATCCCAGGCGTCTTCCCCGGTCAAGGACACCAGTTTTCAAATTAAAAGTGTCAAAATTCTCTCACAATGCCATCCTTCTTAACGACGTGCATTGACCAGAGCCCCGTTTACAGACTGAAACTATACGCTGATGCAGAGAGACGTTTGTTTCTTCAGGTACCAGGGTCACATGGGTTCATCAGTGATAGTTGGAGGAGTTGATGTGACTGGAGCCCAACTGTACAGCGTTTATCCACACGGCTCCTATGATAAGCTGCCGTTCCTCACCATGGGTATGTGTGTCACTGACTCTATTGTGAAATGGCAAGGTTGGTGTCTGAAATAACCTATTTTAGAAACATGGCGATTTTTTTGTCCATCTGAGAAGACCATGTGCTGAGAGAACTTTTTCCTTATTTCAGTAATGTTTGCAGATTATATTTTGTACATAGCAGAGCTCTGTGTCGAGGGATTATGTTTTCAACGTATTATTTAGTCCATCTATATGATGTTTGCAATAGCATGACAGTTTCTTATGCACTGGGCTTAAATGATGTTCCAACTAGTGTTTCTAGCATCCATTGAACTGGGAAACTCATCCTGTGGGACATCGTTAGTATCAGGTTTAGTATTTGACCAGCTCTAGAGAGTTCTTTGTCAGGAAAAGCCTGGAGTCTAATTCTAGGACAAGGATTAAAAGAGCAACTGTTTTGTTTAACAGAAGCCCGTCGTTATCTGGAAGCTTCGCTGTCCACTGACTGGGTTCATAACTTATTTGATAGCTATGGATCACAAAGAGAAGTAACACTTTTTTACATAAAGATTCTCATCCATAGGTTATAAAATCTCTGTTGGACAGCAGGAAATGACCAAAAGCTAACAGGAAGCATGAGAGGCATGTTATGGTTGTTCTCCCAGAGACAGGAGTCTGATCCTGGATATTTTCTTTCTCTCTCTCTCTCTCTCTCTCTCTCTCTCTCTCTCTCTCTCTCTCTCTCTCTCTCTCCCTCTCCCTCCCTCTCTCTCTCTCTCTCTCTCTCTCTCTCTCTCTCTCTCTCTCTGCAATAATTCAGCACTTAGTTTGAATTGAAAGAGTTGCCTGGATGAGAAGAAGAATGTCACCCAAGTGTTAGCGTGACCTTCATCACCACCCTCTCCATATTCCGGCTTCCCCAGGATCCCCTGATTTCACTCTTTCCTCTTTGTTTTTGTGACGTGCCTGGGGATTTTTATCTTCAGAGGCTCTATAGAAAAAAATGTTTCCTTTATTCTTCTTTCTTTTCTTTCTTAGTAGGCCACAGTGGAATAAGTATTTATTAGTTAATTAGATTCAGTCTAATAATATATAGATGTATTAATTTTTCATTATTAACGAATGACACATTTTATCCAAATGTTCATGTTCCTCCAAATCTGATCATTATAAGAAAGATCAGTCATTAGTTGGAAATCCTTATTATTTTCAATCTCTGACCCTTAGTTTCTCTCATCCAAAATTTTTAAAAATCCTCATGTTTTATATTTTATTTTAAATTATTTACCTTTACACCATGAAATAATGATACAAGTCTGTGTTTTCTAACTCAGGCTCTGGGGCTGCTGCTGCTGTCTCAGTATTTGAAGACAGATTCAAACCAAACATGGAGGTAAGACTGACAAGAGCTCAATGTAATGTGAGATTGTGATGTGTTAGTGCTGCATTGGATCAGGAAGTGTTGATTATTGTTTTAGTCACATCAGGTAGGAGTTAGATTTCAGGTGAGATGAGCGGTGACAGTATTTGCCCCCACCAACAGGTTGTCAAAATGAACTAGCTCTTCAGTGTCCAGATCCACAGCAGAAATGTTTCCTCTGCTGATTTACACCAACAGGGGGCTCCTGCTGGTTGTTGCAAAAGAAAAACTAACAGTTTGATTTCATTATTTTCTGACTTGTAGGCAAACATATGACCACTGAATCTCGTCCCACTATAATCATTGAATTGTACCAACTCAAAACTCCTCTTATAATAATGTCTGACTGGAAAAAAAAACACTTTTCCTTTCAGCTGGAGGATGCAAAACAGCTGGTTAGAGATGCCATTGCTGCAGGCATATTTTGTGACCTGGGTTCAGGCAGTAATGTGGATTTGTGCATCATAACTGATGCTGGAGTGCAATTCTTGCGAGGTTATGACAAACCCACAACAAAAGGCAAAAGGTAAGCATGGTTAGAATTGTTTGAAACAGTTTCTGATTCATTTTCTCACTTGAACAGATGAACATAATTATTTATAATGGAGGTTAAATTCATGATTTACATGTTCTGCCTCACAGCACACAGAAATAATTTAACATTTGCATGTTGAAACAAAAATGTAAACTCATAAAACACAAATCTAACAGGATGAGCTGCAGTGGTCTCCAACCCTGGTCCTCTAGGGCCACATATCTAACATGTTTTAGTTGTTTCCCTGCTCCAACACACATCATTCAATGGCTGAATTACCTGTTCATCGTGTCATTAAGCTCTGAAGAAGCTTGTTAATCACCTATAGCCAGGTGTGTTGAAGCAGAGAAACCTCTGATATATGCAGGATGGTGGCGCTGGAGGGCCTGTGTTAGGCACCACAGATCTAAATGAAGTTTTAAAACTGTAGTCTGTAATAGATGTGATTTATTTTTGTAGCTGGAGAAGAAATGACTTTTTGTTCCTGCCTTGATTCTAGAGAGGGACGGTACAGATATGAGCCAGGCACCACGGCGATCCTGACCAAAACTGAGACTCCCCTCTCTCTGGATGTTGTGGATGAATTTGTTCAAATGATGGATGCTGAATAAAATACCAGGAAAAGTACTCTCTGGGATGTAATCGGCACAGTCACATAAAAGAGAAAATAAAGCTGATAAAAGAGGTTTTGTTGAGTGATCAGAGCCACGTGTGCAGCTACACAGCTGAAGAGCACTTTTTTATTGTTATTTTAAAAACTGTACCAGTGTCTAGCTGTGATGTCCAAAATATTTTTAAAAATCTCTCAAAAATCACCTGCTGCATTTACTCATATTTCCCTGCGGGCCTTTAACCCTAAATACATCGCATGTTGAGAGATAAATAGAAGTTAAAGTCATTTTAGTCAAGTCTTAAAAACTCGGTTGTGTATGATTTTCAAACAAAGTCACAAGATTTCATGAGAATTTTACCACTAAAGGGGTATTTGTGAAAAAGTAACACAGTGGACACTCAGAGAATAAACACTGGGTAAATTAGAGGGAACAAAGGAGAATAAAATGGTGTTTCTGGTCACCTTAAAACAGCTGATGTACTCGGCAAAGATTCCACAGAGATGACTTCTGAAATTATTTATTTTTTATACTAACAAGATCATACATTGAACAGGGACCCCTCTAGGGCTGAATGACTTTGGAAAATTATCTAATTGCAATATTTTTCTTCAATATTGCAACTTGTACTGACTATAAACAAGTTTATGTATCTATATGTTTATCTACGTATCATATCAACAAGTTTATTTGTCTACATAAACACTCACAAGTAAAGGTGCAATGCTTTGCAGCCAGGAGCCCATCCCTTGAAGGAGCATAGGTATTAGCATCAACTGTGAAAATGTATTAGCAGGAAAGAAGTGTGTCCCGTTTATTGAAGTCTTTTGTGTTTTGAGTTTTTAATATCTTGTCCATGCAGAGCTTCCGTAGTTCTGTTATGTTCAGCTGCTAGCCAAAACTCTCTCTCTCTCTCTCTCTCTCTCTCTCTCTCTCTCTCTCTCTCTCTCTCTCTCTCTCTCTCTCTCACACACACTCACACACACACACACACACACACACACCACACACCAGGCAACCTATGTGCCTTATAGACATCATTAAAACCAAAACAAAGAGAATAAATACAAGTCAGGGATAATGATTTATGATTTAAACTATTAAAGGAACATTTTACCAAACCACTTTATTTTTACACACGTTTTTAACACAAGAGGTGAGGGTCCACCAAAGTGCTGTACAGTGGATCAACGCCATCAAAGAAATACAAACAAAAAATAAAACTAAATATTAAGAATAAAACCAAAGAAAGCCAACTCAAGACAAGCATACGACAGGCGAGACCCGCCAATAAAAGAACGTTATCACTGGGATTTTAAAGCTAAGCTAAAGAAGAAAAGGTTTCAAGATGACTTTTAACAAATTTTGGCATTTGCAAGCATTTAACATGGATTAAAATTCACTGGCTGCACTTGGGTGTTTATGCATAACTTCCCTTAAGTCCACATGGGGTACGGCTCAAAATAGGTGGGGGACAACTGGGTTAAGTTACAAGGGGGCTTCTTTCTGACAGAATTTGGGTAGACTTGGTAATCTCACAGCAACGTCAGAATGAATATAATTAAAAAGCTAAAGAATTATAAAGAAAAGAAAAGGAAACTTAAGAAATCTGACCGCCCCCAAATGGACTCAGTTTGATTACAGAAATAAAATCAACATTCCCGAGAGCAGAGAGGAAACCTCTAAGAACTCTAAGACTGAGACTAAGATGAAATTGTTAAAAACAGATTTTCTGCTGCATTAGAACCTTCAATCAAAATAAATAAAGATTTTTACAAATGCTTTCCAAAGAGGAGAAGTGACAAACTGGAATAGATTGTATATCTGGTACAGCAATAGCATACTTACTATGATTCACTTCTATTCAGATAGTTGTGTGTTGTGTGTGTGTGTGTGTGTGAGTGTGTGTGTGTGTGTGTGTGTGTGTGTGTGTGTGTGTGTGTGTGTGTGTGTGTGTGTGTGTGTGTGTGTGTGTGTGTCTGTGTGTCTGTGTGTGTGTGCACCTCATTCTAACACAAGGAGGTTCTGAACAAACTTTGTAGAAGTGAAACAGCTGACCCAGACAGTTCGATTGTGGTTGCTGTAAATTTTAGTCGTACTAACTTAACTGTTCTAACCACAAACATCTAGTGTGTTTACTTCACAGCCAGATGGTCAAACTCAGAGCATTTGTCTGTGGCACTTATTGCATTGCAACAGGATGCAGCCGCGCTGTATATAAAAATCCATCAGAGAATCAGAAAATGTCTCTCCCTGGGGGGATGGTGAGTCTAGCCTGAAGATGCAACATCAGCACTAATGTGTTCAGTGGGGCTGACTGATGATTATTTTCAAGCACCCCACAGAGAAGAGCATTTGTGATGTCACACTCATCAAAACCTACAACAACTCAACACATAAGAAGCCATGTATGACCACAGGGATACATGCAAGAGGTTAAGCATCAGACTCGGCTGATCAAGGCCCAAAATATATCTGAGGTGTGCAAGAACTGACCATCTGACCAGATAAGCAATAGAGAAGAAGAATCTGACTTGCGCCAGTACACAGGTACTGCATGACCCACTTTTGCATCACAAGGTAAAACTGACAGGAATTTGAAGTAGTTCAAAATACTTTTTTATCGTTTTTTGGGGTGGGGGTGTTGGATACCTGAAGGAACATTTTAAACTGTCTGACTTCTTCTTACTGTATGTAAATAATGTTCCAACACAATTATAATAGTTGTCAGTGGGAAGCAGGGACTAAAAGCAAGCAAACAGACAACAGAAGGACTTCATTTGTGAGTGGCAGTGTCAGTATATAGGAGTAATGGACGTTACATATAGAAGTATGACAAACCCACTTGGGACAACATGAATGAGATTTATGAACTGTATAACAGAAATAAATTACTTCTTTTTTTTTTTGCTTTGCACTTTATGCCACAACTTCTATGCTATTTTCGCATTACAGTTAAGCAATCGTATATTTTACGTTTCCGCTTGTCCTGTATGTAAAGTTCGGGGCTAGATTTGGATTTGTGCACGTTCCTGTAACCAGGATGATGGGGACATACTGGAAAGCCACAGTCAATCACGTGGAAAGCAGATTTCTGATTCGTCAAATGTCTTCTAAGGACAGTTTTTCGGTCCAATTGACTAACAGTTTGTGCTATTTTTGGTACGACGCTGATTTCTTAAACTCCAAGCAACATGGCTGCTTTTCAGTAGGGCGCGCTTAAGCCACATCCACATGATGTTAGATCGAATAAAAACCAGCCACTCATCAGCATTATTGCGACACAAGTCATCCTGACGGGAAATGGGCGGTCCCAGTAGAAAATTCCTGCCAGCGACGTAAGTCAGACGGATTTACAACATCTCTTTCAAACGTGGTAAGGTTTTTGCCTAAATGAGGATGCTTCTTGTTTAGTATTTTAGGTAAGTAGTACTCTTTTTAACCCACAGGTGTAAAAAACAGAGTGGCGAAGTAAGCATGCTATGCTAATCGTGTGCTAGCTCGTGATGTACGATGTTGCCAAAACACTCATCACATATGTAGTCGTGACAAACTGCTTTTGTGATTGGGGACGTGTTTATTCACCGTCCGATGTCTGTATGGTTCACTGAGCGGAATAACAACATCGTTCGCAGGTAGGAGTTGATAAAATGCTGTACCCTGACTTTATTTTGTCTTCAGTTCCAGGTAGTCGTCGTCACGATGTGCGTGAGGGTCCTGCAGCTGTTTGGATTAGCTTGCCTCGCCTCTGTGCTTCGTGCTGGTTAGTGATCAACCCTCTTTCAAGTTTGATGAACTGAAAGTGCTGTGAAGTAACAAATACTAATAAACTGGACAATTTTTAAATGTCATATGTGCCCTATTTACATCTGAAAGCGATCCATCATTTTAAGTGTTTTATGTTTTAGTGTTTTTATTACAATTTTAATTTTCCTAATTTAATATTTTTAAAGCTTTTATATTTTTAATTATTTTGTTTTGTTCAGATCGCTTCTTCTTCTTTTTTCATTCTTTATTTATTCTGTTGTCTTCCTGCCAGAGCTGAAAAATCAGATAATTTACCAAGAAAGAAGCCAACATGACATACCCTTAAACCCAGAGCAGAAAGGTTTTCAATCAAGATTTGAAAAAATGTATTTTGAACTGCTTAAAATCCCAAAGTGGGTGTAAAACACACACACACACACACACACACACACACACACCACACACACACACACACACACACACCACACAATATTTAATTCTTCAAATTGTACTGAAGCTCTGGATATTGCTGTTAGGTGGTGAAAGTGATATGTTTATTCGTGGTTGGAACACCAGTTATGACCCATCTGTTGGGAATCTTAACATAAGTGTTTGCTTTAATAACATTTCTGTTTCTTGTTTTTACTAATCAGCAAGCCAAACTGAAAAAGTTCAAAGTCGATGAGAGGACACTTTCCTTGTGCTTTCATTACTTCTGCTTTAGGTTTCCTTATATTAACTCAGCATTTGCATAAACCAAATCTGAATACTAAATATTTTGCTTTAATTGTTTGAGCATAGTTCTTTTAAATGAAATAATGCACAGCTTATTTCTGTCCTAGTAGTTAATCTCAGTGTTACTTCTGAGAACTTTGGCTTTGCACTGATGATGCATTTTTGCTATGTCATGTTGCCCTAACAGGGAGTTATCTTTTTTTAAAGTTTCTTTCTTTTTCCTTTTTTTTTATCAGAAAATATGAACTATTTGGTGACGGCTCCACAGAGTCCAGTGGTTGAGATTGGAGCTAACTTCACCGCTACATGTGTGATCACAAACACAACTGAGGTCACTGCTGATGATCTTCACTGGAATCTGTCTCGGACTACTCTACCCAGAGAACTCTATACAAAGATCAACACCTCAGCACTTAATGTCACCGTGCCCATTGTGGGTGAAAAGCCTGAGTGGTTATTTTGTGCCAGCAAGAAGGATTCTCTCTATGTCACCCTGAATAAGAGCAGATTTATTCATGGGATATGGCTCAAGAAAGGCTGTAGGTGTAACCTATATTTGTCTTTTACCCTAAAATATTATTATTTACTGCAGTTTTTAGCTACTTTTTCAAAAATGTGTCTTACTTTCTCCTTTCTTCCTTGCTTTTGTCTGTGATCTTCAGTAGAGTCCTGTACATTTGCTAATTGAAAAGAAATTATAAACATTACACAGATCTAATGGGATGAGCTACAGTGGTCTTAGGGGTCTGTTCTGTTCTGGTCCTCCTGCTTAGACTCCATTAAAACCTGGAATCTTGGGGTGACCTTTGACCCAGCTCTCACCCTGAGGTCCAGTGATCAAAGCCTACTGGTTGTGCAGTGCACCAGGCTAAAGACCAAAGGTGACAGATCATTTGCTGCTGTGGCCCCCAGACTCTGGAACTCTCTCCCCCAGGTCTGAGATCAGTGGACTCGGTGGTCTCCTTTAAAAAGCAGTTGAAAACTCACCTGTTCAGGCTGGATTTTGCATGAGCTTCGGTTCATCTGCTTCATCTTCACTGGCTTCTTTTCATGTTGCGATTTCCTGATCCTGTAATTTTCATTTCTTTACATTTTTAATCATAGTTTTTCATTTTTTTCTTCAAATGTTTATTATGGTCTCTTTTGATCATTTTTATATTTTTATCCCTCTTGTGGAGCTTGAATTTTATTTTGAGAGGAGCTATATAAAAATTCTTCTTCGCAACATTGAAGTAGTTTGGTTTAGATATGACTCAAAGTAGAGGTATTCAGGTCCAGGCCTGGAGGGCTGGTATCAGCACATTTTAGTTTCAACTTTGTTTAAACACGCCTGATTTCAATCAGGCTTCTGAAGAGCCTGATGACCTACTGCACAGGTGGTTCAACTACTGAATCAAGCATGTTGTAGCAGAGGAGCAACTAAAACGTGCTGGATACTGTACCTCCAAGCCCGGGGCTGAATACCACTGACTTAGAAGGAGACTCGGCAGTTTTGACTTGCTTTTAGCACCCCCTAGTGTCCGTTTCCTTAAACCAAACGCAAAAACTATCTCGTCTCTGTGCATTCATCTTTTTAACCTCATTCTAACAGTTGGAACGTCTCCCAGCCTTCCTTGGTGTGTAGAGGGGTGGTTAATCACTAAATTAAACAAATCAGCTGTGTTCATGAACTACAACATGCAGGAAACGTGCTGGAACCAGACCGGCAGACCGGACCTGTTACTGTGAAGTTGCAAGTGTTCAGCCTCGGGGGCTGGGTGGCATTTCATTAACTTTGTAAAGGGCCGTTTTAGCACTTACTGGCTCAGGAAAATGATTTAGAAATATGAAAAAGTTGCAAAGTGTCCCTTTGATGTGGTAGCACACTGCTGTAATTGAGATGTCTTTTTGTGTGTCCTGATGTCAGATCGTCCAGAGAAACCAGAGAATTTGTCCTGCATCGCTCTACAGGAGGGCGACCACATCTCTTCAACTTTCAGCTGTAAATGGCAAACAGCTGGACGTCAAACCCCATACGTCCCTACGACATACACATTGATGGTTAAAGTGTTGAAGTGAGTACACTGTGTTATAGGTGGCATTACTGTTTGAAAGTCAAGTTCCCAGTAAATTATAGCAGATGGTGTTAGTGGTTATGTACCTGTGAGTGTTGTTGGGATGTTTTCTGTCCACATGACGCAGTTGAGTTCATTGTTCAGTTAGTTTTATACGCTGAATGAGTTGATGCCTGTTCTCCTGTTGCATATAAAATCAGCACCTGTCTGACTCCAGTAGCTCTCTAACCTCTCTAGATTTTACAATTCTGCCATTTTGGTGGCTTTGAAAACTGACTCCATGTCTCCAAGACTCTCTTAGTCAGTTGGGACATGATGGAGAGGACGAGGAGGAAGTTCTTCTCCGTGAGGAATGTGTGAAGAGGATATGGAGGACACCATTCTCCCTCTTGCTCAGATGTCATGAGGATATGTCATCCTAGTTGTGGACATTCTTACTGTCCTCATTCATAATAGACGCGTTGTTTAAAACAAAATTATGAATTTTCTTTTATACAAGACAGTTGTGTTTTTTTAAGGCCCCTGAAATGGTGGCATTGCAAAATCAGATATCAGAGATGAGGTGCCGTCACATCAAGCATGTGACTGGTCTGGCTGGGTGGTAGTGGAGCTGCCATGGTCAGCCACATGGTCACCTTCATAACCAAATACTAAATTTATAAAGTGAAAGTTATTTAAAAAGCTTGAAATGAACTACATTTTCAGCAAAAGGGCAGTATTGCTGTATGCTGATTCATCCTTTCAACACAAATTTTGTACAATTCAGAGAAATCTACCAGCTGTTCAGTGGAACGGAGTAATCCATTCTTCAGGAAACATGACAGCATTTTTACCACAAGCTACCCACATTCATGAGTGTGCATAATGCTTAAACACACAGGGGTTAGCTGTGTAGCAGGATGTCGCCTTCACTGTATTAGCGTCACCCTACAGTCCTCTTGAACCAAAAGCACTGAAGTAGAGGTGGAGTGTGTTGTAGGTGCATCAGTAATAGTTGAGGTGAGGTGCTATCCAAGAGGGTTCGGGAAGTTTTGACCTGTTGTTGGTGGGTTTTCCCAGATTGTCGGTGGTACTGAGCTGCTTTTATTTTGAAGTTGAGAATAAACCAAGAACGTTAAAAACTGCCTCATTTTCACCATAAAAATGCCACACTGTATTGGTTAGTTTTACTAAATTGTTATGCAGTCACATGTTAGGAATTCTGGCAGAAAACGGGTCAAATGTAAAACTGTATGTTTGTAAACTGTGTATTTACAAAAATTAGCTAGCTCAACCGACAAGAAAAACGTCTCATATTGCCCCTTTAACAGCAAAGCAAAAGACAGAACTGGTTAAATGTCTCCTCCACCATTGGGGGCTACATTATCATTCCTCAGAATCTGTTTATCTACATTGAGGAATAAAACAAAACATTTATATTTTCCAATAAGAAGGGATTTTAAAAATCTGTATTTCTGACTAAATACAGTTTGCACGAAGAGGTGCAAATGCGGCAGAAAAGCTTTTATTAGACTATCCATGTTCGTGTGGACAGAGCCTAAACATGTAGGAGTATTTGATGTGTTCTGCTGAACTATATAAAACTTTCTTGTCTGCAGAGATGAGATGTATAACGCATCAACAACTAAGAACAGTGCCGACGTGTTGATGGTCTTCCCTAGTCATATGTCTCTGGAGGTCTGGGTCCAGGCACACAATCTACTGGGAACTGTTGAGTCTGAGCATTTGAAGGTGGATGATGCTAATTACTTTGGTGAGTGAAATGTTGGTGTTTTTGTCTGGAGCTGACCTACAACGTGTATCCATAAAAAAACGATACTGTCTTTGACTGCCTGTTGTTGCAGTGAAAACAAACCCTCCTTTGAACGTACAACTGATTCGAGAGGAGATATTTCCTACTTCCCTTCTCGTTAACTGGAGTCATCCTATTGCTCCTCAATATTTACATCTGAAATATCAAATCCGATTCTGTCCACGTGGATCCCACAACTGGAGCTATGTAAGTGTCTTTAACTTATGTCTTAAGTGGATTTTTAAATGCAAAATCATAAAACAAAACTCTTGAGCTGTCGGCGGCATATAGCAGGGTTATGGAATTTTACATCATCATAATTCTCTATCTAACAAATCCAGGCCTCTCACTCACTGAGATGGCTTTGTGTTTGACAGGTACCTCTTTCAGACACTGACCAACACACGCGTTCCTTCAGGCTGCAGAGTCTTCAACCATACACAGATTACTTCATTCAGGTGTCCTGCAAGCATACCAAGAAGGACTACGGCTACTGGAGTGACTGGAGCGCGAATGCAACCATGAGAACTCCTGAGGATTGTAAGTATTATGGTTCAGATTAAAAACGCAGAGGTGGACTGAGAAACTGGATTCAGAACATCTGACTCACAAACAAAAAATAATAACAATGGCAAATATTTCATCAGGTTTTGGCACACCTTGTGTTTCATAAATCTTCAGTTTCACTGGTTTTGATGTTACTTTAATGAGTACAATAACAATTTCCTGAATAGTGTGTGAGATTGCTGTACTCGGCGATCTGTTTACATTTCAAAAGGAAATTTCAATGTTTAACCCCTGGTGTACAGGAAAGGGTCTCCTTCAGCCCGCCTACGGAAACACCTGCTTCTAGCAGCTGCCGTCACAAGTTGATCTGACACACAGGGCGGTTACAGAGAGCTGAGACGGGCTGCAGGCTGGTCCTGGAGTGAGTTTATTAGGCCTCTGTCTGGTTCCACATCACTGCAGAAGGAAACTTGCACGCATGCATGAAGCACATGCAATGTGTGACTGCTTTGTTCGTTCTGGTAGTTGGGGGTAGTATTTTAAGGGTTTACATGAGATAAAGACAGAAGGAAGGGAAAACATGATGACCTACAACCCTGCCTTGGCTAGGGGCGGTCCCCATGGCCTGGCTCACAATCTAGATCTATTTCTGGAAGTTCCAACCACCCTATTATGTAAAACATGTACAGTGGTACCTCGGCCGTTGGGATAAACAGGGGGAGCGTTCTCACTTCTGTATTGTTTGCTGATGCGAAGCAGCTTCTGGTTGCATGAATTGCTATAGATATTTGGATAATCCAGGACGTAATCCAGTACTGAAGTATTTAATGTGTGAATCCTAGTTAATAATCACAGTACAGTAGATCTGGTGGATAGAAAAACAAACCACCTCTTGATCTCCACACATGAATCACAGATAGATGGGAGCACATGACAGTTTAGCAAATGATTCAAGTTTATTCAGTAAGTGTTGCTGGAGCAAGATCAACTGGTTTCACGGGTTTACTTAGAACTGTTTACAGGCCACCTTTCCCATTAGCATGGGTCGTTCCTGTTATCTGCTACAAGTAGTTTTACAGTCTGTCTAGAGTGTTTATGTGGAGCCTAAGTCCCCTCCCCTTCGGGTCGGCACACGGGTCCCCTGAACAAAAGACGGTGAACATGACATTCTAAATGTTGGCCAGACTTGGGAGATCCTGTGATCATGTTCTCTCCACAGAAATGTAGAAAACATTTTATGAAGGACCCCCCCTGCTCTCACACACACACACACACACACACACACACACACACACACACACACACTCACACACAGCGCTTAAATAATTACTTCCCTTTTTTTTTCACACAGTACCAGAAAGACCCAGTTTATGGAAAACAACAGCTGATGGTGTAAATGGACAAGAAGTGCTGATAATTTGCAAGGTAAATATTTTGAACACTAAGCTGTTTGACCTGATGATGGCTGAGTATTACTAAAGTTAGAGCTGTAGTGCAAAGCACTTTGGAGTCAGGAAAAGTCCTTACAAGTGCAGGTCATTCATCACCACCATTACTGGAACATTGTTTTAATGGTGAGCAGACTGAAGGTCTGAGTTGATGCATCACTCGCAGAAATCCTCTAGTGTCAGTTATTCAGTAATGGCAAAAAATCCATTGATTTTTGATTTGGAATTTTATAATTGAGTACCTCACAAACTCTGGCTCTTAAAGACTAACCTCAATAGAAATGGTAATAAACATCATCGATGTGGCAGCAGACCACCTCAACAGCACTTCTTACATCTGATCTGCTCTTAAAAATGAAAATAATGTGAAATGAGTCTTCTTAAAGGTGAGGTTCAGCGAGAAACTGGTTTTTAAATTGTTCTTTTTGAAATATGAGTTTCACATGCAGGCTATACGTGAAAGTAGTCGTTTGCCCCTATTTTCTGCATTAGCCGCCAAAAAAATGGATAAGGAGACGCTTGGTTCAGGAACAGCTACACAGGTCTATGTCTCACTGAAAATTAGCATTCCTGGACTCGCCCATCATGGCCTGTGACGGGAAAGGCTGTGTTGATTTTAGCAGCCAGGAGACAGCAGAGTGTGTTTCAGTTAGTAGAAGCTAACCGTTAGCAACTCCAGGGGCCGAGTGGTAGAGTGTCTGCCCTGGGACTGGGATTGGGGGGTTCAAATCCCTGTCGAGTCATACCAAAGACGTTAAAACTCTGACTCAACGCCTCCCTGCTTGACACTCAGCTTTAAGGGGCTGGATTGGGGGGTTAAACCACCAAAAAGTTCCTGAGCACGGCCACTGCTGCAGCTCGCCGCTCCCCACAGGGATGGGTCAAATGTGGACCTAACTCCACGTGGCAGAACACGTTCAGGCTTGGGTCATTTGAGATAAAATATCACTTTACATTTTTACCCAAGAAATAAAAGCAAACTAACGGAGTGACTGAGTTGCATTGCTGTTAGCCAATCAGAGCTGATATATTTGCATATCAATAATAATAATAATGATGAGACTGCAAATCCTGCTATCTTCACCCTGCCCCCTCTCTTCCAACTAGCTTCTATTTCCTGAAACAGGAGCGCCAGAAATTGTTTTCCACAGAAAACGTCTCACGATGCATTCATTCATCCCAGAGACCGCAGCAATTGAGTGAATGGAAGCTTGAAACATAAACTTTACCTCTGCTAAAATGAAACCCAAACCAAATTACATTGGGTTTAGTAAATAAGAAGATGCATTTAGTGAGTCTGAAGGGAGCCACAGCAGCTTACCTCTAAAGATCTGCTGCAGGTCCTTTAACACGGACAGCCAACTCGTCTCATAGAGTCGGTAGTTGTGTTCTTATTGAACTGATTGGTAAGACTCCCTGTTTGCTTTGTTCCCCTCTTAGGATCCCATATTAGCCAATGGAAGAATTACTAGCTTTGAAATGAGAATTCAACACTCTCACAATGGGAGCTGGGAGAATGAGAGAATCCCAGTCAACAGATCCATCTCAGCCCCCAGACCGGAGGTCACTTTGCTCAAAAGGATTTCTCTGGCTGACAAGCAGCTTGTAAAAGTGTGCCTCGCTGCCAGCAATTCTGTGGGAATGTCGCCTGAGAGGTGCTTATTCATTTCTGCTAAACCACTGGGTAGGTATCCACGGCAACTCACAGGTCGGTCCGCTCCTCCGGGAACTTGTTCAATATCAAGTTTCATCCTGTGTGTTTATTCACAGCATCTGAACTTCCTGGTTACTGGAAGTCTGAGGAATAACAAAACCAGCTCATTCATCATCATTCATAGGCTAGACATTACGTCAGACATGAACAGTAGATTAGTTAAGGAGAATTTTGTACTTGGGACCAGTATCTTTTAGAAGCTGATAACAATTTTTAAAGAATTTTGTTGCATATGGCCAATTTCTAAAGCCGATTATTAGGCTTATATATATATATATATATATAATCTTACTATTTATTGAACTTCAAATATAAAACAAACTCAACATCATGTTGGGCCCTTCGAGTCCTTTCTTCAGTCTAATAATGGCGGTAGTTGGCCACACAGGTGCCTGATTTATTTATTTTTTTAATGTCGGCTCTTAAAAATAATTTTGGCCGATATAGAAAAAAAAATTGCCTTTATTGGTCTCTAGTATCTTTTATAACACTGCCAAAACAAACACACACACACACACACACAGCACACACTGGTGCTTCATAATTCAGTGTCATCATATGGCCCACCTCTGCTGCCATATCAACTAAAGTTTGCTGATGTACCCCAGTGTCTGACACTTATGTTAGTTGAGATGCACAGTCTGTGAGGTCAAAGTTCACGCCTGCTGTGTGTCCATCACAGGTAATGGACCCGTGGAAGACTTAAGTGTTTCGCCCCACCAGGGTCAGCTGTTTGTGAAGTGGAAACCCATCTCGGACAGATCCTTGACGGAGTATGTGATTGAGTGGGTCAGTGGGGAACAAATAAACTGGCAGATGGTAAAGAAATCCACCAACCTCACTGCAATCAAAGGTGATCTCTTTGTTCTGAATGTTTCTGTGTCAGTTAAATGCTCATAATGTGATGTTACAAGCCTGAACGAGTGTCTTTTATCTGCTTTTAAAGCTCCACGGGAATTTATTTTTACTCTGGACGCATGTTCCAGAACCCTTAAAACAGAACTGTGATCTACATTTTACTGTGTGTTTCTAAATCCAGGACCCCTTGAGCCATTTGTTTGCTACAGAGTTTCTGTGTATCCCATATATGCTACAAGGATTGGAAAACCGGCGAGTACAGAAGCTTTTCTGGAGCAGGGAGGTGAGATCACGTCATCTCATGTACGACTATCTGCCTTTTTAACATTTAGCCAGAAGTTCTTCCTTTTACTCTGTTGAATCGGATGCATTTTTCCTCACATTTACTCTGCAGTAGAGTACGCAGTAAATGCGTAGTGCTTGCTATCATGAGGGTTGCATTATCATGACGTCATTTTCTTCTGCAGCCTGTTTTTTCTGCTTTTTTCTGAGCTGTCTAGACGGACTCGGTATAGGCTGTTTCATGCTAGTGTGAAAGCTGTGTGAGAGGTTTGTATTTACAGGATGAGGTGAACAAACATGTCAGAGGAGATGTCTAAATGTTTGTAATTAAAGTGAAAATTGGTCAAACCCAAATATCAGCCGGTGAAGACCTGTTGTGCGGTGTAAACGGCCTGAACCATGTGTAATCAGCTGAGATGATGTGATGCTGTGTTGTGGTTGCAGCTCCGTTAGAAGGACCTTCTATTAACAAGAGCTACACGGGATATGATCACGCTGAGCTGGTGTGGGATGCCATCCCGCTGCACCAGAGACGTGGCTTCATCACAAACTACACAATATTTTATAAAAGTGGGAAGAACACGCACGGTGAGTTAATTATTTTATATATATTTATAGAATTGTCAGCTCAGATTTAGAGTTTGCCTTCTTATTTCTAATGTGTAATTAGGGGTCCTCTTTAGAGGATCAACTACTAACATATCTAAGTTGTTGAGCTTTATCACAACAGAGTGTTAAACTAGCAACCCTTGCTAGGAGGCACCAGCGCTACCATCTGTCCCACCAGGCAGCCTTTAGACCCCCAGCTCCCTGAGAGCTTGCACTGGAACAAGCATCTAAAGATGAAGAATAAATGAGTTCATTTCTGCTTCTACGCTTACCTGTTGGGTTTTGTTTTGCTCATCTGCAGCGATAACTTTGCCACCTAACAGCACCTCGTACACCCTGAAGCCGCTGCTGGGAGACACCAAGTATGATGTGTGGATCAAAGCTTCAACCATCCGAGGCTCCAAGAACAGCTCCAGTCACTCATTCACCACTCTGAAATACGGTCAGTGTACCTTCAAACATTTATTTTTCTTTGCACACCTCGCAAGTTCGGCCCCATCAACGTGTTTACCTCAAGGTTCTTCTGGAATAGTTGATTCACATGATCAGGGTGAAGGAGACTGTACTTTGTGCTCTGCTGTTGTGTTTATTGGTCTATTAGGATGCAGGTACAGAAAGACTATTTGCTAGTAATCATCAAATCACACAGGAAGTGAGCTAGTATTATTAGCCTCAGCTGCTGAAGACCTGTCGTCGTCCCTGTGTGGCTGGCTGTTGCATGGCTGAGACAGGGACGTGAAGAACCACCACAAACGTATCATTAGCCTGTTTAAACAGAGTTCATATGGTGTTTTGTTCCCTTGTTTTAAAGGTATGTTCTGCACATCAGAACAACAACTCAGTAGAGGAAAATGACTACTTTTGAGTTTGTGAGATGCTTGTGTTAAAATGTTTGGTTTTGATACGCCAGATTTGTTTAATTTGTTGCTCTGTTTCCCTCACAGCACCAGGAAGGGTGGAAGGCATTGTGGTGGGAGTGAGCCTCGGCTTCCTGTTTCTGGTCCTCATGGCTATCCTGCTCTGCATCTACAAAAAGGATGTGTACGTTTCCCTTTGCTTCCATTTAAATTTGCTGTTCTTCAGCTGATTACACAAACTAGCATTAGCATGCTGATTTTGATTATGAGTCCTTTTAAAACAACCAAGCAAAAATAACAAGAATGGCCAGGTCCTGATGCACCTCTGCAGTGTCGATGAGTTACAACTTTTAAGGATCGTGTGTGTTTGTGAAGAGAGAGACGGGTTTGTGGGTAGGGCTCCTCAAAATGTGCCAGAAGCCACTGCAAGTTTCTCCTGTTGTTTGAGGATGTGGACACACTACCGAGGTCTACCGGTGGAAATTTAAAGCCTGCCGCACACGAGAGCAATCTGCTGAGCAAACGGCCTCGAATGACCGTTTGCTCAGCAGATTGCTCGCCGTGTGCTCCTGATTTTCACTGAGTTTTCCGCCTCACGAGTTGCAGAGGTGAATATCTGACCAGTCAGATATTTTCCGCCTCACAGGGGGTAGAAACTCACTGTGTGCGCACTACGTGAGCTGCCGGCTGAGCTGAACTATTCTAGTGGCCAATCAAAGAGCGTTCTCTGATCACATGATTCCAAGATGGCAGCCCCCTGTCTGCATGTCAGAAAATAAACAAGATGGAGACGGAGCTGGAAACGGAGGAAATGCCTCTACTTTTTTTGTTGATGGAGCGCCGCCGCCACTGGCATTTCAAGGTTAGGAAAGTATGGGTACGGTGGCTGGAAAGGAGGGCAGGCAAGGAGTTTAGGCCAATCTACTCCAAGAGATGCACCTGGAAGACCCAGAATCCTTCTGGCAATACCGCCGCCTGGATCCTTCAAGAGGGTAATGGAAACAGTGGGCCCATCGATCCGCAAGATACCGTTTAGTTTATTTTTCAGACACGCAGGCAGGGCAGGGGGCTGCATCTGAATACATCTTGGGGTCAAGTGAGCGGAGAATGCGCTTTGATTGATCACTAGAATATTTCCGCTCAGCCAGCAGCTCAGTAGTGCACACACGGCGAGTTTCTACCCCCCGTGAGGCGAAAAATATCTAACTGGTCAGAAATTCGGCTCAGCGTCTCGTGAGGTGGAAAACTCAGTGAAAATCAGGCGCACACAGCGAGCAATCTGCTGAGCAAATGGTCATCAAGGTCGTTTGCTCATCAGATTGCTCTCGTGTGCGGCAGGCTTTACAGTGTAAAAATGGACAATGTGTTATTTTGGTAAAGGTGAAAATAATCAGGCTTCCAACAACAAGATTAATTACCAAGAGTTGTTACAAATCTACCAAACACACTTTTCTTTTGAGTATGTTTTAAGGAGAAACAGTAAGGTATACTTAAATAATTTTGCCCCTCCATTCATTTATATTTCAGCTTTTGTTTGGTGACAAACATGGCAAAGGTGAATTTCTGGCCAACTCTTCCTAAATGACCTTTTTTGTTTGATAAAACCAAACATTCATTAAAAACCATTGACACAGTTTGTAATGAAAGCCTGACCCCATTGGTGTTAGAAAGTAGGACACGGGCATGGCAGCCTATCTTGTTGTCTCTCTCCCTTTCTGTAGTATTTCTCTTATCTGATGACACCATCTAGTGGCTGACAAGCATGTCACACAAATTATTTCTCCTTCCGGTTTTTTAAGATGGCAACTTCACTTTTCTTATTAATGTCCTTCTGTAGCTGACGAACAAAGCTAAAACACGTTGTTTTACAAGTATTATTCTCATGTCATGTGGTTTGTTTTCATATATTTATATTTTAAAGACTTGCTTGTCTGTGAAAAGTTCATCAACTCTGCATCAGCTGAGGTATTCCTTAAATTTGAAGCATTTGATTGGCAGTCTAACGCTATTGGTTAGTTGTGGTCGGCGCTCAGTTTCCTATTGCACGGAGCTCTGCGGGGAAGGGGGCATGCTTAGCAAAAAAATTAATTAAAAAAGACTTATTGCTTACCTTATATCACAGCACACGATAAGATAATCTCTTTTACGGATTTCTGAAAAATCATACATAATTTCTGAAAGGGGAAAACTCCGGAAAGCTACTTTAACATGAAACAAAACAGTGTAATCATATATGTTCTGTATCTTCCTCTGCTGATAACTGTTAATGGTTCGGTGCGTCTCCTTATAGCATCGAGCAGAACCTCTGGCCTCAGGTCCCAAACCCTGGGAAGAGCACCATTGGAAACTGGTCTCCTGACAATCCTTTGAGGGTAAGCCCCTAATTTTTGTTCAACACACAACATCCTGCTGGCGGGTGTAATGAACGGAGAATTTTCATTTAATTAATGAGCCATAAGGCGTAGGATTCCATAGGAAATATGAAATCCACCTTACGGATCTCAGGGTTATTTAAACCAGAAGATTGGATCTTTTTATTGCAGAGATTAGATAACCATTACGTATTCACTCAGACAACAGAATAGGAAGTCGAGTTTAAAATTTAAGAATTTTATTACTAACAAATTAAACTAGACTGGCTTCAAAGCTAAATGTATAGTGTAACTAAAAATGGATGAGATGGTGAATGGATGACGTGTGATGTAAATCAGAACCAGCAAATCCGAAGAAGCGATTGTTCTGACGGGAACTGAAGATGTTGTTTTGCAATAAGCTTTGGTTCGGGAGTTCAGAAACACATGAGACACCCTTCGGGAAGTCCTCTGTAGATCAGGAATATTGAGGTCCAGTGAACCATCTCTGGAACCGAGCCGGTAGGAAAAGCCGCGGTTCCGATCAAACCCGTCTTGAGTTACTTCCGGGCACACAACACGTTTATTGGCGTCTGGTCAGACCCAAGCCTGGGTCGGTGGATGGAGCTTTTTGTTCTGAAAGGAGCTGTTGTTGCTGCTGGTTGGTGTAGCGACTGGATTTTTCAGCTTGTCGTTGGTTCTTTCGGTTAAAGAGTGTGTAGATCAGGATTGGCCACTCCGTCACTTTCTCTGGAACGCTTTGAACTGGCGTTAGAGCTGACATGGCGTAGTTTTATACTTTTGATGTTATGGTTTATTGTCGAATGAAAATTGCCAAACACCATCAGAACCACGCTTCCGTCAGATCTGCAAGATTCTGACTGGATCAGTGAAAGTAATGTTATGTCTTTTTAACACAACGTGAAATGAGTCCTGTTGGAACACTTAGTCACAGTACTTATTATTTCTATAGGATCATAATAAAGTAATTAATATTTTGATTTCACAGGTCGGTCACATCTTATTTATTGACTAACACTTTGATGGATTAGCTTTATTAAAATAGTTCTTTGATTAATTAAAAGAAAAGAGTTCATTCTTCTGTTGAGCTGAAAATAAGCAGGTTAGAAGGAATGCATTAGACCTTGAGTTATATCTCATGCAGACTAGTCCTGAGCAAAGAAGGGAAAAATAAGATTCATTCCGTTCCTTTACACAGGGCTCAGACCAATCCGCTTCAGTAACATTTTTATAGACATGCACAATCTATAACTTGTTTTTACAAACAAAATAATTAAAACGATCCTAGAATTCAAAACCACATTTGCATTGTTGAGTAAAGGCAGCTTGGCGTCTAATGTAGAGACCCAAAGGTCTGTTCTATCTCTGACCTGCTTTACTATGTGAATTAGTAATGTTGTAAAGAAATGGTTTGTTCTGAGAAAAGCTGGTTTAACACATAAGCTTATACACACCTCCTTACATTTGCATGTCCCAACCTACTTCACTGTCAGCAATAAATAAACGGTGGTGGCAGCAATTCTGACTGCAGAACAACCGTAGCCTGAGCTACTGCTAACGTCCTTGTTGGGGAGAGGAAAACAACTTTGCGCAACACTCACGTTCCGGGATGTACTGAGAATATCCAGACTATGAATGAATGCCAGACATGTCTACAGATTATTGCGGCCCTCGTGCTTTTCCTCGTTTGTCTGCTAACCCCCGCTCCACAGCCTGCCGGACTCTCACTTTGTTCCTCGTTTGTTCTATAGAGGCTAAAAGAACAGTTTCCTGTTGTAAAAAAAAAAAACATCTTTCTAGGCATGTTTAAGTATACCAGTGTCACTAACTATAGCCCTTTATACAAGACACACCATGCTAGCAAATCAGCATAAAATTATCACAATATTGTGTGTTATAAACGTGCAGCGGCAGCGTGGCATTGCAGGAATTTTGTGCCATTAGTGCCGGTGTATGTCTATACGAGTTCCCCCGTCGAGATCGGTTTCTTTTCCACCCAGCTGCGAGTTTGAACCATCCACTCACCAAGAATGCGTGTCCTAACCCTTACCATAACCTTAACCCTAAAACAAATATGTTTTACACAAAGTAATTTCATAAATTATAATTGTGTAAAGCATACATTTTTGGTGAGAGGGTGATTAAGGTGAGGGTTATTGTGTGTGTGAGTGGAAGGTTCCAACTCGCAGCTGGGTGGAAAAGATACAGATCTCGACAGGGTAACTCCTGTCGACGTAACACCGGCACGCTTTGTAGTAATATTACTGCAAGGCCAGACTTGTGAATGCATATTACGTCTTGGCACAACAGAGGGAGGTGTCATGATCATGTGGGGAGTTGCAGTCGAGCTCCGGCCGGCAACTATATTGATAATGAAAGTAAACACGGGCCGTAAGTTTTACTTTTGTAAACAGAATCAGCTGAGATGGTAAACTGAAGCGAGGCAGAACGCTACACGGGGACTGTAGGAACAGACACCTTTAGGAGCAGTTTGTCAAAAAAAAACTTTGATCACAATAAAAAAACATGTCATGTCCACGATAAATGGAAGCCTGTGGCAGTGCAGAGACCGCCTCCAGACTCCCTTTATGCCGCCATTGTGTAATCTTTTGTAAAAAGGACAGTATTGTGTCACATTACCGGCATGACAACCTAAGGCTTTCTGATGCCACCACGGCGCTGCGGCTAATTGACGGCATTATTTTGTAAAAACGGCTTATGTTCTCCAGGGTGTTTTTAAGATCTAGAACTGAGAAGAGCTGTAGCAGATGAACAAAACTGGAAATCGAATTGTTCTTGAAATTGTCAACCACACGGCAGGCACCATCAAATGTTCTACAGGAACGTTTTCTAGTCATTATTGCTACTCTTGAGTTGTAATGAGACTCACCGTTTGGTTGATGAATTAGAACAACATGGACCCGGTTGTGTGCACTATACATCAGTGTAAATGGTCCCTTGTCCTCCACAGGCCGAGACACCAAGTGAAGACTGTTTGTCTGGCATGACTGTCCATGTTGAGGGTGTGCGTGATATAAAGCAAGGCCTTGAAGAGGACAAGACCAGTCTTTCTCTGAAGAAGGACAAGTATCTGTCTGAGGAGCACAGCAGTGGCATCGGTGGCTCTTCCTGCATGTCCTCACCTCGTCAGAGTGTGTCCAGCAGCGACGAGGACCCCGAAATGCCCGACAACACGGCCAACACTGTTCAATACTCCGTCGTTGTGGGTCCCAGTGATTACAAGGGTCAGACCCCCGTTTTCTCTCGGTCCGAGTCCACGCAGCCACTTCTGGACTCGGAGGAGAACCCGGACATGTTGGGGTCAGGGGGCAGCAGGCACTTCCAGCGGTTCCCCAGACAGTCGAGCCTCAGTGAAACCAACCAGGAGACCCACTTCAAGCAACTTGAATTGGAGCAACAGGACTTTTGTTCCATCAAGGAGGACACTGAGTGGACACTAGCGTCAGAAACCCAGCTGGCTGATGCAGAACCAGGCTCGGCGTCCAGCTACATGCCTCAGGGAGGCGGTTATAGACCTCAGTAAGAACCCCTCAGACTTTTTCTATCGTCGCTTCTTTGTTTTCAAGCCTTTGACAATGGCTCAACTGACATATTTTGCACTTAAATGGGTATATTTAGCCTAGCGCTCTTTAACACTTTGCAAAGTCAATTAGAGCGTTTTGTTGAATTTCACCTTGTAAAACCACACTGTCAGACACAATGTGATAAAACTCTGGTAGGGTTGTCCAGAGTCCCTGTCCTGTCAAAGGTTTTTTAGAAGGAAACCAGACACGCTGTAATCAGCTGCAGGTGGGATCTGAGACTCCTCCATGTGGAGGAGGAAATATTTCTTTTATTGAAGTGGCTCTGCAGCATCAGCTCTGCAGCATCACTGGCAGTTGGGTTCGTCCTGTGAAAAATTTCAGGATGTAAAAAAAAAAAAGCAGCACCAGGGCCTGTGTCCATATAGCGTTTTTCTTTTCTAGATGTCAGGCTGGTTCTTAGAGCAGCTTCCCATCGGAAACCAGCGTTATTTTTTTGTGCAGCAGTTTTCTGCACATTATATATAAGAATATAGTGAAAATTTTACAGTGAGGAAATCCCAGCAGTCTAATGTTTCGGTCATTTTGGAAGGAAGGTTACACTGAAACATATTTCATATTCAGCTGGCTGTGGGGATTGTCAGTTTCTCACTTTTCAAAACTAAGGAGGGAGGGACTGGTTTACCGTCCGTGAGTGTGGGGGTGTTGTGTGTCCTGTGAGCTAACACTGCAGCGCTGACTATTGTAATTTGACAGCGGCTGGCAAAAAGCTCTAGAGTTGTTTAAAGTGGTTGCTGGAACCAGATTTTACCACAGGATGACATTTTTACTTTACTAATGCACCTTTCAATTCTGCCTTTCTGGGACTTTTTTTTTCTCATGTTACCGCTTGTGTATAGAAGCATCATCATCATCATGTCTGTGGTTGACATGTAGGAAGTGATGACATTTGAAGGAGAAATGTGATGTGGACAGCAGGGTGTGTCCCTCAGACGCTGCAGGCCTTGACCTGGGCGTTGGTACAAGATGAATGATGACGGCGTTTAACCTTTCACTGACGGCCTCTGGCCTTGTTCCATGAACTTATATGCTGACAATATCAGTGTTTGCTGCTTGTTGCAGAAAAACAAAGAAAACTGACAAAAAGATGATAAAAGAAGGCGAGTTCAAAGGTAGAGGGAAATCTATGTGGACCCATGTTCTGGTTCTGGTGGTGCGTTACTAATAATCCTACTCTGTGCTTTTGTGTTTTCCTCATTGTTTTATTTTCTTTGCTCGCTTACAGCATCAAAGTCAAAGATGTTTTCATTTCCTTTTGATGAAAGTTACTTCTGCAGCAGCAAATGAGGGTTTAAAAACAAACTTATTCCACAGTATTAGGGTTTGGTTATTCATTTCCTGCTTAGAATTTCAGTTGTGTTTATTTAGGGAACAAATTAATGTGAGTAAAACAAAATCTGCTTGTGTTAATCTGCATTTCACATCAAGTGACCATAACGTTTTTATTTTTTGATACTATCGTCAAGTGTGACTGGACCTTGCAGCACCTGATGTCCGGGGCATATTTCATACACAGCAGAGTTTGTGTAAAGCTGCATGAAACCCGGCTTCGTGGCCATCCAGACCGCAGCAGGAAGCATCGGTTTCTGCTCTCCGCTGTTTTAGCATCATCATCTTTTCGACTTCAATATTTACTCTACACATGAATGTAATCCCTAATGGAAGCTGACATGTGCTGTGTTTATTCAATAAACCTGTATAGCTGCATCCACTGTAGCGGGTCTGTTTCTGTTTAGATGTGGTTTGTTACAATCATGGATGGATTTGACACCATCTCTAATAGAATCACCTCTTGGTGAATGTTTGGCTATTCTACCGAAAAGGGTTATTGGTAACTTGTAAGAGGGAATTCTGGAAATTTACGTTTGCCTCCCTGGTCTGATGAGCTGATCTAACTGCTGCTGGTTTTCTGAATGGAACATTATGATCTGGATCTTTTTCAGTTCCTTTTGTTCAGACAGTAAAAGGGGCTGAGATCTGTGACAGATTGGCTCAGTGGCAGTGCCAACAAACTACCAGGATCAGGATTTCTGGAGGATCTTAAAGGGAATGTCTCAGGACAAAGCCGTTCCTGCATGCTTTATAAAAACATGAAACCTGACGCAATGTCAGCAGCACGCGGAGCCTCGTGCTTTATCCTGGCGGTGTGTTTTGGACGCTTTTCTCGCCACAGATCTAGTTTTATTCTCCCATCCTGGTTTAAACTCTCCTCCGTGGAGGTGGGTAGAGCTGCAGTGAGAGCAGAGCTGCCTCCAGTCGCTGCTGACGTCGCGTCTCCGGCAGAGGGCTTCTCAGGACGGGGAGGGGGGGAGGGGGTGAACGGGTTCATCGGGTTCATACTCACAGTTCGGGTCGGCTGCTTACCGGAGAACACCAGCTCCCTCCGTTACCGAGCGGCTGCGGCACACACAGCTGCCAGATCATGACGGGAGTCCGCAGCAGAGACCGTGTCCGCGGCGTTTATTCTGGACACTAAGTTGATGAGTCCAAAGCTGCAGCAGCCATTTTCCAGGTGAGAGCCAAAGGGTGCAGTAGATGTGTGGTCCTGATCCGGTCCTGCATGGAGGCATCTGCAGGAGGAATCTGAACGATGATGGCTGATGGGTGCTGCAGGGGGGTGGAGAGGGGCAGGGGGGGTAAGATGGTATCCGACTCTCTGCCGAGGCACCCGTATCCTCAGCAGTACATCCAGACCGGAGCGCTGCAGCAGGGGAACGACATCCAGGAGTTGGCCTCCAAGCGCGTCGACATCCAGAAGAAACGCTTTTATCTGGACGTGAAGCAGAGCGTCCGCGGCCGCTTCCTGAAGATCGCGGAGGTGTGGATCGGGAGAGGCCGTCATGACAACATCAGGAAGAGCAAGCTGACCCTGTCCATGTCCATGGCCCCGGCGCTGCGCTACAGCCTGGGGGACTTTATTGACTACTATGCCCGGATTGGACTGCGGGGGGGCTCGGGCCCGGCGCCCCATCCGTCCGATGAGCAAGGCACCAACGGACAGGGTCGCGGGCACGACGCTCGCAGGAAAGTGCGGGAGCAGCACGTGACTCCGTCTCCCGCCGGCTCCGTGGGCTCTGACGACCATGCCCACCGCGTCCTCAAGAGCGAGTTCATCGAGAGGGACAACAGGAAGTACTTCCTGGACCTGAAGGAGAACCAGAGAGGCAGGTTCCTCCGCATCCGGCAGACTGTCGGTAAAGGTCACGGCTCCATGGGTTACTACGGCCAGGGCATCGAGCAGACCATCGTGCTGCCCGCTCAGGGGCTCATCGAGTTCAGAGACGCCCTCTCGCAGCTCATCGAGGACTACGGAGACGAGGACGCGGACGAGCACGGCCGAACCGGCTCCAGGAACCGGCTGGACAGCCCCGAGCTTCCCGAGGCCGCGTCCTTTCGAGTGGACAACAAACGGTTTTACTTCGACGTGGGCTCCAACCGATATGGCGTGTTCCTAAAGATCAGCGAAGTACGCCAGCCCTACAGGAACACCATCACGGTTCCGCTTAAGGCCTGGGCTCGGTTCGGAGAGAACTTCATCCGCTATGAGGAGGAGATGCGGCGGATCTTTTCATGCCACAAAGAGAAGAGGACAGAGGTTCGGCAGGACAGCCTGGAGCAGGACGATTGACCCCGGCACGTGACGGCACCACAGACGCACGTGCCCTGGACATCTGGCTGAATGACCAAGGGCTGGTAAACTTCAACCTTCACCTTGCCAAGAAGTGATTCATCCACAGCCTTATACCAACATCCTCCCTAGTTCTAGTGCTGCTTTAGCCAGGACCAGTCCGGGCCCAGTCTGGGGCTCTGAGTGGATCCATAACCAACCCATGGCCTTTTAAATTTAAGAGTGCACTGTACAAAGGGCCAGTGTTTAATTATACCTAGTAAGGTTTGTCTAGAAGTGGTAAACATGGTGGAACACTGGGAATTGTTAGAACATTTTACTGTATCAGTTCTGTATTTGAGTCCGGTTTAATGATTAGGTGAGGTTCTGGTGTAGTTTGCTGTGCTGAGCTGCCCCTGCAGGTAACACAGAGGTGGGGTGTGCTAAGCCAAGTGATGTCATTGTGTCACTTTAAAAAAATATAGCCAAAGGACTCTGGGGAGAGCAAAAGTGGTGTGACAATGCATGCTGCCAGTGAAATGATAACGTTGGTGTTGTGACAAGCATCTTACTTTCATTTAGTGTGTTCCTCCAGTCACTTCAACCTGGTTGTGTCCACAGACACGGGGTCACCAGGTCTGGGTCTGGTTCCAGACAGAAATAATCTGGTTACCGCGATGGAGTGTCTACCAATTCCACTATAGTCCTTTGTTCTGTAATGCTCTATGTAGCCACCCAGCTTTCAAACAAAAATTGATTTAAGTGCAACATTATCAGTCCTTGGATATAGCATACTCCAGAGTGATCACGGTTTCCTGCTGCTTTGGACATCACTCATAAGATGTTAGTGGTCTCCTGTGGCCCACATGGACAGCAGGTTCCCACATCAACACTAACAAGGTTATTATTTTGGTTTTATGACGTGTTTTCTGGCAAATACAACTGTAGATGAGTTTAGTACATGCGGACAGAAAGATCAGGTATATGTGAACCACACCAGCATCATTATGGTCACAGGATGGTTCCACGCGGTTTAGAGTCACCAGGGTACAAAGAGCCAAGGAGGCCTGGTCTTAGCTAAGCTTCCCACCCAGACCAGGTTTTTCCATCTGCTCTGGAGTCTTATTCTGCTGCATCGTTGGTGCAAGAGTTATTGAAAACACCAATGATGTGCTAAATGAACCCGTGGAGCTCACTGAGCATTGCTGCTGTCATTTAATTCAAAACTGAAAAGTGTTTCTTTAGATATCTGTCTACATGAAAAGTGTTTTTTTGTGTCTTCAGCTGAGTACAAATATAATCATGCAGTCGTGGTAAATAGCCCTGAAGAGAAAAAGGTCAGCCATGTTGGCTGTAAATGAATTCATTTGAAGAATCAAAAAGTTGCATATACAGGAAACATTTAGGTCGCTAATATTCTTCCTTATGTTGTTCTTTGGGGTGCTTACATCCCATGTCCTGCAAAGAACTGCTCTAAACAATCCCCAGAAGGCTTCGTAGAGACGTCTTTAAGATATTTAAGGGTGCTGGTTTGTTATTTTAATAAAAGTTCTTTAGAAGCTGTTAGCAAGGAACTTCCATAGACTGGAAGTCTAGGAGCCATTTGGAGCTGACACAGTCCCTCGTGTGTGTGTGTGTGTGTGTGTGTGTGTGTGTGTGTGTGTGTGTGTGTGTGTGTGTGTGTGTGTGTGTGTGTGTGTGTGTGTGTGTGTGTGTGTGTGTGTGTGTGTGTGTGTGTGTGTGTGTGTGTGTGTGTGTGTGTGTGTGTGTGTGTGTGTGTGTGTGTGTGTGTGTGTGTGTGTGTGTGTGTGTGTGTGTGTGTGTGTGTGTGTGTGTGTGTGTGTGTGTGTGTGTGTGGAACCTTTACACACCAACCTTCAGCCTGAGTGACATGATGTCAAATTGAAGGTTGGCACAAAAATAAGATGTAAAAAAAAAAAAGCACTAGCACTAATGTTTATGCTTGAAAATTCAGCCACATCTTTAGAAAAAGAGAAGCTAGTTTTGGTAACCAAATTGGGACAAGATCTCTCCAAACCCAAAAGTATTTCCAACATTGAGAATATATTTGAACCAGGTGTGCCATAGTTTATTTGTACAGGTTACAGAGATGTTTCTGTCTGACGCTGTGAGCCATGACACCTCGTGTAACAACCACTAGTTTAGTCCTGGCGGCTTTAGGCTTCAACATATTATTTAACACTCTTCACCCAATTGACCCTATGACCCGTTGAACCTCTTCTGATGCCTCAAAAATGTGACCAGATAAGATCAGAACTGCAGTGACCCAACTGGGATCATCAAAAACAGTAAAGGCATATCTTCATTAAAGAAATCAGACATTTCTAAAGAAAGTTGGTCTATTTGTGACGTCTGGGACTGAATTTATCAAGGATTATTTAAGCATACCATAAGGAGGACAAACATTTGTCCTCCTGTGAGGTCATGAAAGAACTGAGTTGTTGATTGTGACCTGTTGACAAGTCTGCGGTTCAAACGGTCTGTTGGCTATAACTAAGTTGTGCACAATTAAACCCAGCTCAGTGGTGTCTGTCTCAAAGCCATGGCTCACAATGGGTTTGCTGTACTTGTACTGTCTGGTGAAGAATGCTCTTTTATTTTCATATAAATGCCCAAAGGTATCATAATGTGTACAACTCAAAGCACAATTTATTTAAAAATGATGTTAAATTATATTTTATACATCAAACTGGTTTAACAATGAATACCAGTGATTCGGGCTTTAGAAGCCAATTTTCTTCAAAGCAAAATCTTTAAGCTAAACGTTGATATAAAGACGTAGCATATATAATATAATGAGTCATTTTCACAGGTATGATGCTTAAGAGTCTGTTTAAAATCTCCAAAAAAGCACTTTAAAGAAAAGTTGCACTTTTGTTGAACAGATTTTACGTAGAGGAACCAACCATTTACAGTCGTGTTTTCAGTGGAAAGTGACAATCACCTATCAGTGCTTCTTACCGTATCGTTTTACTGTGGGATTCACTATTTTTGATTCAGTTGGGTTTTAACAGATGTTAGAGCATGTTCATACCATGATGAAGAGTCTTTAGACATACTGGGAGTTCATTTAAAGGACATTGACATGTATCTTGTCCCCTGACAGGTGATGTGGGTGGCAGTTGGTTACTATAGCATCTGGAGCTGGGTGGTACGGGTCAGGTACCAAGGGAGTTGTCTGTCCTTGAAGCTGTTCTAAAAGCAGAAAGAGGTTGAAAGAAGCTTAACGTTTAGTTTGTATGCTGCGCACTTCCAGCTTGATGGGTGATTGTATATTTCTGCAGCTGCGGATCTTGTTGGATTGTCCCAGTCTGCAAAAGTCTGGATTTACCAGCAGTGGGCCACAAAAACAAAATGGGCAAACCGGCAAAAGAAAACTGGGCATCCCACGATCATTGGTGCTTGTGAGGTGTGAAAGCAGACTTTTGTTCTCTGAGCCAATAGAGAAGCTTCTGTAGCCTGAATTACTGAGCAGGTTCATGCTGGTTCTGACAGCCATTCCCAGGCAGTTGTGGGTGGGCCTGTGTAGCTGCTGAGAGGTCTGGGTGCCCCTGCTGACCTGTGCCCACTGCTGGAACAGCCTGACATCAGATCAGGAACAAAGTGGAACAATAGAAAAGCATGCCAATGACTGATTATTATGGATACTATTTGAATTGTGTGCCTGCCTGGGTCTCTGTATACTTTTCACCTAGGGCAGGTGTGCTGTTGGCAGGTGTAGTACGATCAAAAATTATTCTACGTCCCATTGTTGTTGACAAGTGAAGCCATTTACAAAAGCTGCCATGTTGTTTGGCACCAGAGTGAGACCACTTGGGATGTGGGGCTGGAAGTCCCACCTTCTCGCCTGCACACAATCGTGGTGTTTCAAGGCTTCAAACAACTAATCACAGTTAAACATTGAAGATAAAGAGGACCACTCAAACTTTCAGCAGCAAAGAAAGAGCTAAACGAATCAGCTAAAGTCAACACCTGGTAAAAGTAATCTGAGGTGTATTTTTATCTTTTAGTCAAGATAAACAGTGCTATTTGAAATATCTACTACCACCGCAGCCACTACGAGGTTTGTGTTTTGCTTTGACTAAACTTTAATGTTCCTCCTGTGTTCTAGTACACAATTTATATCATCCATTATTACAATTGTTAAGCCTCTCCTGCAAAAACAGCTTGTCCGTGTGTATTTTTTTGACATGTACCACCTACCTACCTCAACACTGTTACAGAAGTAGGACCCTCCTTTATAACTCCGATGGCAGGGACCTCTTTCGGCAGGTTAAAGCACCCAGCCACGGGGTAAAAGGGGTTCAACAAACCAGTTAAGAGGGCTTATTGGCTTGTGTGTTATCCAGATTTTAACTGTTGCATGTGCTCGACAAGCATGACTGGTTCAAGTTGCTTGAACCGTGTCTCACAGCTTCCAGGTTCCGATACTGATGAATTGGTCTTAACCTGTTAGACAGCCAGTGGAGTCCATTAGGAAGGGTTAGGAATGCCTTGGCGCAGTGGTCCTAGTTTATGACTAAATGGTGCAAAATGAAGCTGAACCGACATCAATAACAGCTAGACCACGTGTGTCCACCTACTTCCATAGTTGAAAGTGAAGCCATGACCTCCTGTGTGCAGGAGCTGCCATGTTGTTTTTCACAACCAAAATCTGAGACCTTGCCCACTCACCTGCACACAATCATGGCGTGTTGTTAAACATCTAATTACAAACAAAAAGGGAGGGTGTGAAAGCTATTTGAACATGTATTAGCGAGGTAGGAACCATGTCAAGACTCAAAAACAAAAGAAAAGGTATTTGAGGCATGTTTTTTTTCCTTTTAGTCTGGAAAATGTAGATTTAATTTGCACGAAAAGGGCGAGGTTTACAAATTGTAATTCATCACGCCACTACTTTTTGCTTCATATTTCATTTTTGTCTGGCTATTTTATATGTTGATGACCTGAATGTTCTAAAGTTTATGTGACTATAAACAAATGTTTTAAATTCATACAAAAAATAGAAATGACTGCATTGTAAAAAAAAAAGCAGGCTGGTTTCCAATGGGGGACATTTGGGATTTATAAACTTTTAAGGGACGTGCAATATCAGTTTAGAATCATTTAAATAAACCTGAATGACATGCTGTCCTAATACATATTTTGACTTATTTGGTTCATGTAAACCAATATTCTTGGTGCTCAGAGGGCATTGAACCATATTTTAAAATGGACGTTAAAAGTAATTATTGTAATTACACGTGTTTAAAATTACGACGATGGCAGATGTTTTTCTCGTAACGTGTTTCCGCTAAAATCATCCGATTTGATCCGATCAAGCTTAGAGTTTGTTTATCTTAGCTTCTCTAGTTTAAGTGTGTTAATGTATTGTGTAGTAGCAACATAATGAAGTTGGAATCCCTCCTAATAAAGTTTCATTGAACCTGCTCTTGCAGTTAACTTCATCTGTGGACTGAAGAAACAGAATTTAAAACAATCAGTTGTTGGAAAGACCCACACTCTGCCTTACCCTCTGCTCCTGCTTATGTTGAGTCTAAAGGTTTCCTGTGTGCACCCAGGGTAACACGACAGATGTGTAGATGCTACAGGCAGCATGTGTGATCGGCTTGGCTTTAGAAACGACATCCAGCAGAGATGAGAAATAAAACCAGACATAACTTTTTAATTTTTCAAATCTAAACTGAAACAGATTGTGTACCCAGATACTTGAATCTGACTCATTCGAGGCCAGTGAGAACAAACTGTTCTCATCTAAGCCCTTGCAGCTAGACCATCTCCTCTGTTTCTAAATGAGGACCCACATGCTAGAATGTCTGTCTGTCAGAAATGTAAAGCAGAAGGTAAAACGAGTATTGAGCCTCAGGTGCTTGCCCTGTCATGAAGTAAAATATCGTCATCAGAAGGTCAGACAATAGTGAAACACATCCACTGTGTGACCCTGGTTTTCCGTGGACTGTAGAGCTACAGGATTCTGGACTTCAACCGATACTTTGATGCAAAGATGGATCATTTCCAATCCTGACGCCTTACAACTCATTTTGAATTATTAGTCTCTGCTTATTTTGGTTCTTGTTTAGTTTTCGAAAGTGAAAAACAGCCAAAGTCAACATGAGAGCAGATGTACAAGGGCAGATGTTCTGAAAATATGTGGCGTTGTCACATCAGAATGAAAGTGAGCCTTTTACAGAGGTGATTATTCAAAGGTCAGAGGTGAACTCGGCCTGAAAAAAAAGGTGTGTGTTGATGTGTAGTTGTGCAGGTAGAGTGATGTGAATGTAGAAGACATTCTCTTGTTCCGTTGTGTTTTGCCTTCTGTTGTGAACTGGAAAATGTAGAAATTTAGATGTTTAGTTTTCCTTTTAAAATCAACTAAGGTGAAAAATGAAAAGGCATAAAATCACATAAATGTAATACACTGATGTGTTTGGTAGTCCTGTAAACTAAGGTTTCTGAAACAAGGAAAATTTGTACTCTAGCACTTCCTTTAACATGTACTGTATTCAGTCCATTTTCATGTAATGTACTGTATGAATTATTCATGACTTGCCTTGTCACATTTTGAACAATGGTATATTTAGACATGGTAAACAAAAACACAAAGATGTTAGAGTGTATGCATGCTAATGGTCGGGTGCCAGCATAACTATGATAAATGGTGCTATGTAATAAAGGTGCTTCTATGGACCCCAGCTGAACGCATGCAAAGAGGATCTATTAAAAGAAGAAAATAGAAAATGTATGTTCTGCTGTTCTTCAGTGAAGCTGCTTCCCAAATACATAAAAAAAAATTCTCCTTATAGAGTGCAGCAACCCTCCAAGTTAATATTCCAACTGTGGTTTCCAGTCAAGACACGTGACAACAGGTCACCGTTCTCTACATGAGCACACAGTGTCTTCACTGTTTACAGTCCTTCAAACACACATTCAGGGCTACATTTAGTTGGTTGGGAAGTAGCATTTTAATAAAACTTTAAGGTTATTTTCTGTATTTTCTGAGTCCCAATGCTGGAGACTATGGAGAGTGTCTGTTAGAAGCCTCCAAACCTCCATGAATGACGGTGTTTAAAAAACTTGGAAGTAGCAGATTTCCTAAATGATTGCGAACAACAATGAAGTCTGACAAAAATTACTGTCTCTCTCCCCCCCCCCCCCCCCTTCTCAAAACGGACAGAACCAGGACCAGCTCGGATCTGTCTGAGGATGGTCAGCCGTAAACCCATAGGACCAGTCAGGTCCAGTTCTGGTTCTGCTGCCTTTGTGGGACAAAGTCTAAAACATCCACAGTCTGATGACATATTTTTGTACCTTTCATTCTTTGGATGTTTGTGTATTAGATTATTTTTCATGTAGCACCATCACTGCATTGCTAACATCATAACGGTCTTTTAAAAAGTCAAAGATTGGAGCTTAAAAACTTTGTGCTGATTGTCTCTGGAGAGAAAATGGAAAATATAAACGTGTGTTTGTTAGCTGTACTGATCAGTGCTCTTATGTTATTTCATTAAATGTTTTGCAGGATTAATGATGCTTTGGTTTTCTTTTCAGCTGTTGCCACACATTACTGCATGCACCGGTGGTTTAACGCCTGTCTGTAATTTAACAATTGTTGCCAAATTTTAAAGAAAGTTCACGTATTATTTTGTTTTCTAGAATTATGACGTTAATGGAGACATTTCTTAGAGCACTCTTTTCATATTATTGACCACTCAGTGTTTCATATTGAGTAATATTCACACACATACACACAATTAACAGGTCACATGTGAACATGGTCTTCAGTGTCCTGCCTGAGGACACTTAGACAAAGAATCAAATCACCAACCCTGCAATTGTTTATGTCTGTTTATTTCAGCAGATGCTTTTATCCAACATGACCTACAGAGATTGGAAAAAAGCTCTTTTAGCTCCATTAATTTTTTTGTTCTTTCAGGGATCCATAAGCCGACCGGAAAGGGAGGAGACAAATGGGCCATTTCCATCTGTACCGGGTCGGCCCGGGCCGGGTAGCGTAGGTTGATTACATATCTGGGTGGCCTGGTATTTTTCCGGGCCAACCAAGGCTCATTCTCAGCCCTCTTCTCGAGGGGGTCTGCTTCAGGCCGACCAGGGCCAACACACCCACTGCTGACAGCAAATTCACACCTTCCATTAGAGCAAGCCTCTGATTGGTGGGTAGAATCAGCCCACATGGGCTTAAGACAAGGATGTGTGGAATCAACCGGGCCAGGCTAGGGCCGACTGGGGCTACCCGGCCCGGGCCGACCCGGTACAGATGGGAATGGCCCATTAGGCTCCCTATATATGAATATAGTCTGGCCACGACACATTGACGGCTCTCAGTCATGGGGCACGATCTACAGTTATCTTTCAGACTGTCTGTGCATCAACGGGGCAGTGCATCATACACTGTCACAAAAGACGCAAATAAATATTTTTTCTAAACAAAGGACTGAAGTACCTTTATCTGCTCTTAACTTGGAGAAAAGCCCAAGTCTAATAGTCTAAAGTTGATGCCAAAGTTATAAATGAGCTGTCACCATCTTAGATTCACTCAATTGCATTAATCCCAACCACCAAACTGATAGAATACTAAGATTGGGCTACCAAACTGATGGAGCGCTGTGATTGGCCAGCCACCAGACTGACCCTGAACTGAAGAGGTTCCCATAGGGCAATAGGTGGCCAGCGGGCGGGCCCCCTCTTTGTGGCCCCCAATCCCCATGCGTTTTTAGCCCCATTGACTTGCATTCATTTTTTCGTTCTTCAGGGGACCCATGGTTCAGAAGAAGATGGGCGTGACTTAGGCTCCCTATGGTGCTAAAAGTGCTATTTTCTAATTCCGCATGTGCCATGGATTTTCACATATGATGTCCGTGAATTTTAAAGATGCATTTTGATGCCAAGAAAGCTTATTTTTGAACAGGGGAAATGTTATTTTAGGTTTTGTGTGAAAATACGTCCAGGACTACAAGTGAAAATCACGAAAGTGACGTCATCAAACCAGACAGAAAAACTGAGAGTAAATGGCTGTAAGTTCAACAAACTTCAAATCCTTCTTCAGGAAACACCATCAGTCTGGCCATGTGGTAAGTAGCAGTATGCTAGGGGAGACAAGATTTTGTGGTGACGTCATATATGCAATGTGCCTATTTAGTCATGCTAACAAAAAAACATTTACGAGCTGATAAATCTCAATGTACGTGACTGGTGTGGTCAAAACACACATCATTACTTTTAATTTAAATGTAAGTGCAGCATATGTGATCCAGGGTCTAAGGCAAAGCGGATTGGAAAATAGCATCGACATAAATATACGTATATTTATGTCGATGCTGTTTTAGTCCCTTTGACACCAAGCCCCCACAATGCGGGTTTCTCATTCAAATAAGTTTACTGTAAAACATAAGTAGAAGAGAAGAGATCTCCAACTAAGGTATCTGGGCGGAGTCTGCTTAAATACGGATTAGTTATCCATGTTACGGTATTGTACCTTTCTACAGGTTAATAAATTATCCATGGTTTAAAAAAAACTTGCGTTGTGCAATATATGATGCACGGACTTGCCATACGTTAATGGAACAACTGACGTCATTCAGCACTAGCATGACTAACAAGTTGATAGGGACAGCCACACAGACATGTCTGTGGAGCGCAGACACAGCGCTACGTAGAGGTTATCCTCTCGCTCTCAGGTTAGTAACAGTTCTACTCTCCATCTTTTATTGAGTTTTAACACGGCGTGCTGCAGTTTAGGTCCCGGGTTCTTTTCGAAACGTTGACTGGGACGAAAGGAATCTACACTTACGTGTAATATTTCCCGGATGTTCACGCTCTATTTGGACTAATGTTCCACGAGCCTTAGTGGAACGGTTCCGCCATTTTCATGTTGTAATATGTTGACAGCTTTGGGTCAGGTTTAGTGTGTTTGTTTAAGGTAGGAAAGTAGACGGTAGTTTGTGTTACTGGATGCGCGCGCATCCACCGGAACAGAACAACTGAAAAAATACACATTTGGTCGTTTGGAAATGATTAAGTCAAAAGAAGCAGTTATTGATTGATATTTAGATGAATCTGATTCAGACAGGATTGGACTGTGGTTTAATGAGAATCAATGGGTCAAAGTCTCAACAGAACAACAGTATTACTGCATACAGTTGGTCTCAGCAGATCTATCTGGACTTTAGATGTAATCTTCAGTTAGAGAAACCACGAGGTTGTGATGCATGCTGGGACAAGACCAGACCCTTCACCTGTACATCAAAAGGTTCTGCATCTCCTGTCACACCAGCTGGGAGGCTGCTGCGGGTCATTTATGAGCAGATCTAACCACTTCGTCTTCATGTCAGCCTCAGACCATTTCCCAGACCAAGCTGCGACAGATGTCAGCAGCATGCTCCCCACCACACACCAGTAAAAAGAAATGAACCCAGCAGCACTGAGACCAGTTCATATCTGCTCAATCAATGGTTTTACTTAACACTGTGAAAATGGACCCAGGATAGTTGGATTGACTCGGTTTATTTGGACAGGGAATGCTGGAAAACTTCACATCTGCCAGTTTTTACACAACAAAAATTAAAGGAACCACAAGAACTAATTAAATCATTAGCTGTCAGATGATTAATCATGATCTGACAGCAGCTAGAAGCTCCAGATGGGGACCGTAGAGTCTGAAATGCCTTTAAAACAAAAAACTTAAACCACTCTGAAACCAGATTTAATTATAATCAAAGTGAAACACACTTGAAGTCCAATGCTGGTCGACCACCACCAGTTGGGTCTTCATTACTCATGAAAGCACCCACACCCCCTTGGACAATATTGAAATTAAAGACTCAGAGCAGCCACCCTCTAACTACTGTCCTTCTTGTTGATGTCCGTGAACTTTCTGGGACAAATAATCCATCAGTTTAAAAGAAAATAAATTCAGTGTTTTTTTTCCTTTCACAACAACTGTAGCTTAGATAAAATTTAACAATCAGTCAGCACACAGAATAACTAAATATCATCCGAACCTCTGGATGGTTCTGCTTTTGTCTGACAGCATAGGTTTAGTAACATGCATGTTCTTCCTTTTAGAACTTCCTCCTTTGAAAAGGCCTGACTCATGGATTTCAGGTCGGTCGTATAGTGTGAACTACCTCATTCAAGTGATGAGGCAACCATTTTTTTTAGACTGTCAGCTAAACGTGTGTCTTAAAATTGAAGCTCTTGTAACTACAGAGGAGGTAAAAAATGGAAAAGCAGGATAATTTGACACTGAGCCGAAGGGAGCGTCAGCAGCAGCTCAGACCAAACCAAACAGGAATGAAAGAGACACCGTAGTTCAGCCTTTTCACAAAAATATTTTCCTCTGTTCCCTGTACACACATGCTGACTCATGGACATGTAGCTCATACTAACCACTATTTAAGGAACATTGTTATTACACAGAGGTTGGATTGATGTCTTTATGCCCGTTTCAGCACACAGCTGAGTTGTGTTTGTTTGTTATATGACTGACTGCATGCTCTTTCAGACAGGGAATGTGAGTCTTTAGTTGACGTCTGAGGTGATCATGGAGGATGAGGGCAGACCTCTGCTGAGCTCCCAGTACACCGGAGAGACCTACTCCAACCGAGGATCCACCGACTCCCTGGACTGCAAAGTCAAACGGTAGATGCCCATGAAACACTGCAATGGTCAGACTGGAGGCTGGGATCTCTGAGGTGCTTCGACCGGTTCAGTGGGCCTGACGTTATTGGTGATAAACACCTGGTCAGGTCAAACTGAATTCAGTCAGTCTTTTCAGAAACTTGTGTCTTTAGACCTAATATTCCCAGTAGGCCAAGTTGGACAGGGAGCCATGTTAGTCACATCACAGAGGTCTGCTCTGCTGAAGGACACTTCCTCAGCTGCTGGACCACAGCCAGAACAAAGTGACACAAATGGAGGAGATGACCTGTATTTATGTAGCACCTTCTAAGCACCCCAAGGCGCGCGCGCGCACACACACACACACACACACACACACACACACACACACTGGAGATGGTGAGCTACACTGTAGCCACAGCTGCCCTGGGGCACATTGACAGAAGCGAGGCTGCTATACACAGATGCCATCGGTCCCTCCAACCACCTCCAGGAAAGCTTTAGTGAAGCTGAATGTAAAGGTTTAACCTAAACAATGGAAGAAAATAGTTCATGCTGGTATTAGTTTCATTTAAAGATGTTGGTTTGTTAACTGCAAGATAACATCAACGCCTTATGGGCTCGACACACGGGAGGCGACAAACGACCGCGATCAGCGAAATTTGTCACTGTCGCTTTTATTACCTGACACACGGGAGGCGATCCGCGGCAGCGGCCAGCGGCAAAGCCGTCTACGCGTTCTGTTCCATGACGAAATTGAAACTTCCGTTGTTTTGTTTGGCTGTGTCAGGTTGGAGGGAATTAAGGTTATTTAAGCGGTTCAGAGTTAAAAAAAAGTGGTAGATATGATGTTTCACAAGGTGCTGCTAGAGTTATGTGAAATCTTACTTGTGACTTTACTATATAAAACATAATAATAATCAACTTCTTCATGTTTGCTCGGAGGTGTACGGAGCATCCTGGCCGCTCATTGGTCAGTGAATGAAACCTCCGTTGATTGGTCCTCGTCCAAGCGACAGCGATGAAAAGTTGAAAATGTTTCAACTTTCTGGGATCGCGTCGCTGGGTCACCTGTGCACGACACGTGCACGAGCGCAAAATTTCACACGCACATTTTTCGCGTTTCGCTTGGTAGGAGCGAGACCCGCGATTATCGCTTTGTCGCGCATGTCTCATTGAAAATGAATGGAGGAGAGGCGATGTCGCCACCCGTGTGTTGAGCCCATTATTCTGCAAGAGAAGCCAGCAGGAGAAGTTACTTTTAAAGTTGGCTTTAAACAGCTGATAGTATCCTCAAACATCTGTGATCTAATCATGTTTCCAAACCAGGAAACCTCGAGCTTCCACCATTAGTACAAAGACCGATATATCTGTAGGCTGATGCAGCAAGCCGATACCTTCTTAGTGAAGTTGATTTAAAGTCAGGCACATCCCCAGGCAGCCCGGTGCTACTTTAAATGTATTTTTACGTTCCTGTGTAACATCTGCATAATAAATGCTCTAAACATTATTTTCAACAAATGTTTTTTTTTCTATTATTTACCAGTTTTGAATATTTAATACTTGGTCAGGTAATTGATTTGTCTGATTGACTTTAGGTAGATATTAACACTAACCAGTGCACAAAATTAAGGTTTAACAGCTGGTTAAATTCAGTGCTCAAAAACAGATTCAGCTTCAGAAATGTTGTGCTTCGACTGATGTCGTTAGTGACATTTTAGCATGAACACAAGGTGTACAATGTCTAGATATCGGCCATGAAAATCTGCCCAGGAGATCAGTATCACAAATCGGCCATCGGCTCACCATGTTCTTTACTTATCGGCAATAGAAAAACCAAAATTGGTCGACCTCTAGTACAAGGCCTGTGTTTTCCAACCTGAAGAGCTTCTATTGTTTTAGATTTGCTGATGAATTAATTCAGATCTATCCTGGTGAAAAAATGCAAAATCAAATAAAAACCAAGTTGCTCATTTTGTCTGGATTGCAAACATATTGGTTTGTCATTTTCACGATTTTATTGACATTATTAAAGTTTTGCTAATTACATTTTTGACTGCAAGTAAATCTTTATTGCCAATGTGTCACATTTATCTAATTACATGTGAAGAAAAAGTTCAAACATCAGATCATTTCCATTATTTTGTCTGGTGTCAAACAGAGGAAGACTAGATATGTTATTTTTTTGCCAACATGTTTGATGTTTTATATAAGAAAGCTGCGAAAACCCTGGTATCCTACATTTTCCTTCCACAAATTAGGTCTGCTGTGCGTCTTTGTACTATTTCAGTGAAGCCTGCATAAATCTTGACATCGTCTCACTTCTTCTGCGAGACGTCCTTCGATTTGCTCCGTGTCTGTTGCTAGAGATCTTTAGCATTAGTTTTGTTGTTGTTTGTTTTGAATGGTGGTGCTGTTGACAAGTTGAAAAGATGTGGCGTGCTGACCAATCACAGCCTTGCGCTCGCTGTAGCTTTTGTATGTCTCTGTCACCATTAGATGAAAAGCAGTTCTTGACTCCTCCAAACTTTGCAGTGGCCCACTGAACACAAACTTATTGTTTAACTTGTGCTAATATGTTCTTTTCCAGTGTTCCAGCTTTGTTTTTGTTGCCCAGATGTAAAGGAACATAAATTATATCTTGCTTAGTAGTTATCCACATACAGAGAGTAGCCTTTGTTCACCAACTTTAGCACCAGCGATACAAGAAGTTCCTGTAGTTCAGAGGTGGAGCTAGAGGGATGTTATTGGACACCACCGTGGTCCCATCCTCTTGTCTACTCAGTGATGTGATACCTGGTGTTTTCACCTGCGATGGACGGGCGCTCTTCATAAGACATGATACGAGTGAAATTGACTTTTCCTTCGCAATGCAGCAGAGAATCATGTATAGCAATGTTTTGACTTTAAACATACGGGTGTCTGTTTATATGGTCCATAAGGGTCCTGATCCCATCCGGCCAGTCCCTGACACTGCTATGCTGTACATAGTTGGAGATGTTCCTGGACTTGGTTAGAACATATTATTATAACCATAGTTAATGGGGTTGGTCCATTTCTGTAGATGTGTTTGGGCTCTTTCTTTGGAATTAGATGACTTTGTCTCCACTGGACAGCCATTAGATTAGTCTTTGTCCAAAATATACCATCCATCAGTACATCAATGTTCTGGTAGAAAGTGTTCAGCCTGATGAGCAAACTTTGTACTTTTTCTGGGTCTGTCTTCCTGGAATCCACTTAGTATGACATCGCAAAGATGTTTGAGTGTGTCGTGTCATTTTGGCACCACCCTGGCATAATTCACCACTGCACTGGCTGTTTTAATCCAGTTAGGTATTTCACAGTGACCAACAAGTTTCTTAGCACATCAAACATTACAAGCACTCCCTTTTCCCCATTCACACCCATCCTGGATTTATGAGTTCAATAAGGCAAGGTAGGTTTATGATACGGCCGTACTCTTTTATTTTTATTTTTTTAGAACTCTGTAAAAACACTGTACAGTTGCTGTTGTATAATTTTTTTGCTGAATGCATAAAAAGCTGTGAAAATATTAAAGAACTTAAGTGAACTCTGACCTTTATGCCTCCCATTAACACCAGTGGCTGTTGTTTTCCCCCTCACTCCGCTTTACATGTCAAGACCTTTATGCGGTCTAATGAAACCTGATGAAGTCATGGCCACGTGGTTCTAGAAGCCCTGAATAAATGCTGAAGATGATGTGATCCATTTGCATTTTTCTGTAGGCCGTTCCACGTGGAGCCCCGCAACATCGTAGATGATGATCCTCAGAAGAGAATCTCTGCTGAGGCCGCCATCCTCAACAGCAGAGTCCATTACTACGGCAGACTTACGGCCTCCTCTGATATGCTCTTGGTATGGCAAGTTATTTGGCATAAACAAAATTTGTGTGTGTGTGTGTTGACAATAACTGTTGTGGATGTGTATTGGTGAAATTCTGGCGATACGATATATCACGATACAGTGCGATACATTCAGCCAGATGATGTTAGTGATATTTTTTAGACTGAAATTATTGTAGGAAAATTCAATAAGCAGTCCAAACTGATACACATGTTTAACATGAGATATCTGAACCATAATAGAGGGATTTACATTTCAATGGTGGAAACAAAAGCCATTTTACACTGCTGCCAACTAGGGGTTGGTGTTTGAATTGCACCAAAAGAAAAGAAAAGAAACCAATGTTTGCATGTAAATTCTTTCAAAAATTTGATACACAGCATTTGAATATTAAAATAATATCGCAGGAAAAATATTGTGATACATTGCCATATCACAATTTTCTTACATCCCTAGTTATTAGGGATATATATCTATACATTCTTTTTCTTAATGCAATTCAAACACTGACCTCTAGTTGGCAGCAGTGTACAATGGGTTTTGTTTCCACCATTGAAATGTAAATCCCTCTATTATGTTCAGATACCTCATTTTAACTCCTTCACTGCCAGCCGTTTCCTGATCGGTAAAGCCCTTCGCTGCTAGCGTTTCTCACTAAAGAGTCACAGAACATTGCGCGCTAGGATGATGTCAAAGCCAAAACTAACAAAACAAAGAGGAGACTCACTTCCTACATCAGGAAAAATCTGCGCGTTTCGAGCGTTATCCGTTCTTTCATAATCCGTTGTTGAATTGTGATCCACAGAAGCTTTTCCGGTTCGCGCCTCACTTTTTTTACGGCCTAAAATGATCTCCTGGTCACGTGACATGCGACGTATGCGGATGAAGATCGGCTTTAGAGCTGAGATGTTTGTTCTCACTGTGCGGGGGCTCGTTCCAATGCCCACACAGTAAAAAAAAAATGCAAATGACGACTTTAGTCATCATAGGCAGTGAACGGTTGGATTTAAAATGACGATTTTAGTCGTCAATGGCAGAGTTAAACATGTTATGTATCTGTTTGGACTGTTTATTGAATATTACTACAATAATACAATAATAAGTCTAAAAAGTTGCTAATATCGTCTGTCTGAATGTATCACAACATATCTTGATATATTGTTTCCTCTTTATCGTGATTAGTATTGTATCGCCAGAATTTCACCAATACACATTCATACTAATGCCTATAACACTTGTAATAAAGTCTTCGTTTCAACGACAGTCAGCTGTCACAGACTGCTTTCTAAAGAGATTATTGTTGTTTATGTGTAAATGTGAATTTTTGTTCTCCACAAAGCCTTTAGACGACTATACATTTTAACTGTAGTACTTGTTGCGTTTCTTTTTTCCAGAGTCCTCCGAATCATGTGATCCCCCTGAACGAGGAGCTCTACGTCTATAGTCCTCTTGGGACCGCGTTCAAAGTGCCAGATGGGGACTCTGCCTCTAAAAACCCCAGTATTGTTACGATGTGAGACCTGCTGATGACCGTTAGCCTAGGCGGGGGCGTGTCTTCAGTGACTGACAGTAGTTTTCCTGTTGTTGGTTTTGCAGCTTTGCTATATGGAACACAATGATGGGCACATCCATACTCAGTATACCGTGGGGGATTAAGCAGGTGATTAGTTTAAATTGTCAAATATCTGGTAGAGCCAACAGGAATTCTGTTAAAATGCAGAAGCACTTTTGCTCCATTCCTTTATTCTGACATTTATCAAAATCTTTTTCCGCTTTAGTCTGGTTTCACTTTGGGGATCCTCATCCTCATTCTCACAGGCCTGCTTATGCTGTACTGCTGTTACATCGTCATCAAGTCCCCCAAGGCGATACGTAAGTTATGCTATCTTCTCCTTCTGTTAGCTGGCTGTTGGCAAACAGCAGTGTGATGCCACTGCTCTAAATTCAAGCATTAAGAATTTAAATTCTTTCATTAGGGAAAGCAGATCTGATCCTTCTCGTCTCCACCTAAAAATTCCCCAGAATAATCTGTGACCAATCTGTGGGATTCTAAAGCTAGTTTTCCATGAGCACTAGAGTAACTCGGGTTAGTTCCGCTCAGCCCAATCACATTTTCCACAAGCACGGTTCTCTTTCTTAACATTCGTTTCGATGTCTCACTATGGGATACGCCACTCCGCGGATTCCTCAGAAGCACTTATCTCAATACGCCAATCCTGATTGGCCAGTGACCGTGACGTACGCGTCACCTGCTACTATAAGTAGCAAGCGTCCCAACGCACGCACCATTCAATCACCTCTTCTTGCTTCGGTGGTCGCTTATCTCTAAGGTAAGTTAACTCAACTGTTCACAGACGGAGCCAGCTAACATTCTCTCCGTCGCCGAACGTTAACTTACCGTCCTGTCCTGACCTTCACCATAGGTTCGGGGCATAACGAGCAGCTTCACACTCCAGTGCATCTGTTCGTTCTCTTGCTAACACACCAGTTAGCCAGCATGGAAGCCGCTCCTCCCACCAGAGGAGTCGGCGGCGCAGGAGCTCGCCTCTGTACCTGTGGGAACAAAATCTCAAGCAAAGACCCGCACAAGGTCTGCTCGAGCTGCCTCGGGCTGGAACACGCCCAGCTGGCATTGGAAGTCCCCGGGTCATGTGAGAGCTGCGCTTGCTTCACCCTGAAGAGCCTTCGCCGGCGGCTAGCGCGCCAAGCTAGCCTGTCGGGGAAGGACCCTTGCCTGCCGGCCCCTGGGCCACCGCCTGGGGACGCCAGCGAACATGTCCTCCCGGAGCCAGAACCGTGTGCCGAACTCAGCTGGGGCTCACAGCTCGAACCGGCCGGTCCGAGCCACCCCGTCGAGGACGTGTTGGAGTTGGACTACGGAGACGACGAGGACACCTCGGAACTCCTCATTTCAGAGGAGGACGACGTGTTTCTCCCCATCGCTCAGGCCTCCATGCCTAGCTTTCCGTCCTCTCCCAGGGATGGAGCGGCTTCTCCGGCCGCCCACCTGGACATGCAGTCAGTCTGCCGACGCGCTGCGACCAGGCTCAACATCCCTTGGCCCACCGTGGTCACTGAGGCTGTCAGATCCTGCTACGAGGGAAAGAAGCTGCCTCAGGCCACAAGGGCGGCAAAGCCTCTCCTTCCCGCCTTCCCGGAGCTTCTCCAAGAAGTGAGGTCCTCCTGGGACAAACACCCTTTCAGCTCCAGGTCTCCTGTCCAAGGAGCCTCCTCGCTGGACTTCGAGGGGATGGAGAAGGCTGGCATGCTTCGCATGCCGCAGATGGAACCGCTGGTTGCAGCACACCTGCACCCACGGCTCTCGGCAACTTTCTCCAGGCCTCCCGCTCTCCCTGCTAAGGCGGACCGCTTCCAGTCGGCGCTGAACGAGAGGGCGTACAAGGCTGCCACCATCTCGGTCCGAGCTTTGAACGTCTCCTCCATGCTCTCGGCGTACCAAGCCGAGCTCTGTGAGGACATGAATACGAAGCCGGACCCGGAGGTGTGGGAGGAAATCACCGTACTGACCGACATCTGCCTGCGTGTGCAGCGCTGCGCGGTCCAGGCTACGGCTAACGCTATGGGCATGATGGTGCTTCAAGAACGTGCACGATGGCTGAACCTCACCAACCTCTCTGATAGAGAGAAGGAGGACATTTTGGACATGCCAATCGTGCCTGAAGGCATTTTTGGCTCTGCCCTGGCATCAATGCAGCAACGGTGTGAGGCCAAAAAGAAAGAGGATGAAGCCCTTCATCTCTGCCTTCCCCGTAAGCCCTCACCGGCGCTGCCGGCTCGGCCGAACCTGCCTCAGGCAGCTGCCAGAGCCCAGCCTCAGTTCCGGATCCCAAAGCGCCCAAAGCCTCAAGCTGTCCAACCAGCTCCTTCGGGCTCAGCGCTTTGACCAGTTTGGCCTCAGAGATCCGGCAACCAAGCCGCTCCGCCGTCGGGACAACCCACCAGACACGGCGGTCAGCAGGTGAGGAAGAAGAAGAGGGCAGCCTGACGGAGTTCTTTCCCTCCCGACGCTGCAGCTGGCAGTTCCCCGTTCGCCAGCTCCTCCTGTTCGATGTTGCCATGGTGCCCCCCCCCCCCCCCCCCCCCCCCTCACGGAACCCCTCCGGCAGAGTCCCCGAGCGGTCCAGGGTGGGGCCAGGACGTGCAGCCGGCTGTGCTGGCTCAAAACACACGTCACAAGCACTCACATTGTTGTTTTTTACAAACATGTCACGCTCAAGGAGCATTAAAATGTTCGCTGACGCATCCAGACGAAATGTCAAGGGCGCAGCAAAAATCAATAAAAATGTTACCCATGAGCGGAACCAGGCGGGGGCGGCCCCTGGTGGACTTACCCGCCAGCCACGGGTCGTCCCCGTACGCCTGGGCCGTCAAAGCACAAAGCCCCCGCGCATGCGCAGTGGTTGCCACGAGCACCGCTGCCCCACAACATCTGGTGGGAGCTGCTGCTCCGTGTGTCACGGCTGTGTCACCACTCTCCACTCACATGGAGGAATGGACAGCGGTTTCTGCTTCACGTTGGGTGCTGAGAACTATTTCGAGAGGTTACAGGCTCCAATTCGCCTCAGTTCCTCCTCGATTCTCCGGCGTAGTGTTCTCCCACGCCCAGGGGACGTCAGCTCACATCCTTCAGGGAGAAATCTCCTCCCTGCTGGAGAAGGGAGCGATATGCATTGTGCCTCCCGATCGGTCTCAGAGCAGTTTCTACTCCAGGTACTTCCTGGTCCCGAAACGGGGAGGGACCGGGATTCGCCCGATCCTGGATCTGAGGGCCCTGAACCGATGCCTCAGAAAGTACAGATTCAAAATGCTCACACTCTCATCCCTTTTGCGTCTGATTCACCAGAACGACTGGTTCACCTCAATCGACCTGAGGGACGCATACTTTCATATTCCCGTGTACCCTCCACACAGGAAATTTCTGAGGTTTGCCTTTCAGGGAGTGTGTTACAAATACACCGTGCTCCCATTCGGCCTCTCGCTGAGCCCGAGGGTGTTTGTCAGGTGTACGGAGGCAGCGATCGCCCCTCTGAGAGGGAGGGGCATTCGGCTGGCCACGTATTTAGACGACTGGCTCCTGCTGGCACGATCCAGAGAGGAGACAGCGTCAAACACGCTGGTTGTGATCCATCACTTGTGTGGTCTGGGTTTCAGAATAAACTGGCAGAAAAGCGCTTTACTCCCCTCCCAGAAAATAACCTTTCTAGGTCTGAATCTGGACTCAGGGGCGTTCACGGCCCATCTCTCGACACCGCGCGTGAACGCACTCTCGCTCTGCCTGGCGCGCTTCCGCCTACACAGTTCGGTGCGGTTTGCGTTATGCCTCAGGCTTGTGGGTCTCATGGCGTCGGCTATTTCAGTGGTACCACTCGGCCGTCTACACATGAGAGATTCTCAACGCTGGGTGGCTTCTCTGGGTCTCTCTCCAGTGCGCCACAGAGCGCGCAGGGTGACGGTCTCTGCAGCGTGCGTCGCGGCGCTCCGCTGTTGGCGTCACCCCTCCCTCTTGGCACAGGGGGTGCCTTTGGGGTTGGTTCTCGTGAGGAAAGTGGTCACGACAGATGCAAGCCTGTCAGGTTGGGGGGGGGGGGGGGGGGGGGGCTCCTGGATGGTCGCTCTGTCAGGGGTGTGTGGAGCAGAGAGCTCTGGGGGACACACATAAATTATCTGGAACTCCTCGCGGTCTTTCTGGCCCTGAGGGGTTTCCTGCCTTTTCTCTCCGGCCATCATGTCCTAGTGAGAACAGACAACACCACGACTGTGGCATATATAAACCGCCAGGGGGGGCTGCGCTCCATGCGGTTACACACGCTGGCACGCAGACTGATCCTATGGTGCAGCAGGCATCTCCTCTCAATCAGAGCCACCCATGTCCCAGGTGTTCTGAATCGGGGGGCGGATCTGTTGTCCAGAGGGACACCCCTGTACAGGGATTGGAGCCTGCATCCAGCTGTGTTGGAACAGATTTGGATCCGGTTCGGCACAGCCGTAGTGGATCTTTTTGCCTCCAAGGAGAATGCTCAGTGTCCACTGTTTTTCTCCCTGCGCGACCGAGACGCTCCACTTGGCGTGGACGCGCTGGCACACGACTGGCCACGGAGACTGCTTTACGCTTTTCCCCCAGTGGCCCTGATACCACCCACCTTGCTGAGGGTACGAACCCAGCGCCACACTCTCATTCTGGTGGCCCCATACTGGCCAGCCATGCATTGGGTGGCGGACATTTTCCAACTCCTGGAGGGCCAACCTTGGAAACTGCCGCTTCGCAGGGACCTGGTGTCCCAAGTGGGAGGCTCGATCTTCCACCCTCATCCAGAACAGCTGGCCCTGTGGGCCTGGCCCCTGAGGGGTGCGGGCTAGTGTCAGCAGAGCTGCCCCAGGCAGTCATTCGAACCATTCAGAATGCTAGGGCCCCCTCCACTAGGTCCCTATATGACTGTAAATGGAGGGTGTTTGAAGCCTGGTGTCAGGGTAGGGAGGTCTCACCCTTCCAATGCCCGGTGAACATCATTCTGTCTTTCCTGCAAGACTTGTTGGATGGGAAGAAGGCTTTCTCCACCATTAAAGTGTACCTAGCAGCCATTTCCGCCCGACACTTGGGTTTTGGGAAGAAATTGGCAGGTCAACACCCCCTGGTGTGTAGCTTCATGAGGGGCGCGCGCAGGCTTCTCCCTGTGTCTCGACCCCTGGTGCCCTCATGGGATCTGTCCTTGGTGCTGTCGGCCCTCTCCGGGCCTCCATTTGAACCTATGGACAGCCTGGACCTTAAGATCCTGTCTCTTAAGGTGGTGCTACTCCTGGCTTTGGTATCTGCAAAGCGAGTTAGTGACTTACAGGCTCTCTCTGTGCACCCATCCTGCACCCAGTTTGCACCAGGTGACATGAAGGTGTCCTTGAAGCCCAACCCTGCCTTTGTGCCTAAGGTAGTGGGCTCCTTTTCTCCTATTATCCTCACAGCTTTCTACCCACCACCCTTCTCCTCTCCTGAGGAGGAGCGGTGGCACAAGCTGTGTCCGATTCGCGCGCTCAAGGAGTATGTGAATCGGACGGAGAACCTTCGCAGGGGGGACCAGCTTTTTGTGTCATGGGGTGGGCCTCATAAGGGGAAACCCGTCACAAAGCAGCGGCTTTCCCACTGGATTGTGGAGGCTATTTCTATGGCTTACTCCTGTCAGGGCATTCAGGCACCTGTTGGGCTCAGGGCCCATTCTACTAGGGGCCTGTCTGCCTCTTGGGCCCTTTTTCGGGGGCTGTCAATCCAGGAGATTTGTGCTGCAGCAAGTTGGGCTTCTCCACTTGCATTTGCACGCTTCTATAAGCTTGATGTTTCGGTCCCTGCAATGACTCACACAATTCTGAGTGTGGGGTCTTTGGCGGGCCAAGACGTATCCCTGTAGGTTGGTGATTGCTGGATAAGCTGTCTGGCAATACGGGAGTCTCCATATCCCATAGTGAGACATCGAAACGAATGTTAAGAAAGAGAGCTTTAGGTTACTGTCGTAACCCCGGTTCTCTGAGTAACGTGAGTGAGATGTCTCACCAGACAACCCTTCTTGCTGGGCGAAGCGAGAAGAGGTGTTTATCTTGAATGGTGCGTGCGTTGGGACGCTTGCTACTTATAATAGCAGGTGACGCGTACGTCACGGTCACTGGCCAATCAGGATTGGCGTATTGAGATAAGTGCTTCTGAGGAATCCGCGGAGTGGCGTATCCCATAGTGAGACATCTCACTCATGTTACTCAGAGAACCGGGGTTACGACAGTAACCTAAAGTTTGGTATTTTCCCCTCTGCTTTTCCCTAGTTTTTAGTCCCTGCTTCATTTGATGTACCTGGCATGGCTGAGTTGGACCAGCATTCCAACTGGGATTTCTGATTGACTAGGGGGCGGAGTCACTGCTTGTTCCGGAGTTTTCTGCCTGCTGTTTCACTGCCTGCAGCCATTTTCTGGTTCAGAGTCTGACAAAAAGCCATAAAACTGAGCAGAATGTCCAGCAACACCACCATTTTTGTGCTGAGTTGTGTTTCTGTGGAGCATACAAGCAACCTTAAGCTGTTTACAGATCATCACCTCATGCTACTTTTGTGTGGAGCATGAGGGGCACACCAAATTTCTGTCAGAGCTGGCAGGAAAATCAAAACTGCACTCCAATGAGCTGACTTGAACAACAGAGCTGTTTCAGGCTGAGAGGTGTCCTTTGAAAACTAGCATTAAGAACCTGTGAAATGAAGACATTTGTGATAGTTCTGATGTCTAAATATATAATCATGTGCTTTTAGTTGAGTTTCCTTGAAATTTCCTGCAGAGCCAATTATTAGCTCATGCCAGTAAGAAAATTGTCCCCTATGAGGACCCATGGAAGACAAGTTATGGCTGGATCACATGGGACGTATGGTGTTATTAACTTATTGTGACAGTCATGCACAATAAAATAAATTCAAGCTGGTTCAGCATCAAACATGTTTTAGTTCTTAACTCCACATGAACATGTTTACCTTCTTAGTTATCAGTCAGAAAGTCTAGTTGTTGGGGTTTTGTTTTCGAATTGAATCACCAGAGGGATTCATTAATAGCTGTGATGCTCTCTTTGTCTCTGTTTTCAGCCAACGAGGACACGTCCAGCTGGGAATTTCCCGATGTTTGTAGATTCTACTTTGGAAAGACTGGCCAATGGTCCAGCTTGTTGTTCTCCATGGTGTCCCTTATTGGTGCCATGGTGGTTTACTGGGTCCTCATGTCCAACTTCCTGTACAACACTGGGCAGGGTATCCAGAGTAAGTCACAAAGCATCTTTAGTTTGGACTCGGTCACAGCTGTTGTGTTTGTCTTGTGTGGATCGTTGGGATCAGAAGTCAGACTTTTCTCAGATTAGCGAAACTGGGGTCACTGATTACCTTTAAAGTTCATCCGTGAAGGTTCTCCTTGATCCAGGGCAGAGAAATCAATCTGGAAAAGTGGAGTGAGAAAGTTTGTCTGAAGAGCCACAAAAAATCTTCAATCAGAGCATAAATCTGGGAGCCTCAGTTAGAATTTAAGATCAGCTGTAAGTCACACTTCTGATGAATATATTTAATCCTACATGTGATGAGGGAGGCAGGTATTCGTATAAAAGGGCCTGACTTTATTTAGTTGTGTCAGAAGATTCAACAACTGATTTTTCTGCACCAGTAAATCCAACCTACACCAACCTAGTTGTCCTCTTTCTGTCTTTACTAATCCAGTCCTCCCAGATCAGTCACCTTCTACCTACTGCAGCCTTCACTTTTGTTTTCCTCAGACTAGATCAGTTCATTCGCTCAGTGGTGACTCCAGTCCTGGACCTTTAGAGGTTTAGGATGCTGGTGAACCCTCTAATGTGCACCGAGGATGAGGAGTGAATCTGTATTGCATCATACCCTGATGAATAAGTTCAGTGTAACTCCAACTCGGTTTGTTTGTGACATTATTGAATTATTAAACTGTCATTATTGTTTATTTCTCATCCCTTTGTTACAGAATGTTCCCATAGAGCTCCTGCTGGCGTTGGACATTCTGACCTTTTGAGCGCATTAGGAGCTAATCTGATTTGAGTTTTCCTGCCAATATGTTCCAACTGTAGTCCTTTACAGGAATCTGTCTGGAAAAAAATAAGTTGGATTAATATAAAAAATACTATTAACTTATTTAAGTCAGTGTTGTTTTGATCCTTCTGTTACATCATCTAAAGAGATTAGTGCTAAAACTTTATAGAGTATTTAAAACCAGACAGGAAACTAGTAAGGAGATGCCAGAACAGGGGCCGTGTGTTTCCGTACCAGTCAGAAGTTGAGACGTTTTCAGTAGTTTAGGTTCTGTTTGTCATTGCAGGAGGTACGTCTGTCTCCACAAAGTTTATTAAAAGTAGATCAGGCGGGGAATGAGAATTAAGTGTGTTTCTGATCAGTTTGTTGGTGGAAGTGGAATGTGATCTGGAATTGTGAAGCTCTTTGTTCAGCTGATTACCTCTTTTCCTCCTTGCAGACTTTGTACACAACATCAGCACGTCCGATTCAGAGTTTGGAACCAACGGCTCAGACCGAGGTAAGTCTCTCTAAAAGCAGTTTAGGTCTGGGCCTCAGCGCCACCTCTAGCAGGTTTCTCATGTTAGCGTTAGCCTTTAGGTGACCTAACACTCAGCAGAGGTTCTGACGAAAAGACTCGCCAAGTCCAGCTTGTAGTTGGCATCATGATCCCTAAGCCAGGTTTCTGTTAGAGTGATAATATCTAATAATTATGGTTCATATAATCTTATATCTATGCATTTTGTTGTGAAGTGACTGGATGATGAACAGCGTGGAAATCAGCAGAGCCCTCTGCTGGCGGACGTCACCACATCGTCCACTTTTTCTTCTCTCGATAACTGCTGACACAGCGTTCTTCTCAATAAAAGGAGAAACCAGTCCTTCCTGTAGAGCAGAAGCCAGGTCACATAGATATGAGGATAAGAATTTGTCTCATGGAAAATCAGAATTTTAGTGCATGATCATCCATGCTGCTGGTGTGTGTGTGTGTGTGTGTGTGTTGGGAAGAATGAGAAATTATAAACCTTTGACGGAAGGCAACTAAACTGAGTGTAAATTAAAGGAAATTTACAACAGAAAACATGAATTTTCTGTAAAATCCGTTTTGTGATTTATGTTGTTGCATCTGATCCATCCCAGCTGAGCCATGTTTGTGTTCATCTGTGTGTTTTATTGCACCTGTCCGTAACATCTTATCCGTGTGTGTTCCAGTCATTTGTCCATTCCCAAAAACCAACCCAGAAGGAAATGACACCACCTGCACACTTCGTCTCAGCAGCGTTGGGAATTCGTCTGACCCGGGTGCTTTTGAGCACTACTGGAGTAAAACCCGCACCGTCCCGCTCTACCTCATCGTTCTGCTGCTGCCTCTCCTCTGTTTCCGCTCAGCTTCCTTCTTTGCAAGGTTCACCTTCTTTGGTAAGACAGTGCTAAGTTCCTCACTGGGGGTGTAGATGCGTCCTAGATTAGCTCAGGTGTTGTAATGAGCGGTGAGGTAAACGAGGGTTCACCTGCAGCTCTGTCACGGTTAAAGGACGATAATAAACGCCCAAAACAAAGATGGACTTCAGCTCACTGATCAGTTCACAGCTTTTACTCTGCAAGCAGATGTTCATTAGAAGCTGTAAATAAAGACCTGCATGTTTTGTGTTAGTCTGTGTATGTCAGTGACCTTTGACCTTCCAAACTGGTCTAAGCTAATGGAGGCTAATCAAGAGAAGAGATAATTTATTTTCCTCAATAACATCAATGAAATTCTGTCTTTGATTTGTTGATGTTTGTTTCTTGTCTGAAACCATTAAGAGCCAGACTGACTGTCTAGGCTCCGCCCCCAGCCCTCAGACTGTGGGTGGTGGAGCGTAAAGGCCGGTGTTTGTTTGGGATTCCCCCCGGGTGTTGCTACAATATTCCCGTATCTTCTGTCTCCTCCAGGCACCATATCAGTTGTCTACCTGATTGTTTTGGTCACGATTAAAGCTGTCCGCCTCGGCTTCCACCTGGAGTTTCACTGGCTGGACACGTCCCAGTTCTTCGTACCAGGTGAACTCTCCCTTCGCCTCCTTGGATTTGCTCTTCTCTGTCTCTGAGTTTGTTTGCCCTTCAGCTAAGAAAACCCTTGCCCTCATCACAGAAGTCAGTCGTCTAAACTTAAGATGTTGTATTTGTACACGCGTCCTGTTGGAGTACTTCCTTCTAACTGACAACTGCTTACATTCCTGCGTGTCTTTTTGTCAGTACTATGAACTGTATGCACGTGCTTGTCCTCACCAGGAAATGCCTTTTGGCAGTGAAACATTCGTGACCAGTGCAGGAAAAATGTTGTGGTTCACATTTTTATTACTTTTGTTTGTTTGTTTTCTTCCAGAGTTCAGACAGTTTTTTCCAAACTTTACTGGGATCCTCACTCTGGCCTTCTTCATTCACAACTGCATCATCACACTAATGAAGAGCAATAAAAACCAAGACAACAACGTGAGCCCCTGCTGTTCAGAAACCACTTCAGTCTGTAACTGTTCTTGGTGGATCATGTGACTCGATATTCAGAAGATGCAGAAACACAAGAAGCAGCTCAGATGAGCCTCCTGCCACAACGTCTGAACGATTTCCTATTATAATGGTTACCTGGGTGCTCTACAGTACAAAAAGACACAGTAGATACCAGGGGCCTCATTTATCCAGCTTGCTTACGCTAAAAACGGGGTCGGTAAACTGCGTAAGCAACTTACCACTTAAACTGTGGGATTTATGAAAGAAAACTTAGCGAAAAAATGTGAGCAACTGTAAATTGACTAAGGACCTGGCTTACACACATGTTGGACATGGAGAGCACCTGCAGTGCTGCTGCTGAGAAGGACACAATTATGAAATCCTGCAGCGTTATCACTTGTACTGTGTGAAAACAAAGCAGTACAAGACCCCCCACGCACACACATGCGCTCGCACACACACACACATTAACACACAGCCTGAAGCGCAGAATACAGAATGCAGAATATCAGTAGGGGGACAGATTGAGACAGAATGTCATGCGTCTGTGACAGTGTGTGTCCTGTCACTGTGACCTCAATTGATAATGCGCCCTGGCTAGTTGAACAGGGGAGATATCCGTTGGGCTGACTGGTTAGTGCGCGTGACTTTCACCCGGGGAGTCTGGGGATCAAATCCCGATTGGACCGTTTTTTTTATATCTGCCACAGATCTCTCTGAAGAATTCCCAACATTGACGGCTTCAGCAACGCTGTGCCACTCCGTGGATTTTCTCTTATTTGTTTTGCAAAAGCACTTCCTTTCATTTCTCCACCTCACCCACAAGTACCTGAATTTCTGCTTCTGTGAAATTGAGCTTCCTTTATCTGCCTTGATCTACGGTCGCCATCGTCATTGGCGGAGCGCTGCAACAGCCGGCTTATGTATATGCATGAGATCCACAAGGCACTTTGCATTGACTATATATGGCAGTAAGTGGGCGTGGTGAGAGCGGGATGTGACTAAAATGCAGCTGAGAAACATTCTTGTTAGTCTCCGATTTATGAAGCGGAGATTGCGTGCAGCTGTGCGTACTCCATGTTTGATAGATCACAGACCTGCTAGGCGTGAATACATTTTTTTTTTGCTGAGCTTAAGTACGGTTTTAGTAAGGATTCTACGCAATGTTTGATAAATGAGACCCCAGGGCTCTTGCTTTTAGTCAGGTTTCTTTGGCTTGTTTCACACTGCAGGCCTTGGTGCTCAATTCTGATTTTTTAGACTAAATCAGATTTTTTGTGTGGCTGATCACATTAATACTGAAATGCAACATCAAATTCTGTCCAGTGTGAACGCTTCACAGCTCTGAAGCGACCCGCATGTGCAGAAGAAGAGATGGATTCACTCAGAGTGGAGTCAGAACCAGGAGAGGCGGAGCTGCAATGTGAAAGCCTTCATGGACATTTCATAGACTGTTTTGGGCTGGAAACTTTTGAAAACCGTCAACTATTTTACTCCTTATTCTTGCCGTCTTCCTAAATTATTATTCACTGAAATTGTTCTGCTATTAAGTTCATTAACGAACCCCCCCACACAGAGACCGGAGAGATGCTTCGCTCCAGCAGCAGCTCTCATGCTCTTCTGTATTTTTATTTCCTAAACTTAAAAGGATGTCCAGACAGACCTCTGATTCCTTCTGTCAGCGCTTCTTCTCAGGAACGTCAACACACGACCCTCACCTCAGTGACGTAAGAGGTGGATTTAATTCGACAAGACCGTTCAGACTGCAGTCACTTTCAAAAACATCAGATATGTATCAGAATCAGCACCACATATGAAAGTGACCTGGATCGGATTTGAAAAAATCTGATCTTTGCTGTTCAGACTGTCACAAATATCAGATGTGGGTCGCGTGTGTGGGGACAAAAATCAGCTTCGATCCGCTTCTGCCTGCAGTGTGAACGTAGCCTTTGTCTTACTCAACCCTGAAATGTCAAATCAAAAAGCAGAAGTTCAGTTGCTCTTTAAAACAATTTTTAACTCTTGGGATTTCCTCGTCCTGGGTGAATGAGAATCTACCCAAACATGTTGTAATGTTGAAGTTGCAAATGTTTTGACTTTTTTCATCCTAAAAACAGGACAAAAGGCTCCACGGTTGAACTTGTATTGGTGCCACCTGTTTCCAGGTGCGGGACCTGTCTGTGGCATACCTCTTAGTAGGGCTGACGTACCTGTATGTGGGGGTGCTGATTTTTGCTGCCTTTCCATCACCTCCACTCTACAAGGACTGCATAGAACCTGTAAGATTACACTCCTTTCTCATAAAAGCTAAAAGTATATTGGAAGCTAATTATTTACTTGCACTCATTAAGTTCCTTGAAGGTTTGCACACCAGCCTTCATGTTTCAGACCAACGTCTTCTATGAGGAATGAGGGTGTTATGGTAGATCAGTGTATAAAACTCGCTACGTTATAACCATAAGGTGTCCTTCTAAGGCCAGTTGGCTGTAGCGGCCATCTAGATGTGGGTCGACTTCATATGTTGTTGGTGTTAGAGCTCCTCTCAATGATTCTTCTGTTATCTGCAGTTCGATGTTGTCAGTTACTTAGGTTCAACATGTAAACCAACTGATGACATAGGATTCAAATCGGGCCATTTAGGACAAAAGAGGGGTTTCTAGAATGTTCACCCAATGGCACAATGTACCTGAAATATCCAACACACTACTGCTAACCGACACCGACTTTTCTTCCAGAACTTCTTGGATAACTTCCCCAGCAGTGACGTGTTGGTGTTTGTGGCTCGATTCCTTCTGCTGTTCCAGATGATCACGGTCTACCCGCTGCTGGGATACCTGGTACGGGTCCAGATTATGGGTCAGCTCTTTGGGAACCACTATCCCAGGTAACTGGACTTTTGCTAAGGTGCATCAAATGTGTGTACCCCAGCTTGTTTTTAACTTGTGATCTGCTGATGCACCTGCTGCACAGGTTTTAGTTTTATTTATAGCCAGATTTGATCAGGTGTCACACAATAAAGCTCATTTTTAGGTGAGAAGAATCAATGAAAATATAAACTAAAACTGTTAACTTAGCCAAAAACTGCAAGAAAAATCCCCAAAGATGAGTTTGTCAATATGGGCAATGAAGCCCCGCCCCCTTTGGAGCTCAGGTAGACCTCTCAGTAGAAGCTCTCTAACAGAAAGTTGGACTTTACGTGACTGAACTGGTTTTACATTTTATGCTATTTATTGTTTTTATCAACAGAATATGTAAATTTCGTACCTTTTTCCTAACGAACGCGTCCCGCAGAGGTTTTATTTTACATCAGTGTGACCCTACACGACTGAAGCAAAACCTCAATTCTGGAATTAAAGGGATTTCTTTTTACTTTTAACCAGTTTTAAATACTGAATAAATCCCTGTAAACACCAGACCATTTAAGCTCACAGTCATTTAATGTACTTTATAGTTAGAGCACATTTTATTTCAGGTTTACCTTTTTTGAAGTTCTGCTTCAAGCATGACCGAGCCTCTGCTTCAAAGGTAAAGTTAAAAATCAGCATGAACCTTTTGGAGGACCACATAAGAGAGCATGGTACTGAATCTTGTAGAGGTGTTCCACTGGGAACCCTTTAGATGTCCTCACAGTTGTTCTGGTAATACCTTGTTTAATATTGAAACAACAATCACAGCTTGGAGACAGTGAAACAGTGAAGTTCGGCCATTTTTAGAAAAGCATTTCAGTCGTTACCTTCTGCCCTCTACCACACCCATGTGATGTCGATTATTGACGACTTCCTTACACACAAACCTGTCTTTGTCCTGTCAGAGAAAAACTCCTTCATGTTGTAGCAGTTCTCAAAAACCTTTACATGCTTCAATGAAATGTTTCTTTTTTTCAGTTTCCTTCACATCCTCATACTGAATATCTTCATTGTTGGAACTGGTGTCGCAATGGCAATGTTTTATCCCAATATCGGATCAATCATACGGTAAGCGTCCAGCTGTCGTGTGGCGTCAGTTAAAAGGACATAAATGCACATATTCATTGCTGCCTGCTGATTGAAACACACACACACACACACACAGCACTAATTAATGTTGAGTCTGTTTCCTTTTGTAGGTATTCTGGAGCTATTTGTGGACTGGCATTAGTGTTTCTCTTTCCTGCTTTAGTCCACATGATGTCCCTGAGACAGGACGGGAGGCTCAGCTGGCTGTCAGCTTTTTTCCATAGTTTCCTCATCGTACTAGGCCTGGCTAATGTAATCGCACAAGTATTTATGTAAGAAGCGATCAACCAGATTAGACCTGATATGTTGGGGTTTTGTAATATTACTAATCACACAAAACAGATGCTTCCAATTAGTGAAAAGAAGTTATGAAAAAAATATCATGCAATCGATACCTTTTGTTTTTGATGTCTTTTGGGGGTTTAAACTATAGATTACTGCTGCTTCAGCTGATCCTAGAACAGTCAGACCTCCCATGATTGGCTGAAACACCCCAGTAAACTTCATTTTAAAGCATCACTTGTAAAACAGTGTTTTACCACAGCTGCTAAGTGGCCGGGGTGCAGCTGCCTTGTCTCAGGGGTTCATCTCGTTCTGCTCGACTTGCACCAGAACGCCACGTTGCTATGGACAGTGCCTTCAGGGGGTTTGGTCAGATCAGCGACTATGAACACGAAACTTCAGTTCTCATGAATAAGTTAGCTTAATTATTAGTCTGCTGTTTAATCCTAATGAGCGTTCTGATTAGGAAACAGTGTTATAAAGATGTTGGACTATTTTGTAAAACAAGTTTTCAGAAAACCGTTTATAGCTACACTGATAATTTGATTTTACTGTTATTGGAAAAGGGAACTGAGTAATAAACTAGTAATAAATCACTATGTTCTTCTGTGGTTTTTCTTTAATGTTAAGAAATTCCAGACACCCTGGCGTCTACATGTAGGACCAAGCTTCAGACATGTGGGGTCCGTTGAAGAGAACTTGGACACGTTTGTACAGTGACTGATTTTAATAGTTTCATAAACAACTATATAAAACAATTCATGCACTTTCAGTGTGAATTCATTTGAAAATATAGAAAATATTTACAAGTTTGAACTTTAACAGTGACTTCATTTAGTTGGGTGGTTTACAAACAATATACTTGGCTGCATAGAAACATTATTGCCTACAAGGAAAATTGGAAAAATTAACGAAAAACAATAAATGCAAAAATTCCAGTTCATTTCTAACAGGTGCTCCTGCTGTGTTCATCCACTCTGTACAACAGACTCCAGCCACTGATAAACAGTGAACAAAAACAACAAAACTAAGTACTAGTAAAAAAAATTGTTAAAAAACATTCCCTTAAAAATTACATTCTGAAAGCATTATTGTGGAAAAAAGAAATTACTCATAGAACGACAAAAGCCTGAGTTGAGAAGGAAAGTATAGTCATAGTAAATTCAAAAAAGCCTGAGGAAACAGTCCACTGATTCACTATTACACTCACACACACACAAAAGAAAAAATTAAGTACAATTTACAACATTTTCTGATTTTTTTACACCTAAAATATGTTATTAAATAATTCACAAAGTCGCTGGTGAGGAAAAACAAAAACCTGCTAAAGAAAAATGGCGAACGCTGTAAATGAGGTACGTCAGGTGCTGAGCCTGAGTCCGTCCATCAGGATTCCTGTGAAAACTGATTTCTTATTGAGTTACAGTTAAATAAGGAGATCATTACATCAAAGACGAGCACTGAGGACAGTCTCCAGTGTCATGGGTCGGGAAGAATGAGGCAGCATTTAGGGTCGTTGAGTCCATTTCAAGCGTCGGGAAAAAAATTTACAAAAGTAAAAAAAAAAATGTTTTGTTGCAAGCTTGTGAAGCCTGACGATGCATTTTAAACTCTTTAAATAGAAAAATAAACTTAGATCTTTTTATTTGCTGCCCCAAAAGCAACTTTTTTTTCTTTTTTAAATAATCGTTGTTTCCGGGGTCCTCAGATGCTGTTGCTGAAGTGAGCAGATGAACAGTCATGCTGAACTGATACACAGTGCTTCAGGGTGCAGTCAGTGTAAGGCATTTACCGTGTTGCTAAGTCTATGGCTGCTGCTAGCAGACCTGGCAGCTGTTATGTCTTGCGGCTGCTCCAGATCTGCTCTGGTGTACTCCTGTGGTCCGACGAGTATTCGTAAGGTGAGTGATACCCCATTGGCGAGCGAGAGTCACAAGGTGAGCGCTGGTCTCGGGGAGAGCGGGCCCCACTCGCCGACGCACGCTGCTCTGTCTGCCAGTTCGAGTGGTAGCGGTAAGAAGAGCGGTGGTCCGAGTGGGACAGATCCTTTATGTCCAGCCGATGGTCCCTGCTGAACCGGAGGTCCTCCAGCTTTCTGTGCTTACTGTCGTAGTATCTGCTGAGAGGCACATCAGACTTGGTGTTAATGAGCAACAAGACAACTGTAGCCAAATATGTTTGCAGCGCTGCAGAGCTGCTTATTTAAAAACACCAGCTCATTCTGTTCTGTTTCATTTCATTGCATGATGATCTGAAAGGACACCCTTCTGAAATACAATAAAAAATATAATTTTTTTTAAGAAAGCCATTTGATAGCCATGCCCCTGGGCTACAGTTTTCACTAGAGCAGGACAGGAAGTGACAATCAGCTGTTCACAAAGCAAAATAACAGAAAAGTGGTCATTACCAGTTATTTGGGGATAAAGACATTTATGGATCAGAATAAATAGAGTCCATGCTGGTTTCTGCAGCTAATCCTCACAGATCAGGTGGGTTTTGTAATGTGCTTAATTCAACCTGGAACCGATTTAAAATAAATAACTGGGCAACATCTCCCAACATGAAAATACTAAATAAAGAAACATCAAACACTCCAGACTTGTGAGCTAGGTGGTTCCCGATGTCTGTCTGGATGCCTAGAAGCTCCTCCTCACCTGTCCTGTCTGTCCCGACTGTCTCCTCTGTAGTGGTCTCTGTCTCGATGATCTTTGCCGTTGCTGAAGGAGGCGTAGGACCTTTTCCTGGGTTCCTCTGCTGTGCTCTTCTTGTGAGACTCTGAGCTGTGTCTCTCTTTACTGTTGCTGCTCTCGTGATGTCGAGCTGAAGGCTGATGCCTGTCAGAGCTGTAGCTGTCCCTGCTGCTGTCATCATGGTGACAGCTGTCCTTCAGTCTCTCCACATCTGGGGACAAATCAGACCACTAACATCAACAACAGAGAAATCGTATGCTATTCTGTTACATAAACTATCTCTCCTACCGGCATGCTTGTAGCTGTGAGTGTTCAGACTTCTAGTGTTCTGCTCCATTGCCTAGGGAATGAGAAAGACCGAGACCATCAGGAACTTCTAAAGGGTTTTCAGTTGATGAGATGAGGAACTCCTTCAGGGCCTTCAGACATACCTGAGCATTTTCTTGTCTTTTTTTGATTGCATGTTTATATAACTTGTGTAGTTTTCTTGCATCAAACTCTGTAAACTTGGAAACGAATATCCAGAGATTCCTGTAAAAGAGCAAAAACCTCAGATCAGAACACCGATGCTCGTTAGGGAGTGAGAAAACAAATGAAGGACAAACTGACTTCCTCCACTGTTTGATCAGGTCAGGATTTGAATATTCCTTCAAGCACTCTGTGATGTGGTCTCCGATGTTAATGAGGCACTGCCTGGTGTGTTCCAGCTGCTCACGCTCTGACAGGCCTTTCTCTGGCCTGTCCAGCTGCTTCAGGGCAGCCTTCACCGGCCGCATCCTCTCTTTACACTGAAACACAAAAGCCCCGAGTCAGAATCACTCGCTCTGCAGGTGGATGGACAGGAGGACTCGGATTACAATCTGGGACAACGCATTAGCAGACTAAAACCTCTCTGGTGAACATCCAGTTTCTTCGCCTTATCTAGAGAAGCTGTTCTTTGTATGAATGAATAATGCATTTAAGGTGCAATATGTAAGTAAAAAATGACATCCTGTGGTCAAATGTCGTTACTGCAGCCCATTTTTCTAAGCAAAAGGTTACTTTCGCACTCCTGTTTCTTGAGTTACATGGCTGTTGCCAGTTACAGATCAGCACCAGAAGATTCTAGATAAAAAGCGAAGGTAAGTCACACACAGCAAGTTGATACGTAGACAAACTAAGGGTGCACCGATCTATCGGCCAACCAATCTATGGACCCTGATCTCGTTTATTTTTTTCAAGATCGGTGATTGGCCAAAAACTGCACCCCTAGTAAATGTTTAAGCAAATCTTGGCTATAGAATAATTTTTTTGGACAAGTGTTTCAAAACGGGTACAAAAGTTTTGTCTTCAAAATTAGAAAAATGAAAGTCTAAAGGAAAAAAATAATTTTGTAGTTCAAACAGGAATACTAAATCTGTTCATTTATATTTGAGAACATTTCCTCGTCATGTCCAGTTGAAACTGGTATTGTTTCAAGAGTATTCATATTGGTTTTCTCAATAAAAGGAAATTGGAACATTGACGTAAACTGCTTTTACTTAAGACAAAATCGGTATTGGCAAGTCAGGTTTTTCTCAAGATCGGTGATCGGCCAAAAACTGCAAGCACCACTAAGATAAACACTGTCATATTTGATGTTAGCACTCGTGGGTGTTTTACCGTACTAGGGAGCACTTACTACACTTGTTATGGTAGTATGTCTCAGTCATTATAGGAAATGTGGTTGTTTGCGGACTTGCTGTTATAGCTCTGAACGACTCATTAAAGGATGTAAAATGCCATGATTGACTATATTCACTTCACACAGTGATAAATAAAAACGTAGCTTGAGATGGCTTTAGATCCAATTTTGGATTGTTAGCTCAACATTAGCCTCTAGCCTACTTCACCTGATGTTGGAGTAAAACAAAAAGATGCAGTGGCTTCTTAGGGGTACAAGAAACTTCTGGGTCGCTCTTGTTTACTAGCTTTGTTTTTTTTTAAACAACTGGAGCTTTTTCTATGGCAGTGTTGATTTTCAAATGACTATGATACTGCGTTAGCTCGGAGCAGATTTGGCCACCTTGCAGGCTCACAGATTGCAACCATTTTGAAAGGGGAAAATAAGGGAATCCGTCGGCCATCTCAGAATGAAATTTGTTTCAATGTAACCTTCCATCCAACATGATGTAGACATTAGATTGTTTTGTGATTATTTCACTGTAAAATGCTTACATATTGCTCCTTTAGAACACCAAAGAGTTTTAAACTCTAACCTGTTGCTTTTAAACTGGTTTCAGTGAGTGTTGAGCCATAAACCTGAGCAGCTTCACATGGGGCAGCCCTCTGCTGACCAGAGACTGCACTTAACTGTTTTGTGGTTCATGTAGGTGCCCTAGTGGGAGATCTCTACCTACTTTAAGGCAATAGCTGTTTACTGTGCAGGTAACTCATATAAAAGATAGCAGTTAGCTTTTTCAGTTCACTGACTGACAATAAAAAGACAAGAAGAATTTTGCTTTTCTTTTTTGTTGGCATCATGGTGGAGCTTAGAAGTAAAAGTAAGAGAGTAATGTCTTTGGATGCAAAGTAAAGAGCTAAACCCACAGTGAACATCAGCACAGACTGATGGTGACCTGGCCTTTGTGTTACTGGACTTGTGAGTAATTACTTTTTTCTGTCCAACAGAGTGGATCTTTTTACTTCGTGGCTTATTTAGTATCAGTTGGCTCTTGTTAGTGTTAGCTCATTGTTAGCGCTAGCTACAGCTGGGTTGTTAGAGGCAGCTGTAATTTTACTTTCAACCAGTAGGAGAGATAATCTAAATATGAATCTGAAATGTTGCTTTAAAAGAAACAATGTTATTATTTAATCCTGCTTAATTTGCCTTTGCTCTTATTAAAACAGGGATGTACTGAAGTGGGATGGACGTACCACACTGAAGGTCCTCTGGTCCAGCTCCTCGGACTCGTCAGACACCAGCAGGTTTTCTGCGTTGGCTGATTTATGGACAAACGGGTCGGAGGCTTTCTTCACGCGTTCTCGCCCCTCAGGCTTGACATCACTCTGATGAATCAACAGCTCATATGAGGAGGCTGATTCATTTACTCTGTGCATCATTCTCAACTCCTCAATAACGTGAGGCCTTCCTCACCTTCTCGGTGTCGTCCTCCTGTTTATGTATCGGCTCCAGAGACATGATCTCCATCTTTTCCTTTGACTCCATTATCTCTTTAATGTCACAGCTGTCGCTCTTCTCCTTTTTCACATCTTTTCTTGTTTCTTTATCTTTGCCATCCCTCTCCCCTGATGAGAAAGCATCCTGCTCATCCTCCTCATTGTCCTCCTCTTCCTCCTCCTTCACAATCACCTTCTCTGCTCGTGTCCATCTGTTGGAGACCTTTACCTGGGTCGTCTCCTGGAAGGGTTAAGTGTCAAAACCATCAAGATGAAAATGTTTTAATGCACTAGGCAGCAAGACTAATGACTATCAAGTTTACCTTATCTTCATCCATTTCATCGTCGTCGTCGTCATCATCATCCTCGTCATCGTCATCCGACCTCTTGTCTGATGGGAGGTCTGAAGAAGGACTCTTTGTCACCTCGTCTGCCTTTGATGATTTCGGAGCTTTGCTCTTCCTACTTCTGGGTTTCCTCTTACGTGAACTCGCCTACACAAACAGAAACAGCTGATGTGAGCAGACTTAACGTTGGGGATAAAATCCAGTCAGAATTCCTGGGACTTACTGTTCCCGTTTGTTTCTGTGCTTCCTTTCTGGCCAGGTCCTTGCTGAGTAGTTTGATGAGGTAGTCTGCTCTGGCTTGTAGCTGTTTGGCCTGAGGCTTCTTGTCAGGATCATCTGGGAGCAGCTGGTTAAACAATTAACACAATAGACATTTGCATTACAGGGTAAAATAAAGGAGAGGTGATCTAAAGAGTTATTAAACCTAATGGAACTCTAGAAGTTCAGTTCTTACAGGAAATGACAATCGTGGTTGAAGGATAAGTGTTATTGTTTCCTATGGCTGTCTCGTGGGAAGAATCAAACAGGATGATTTACATCATGATGGATTCTAGATTCTTGATTTGACCCATCACAAACCAGAACTACATCTGATGTCAGCATGACATTTAGCGTTCAGACACCAGACTTCAGCGTTGGACTCAACATGGAGAGCAAAGACACCTGAGCTCACCTTATGTGTGAGATTTAGGTCCGGGTCCATCTTGATCATCTCCCAGCTGCCGTAACCATATTCATAGATTCCAATAAGGAGACTGGAGTCGTCCTCCTTCCCCCACTCGATGTCAAAGTGTGCAGCCTTTGAGTGGCACGGAATCATATACCTAAAGAAACCCAACGACATTAATCATCAGACCTACAGCCAGGTTTACCTACACCTGTGGATGAAGATCATGTCTATGACAACTCTAATTAGCTTCAAAAATATCTTGTTGGTCAAAAGGGATAAAAACTGCTTTTCCTAGTCACACAGACCCATAAAACATCCCATGAATCCCAGAGCTGCCCAGCAGAGATCAAACATGAAGAACATTACTTCTTTCTCTCCTCTGGATCAGCAGGAATGGCTCTGTGGAGTGGAGCCAATTCTTCTTCATGAGAGATGACGAGTTTGGCATTGACCTGGACCCCAGAAATCCTGAATGTAGGGCCTTTCACCTTCCCTCTTCTTCCCCCTGAAGAGAACAGGAGGAAACAAGGGCCATTCATTCAAGACATGTATTATAAGACATTCAACTGTGTAGAAAGAACGATAATTAGCAGCTGGTTCATCTGTGCTGCCAGGTGTTTATGAAGACACTTCCTTTAGCCAGTAGCTACAAAACCAGGACCTGGTGGTGCAGAATCTTCATTCCACAGACCATCTTGGTCATTTGTCACCGGTTATTGTACTGGGATGTCGGTTTGGCAAGTTCAAGGGGCCTCAGGGTGTTAACTTCACAGATGGCTGAATGAAAGTGTAAACCATTTGTGCTCTGACTCAGAAAGGCACTCCAAAGTGGGGGTATATTTTCATATCCCAGGATTCATTGAGGACCAACTGAGGGATTTTTGTTCTTACACTAGTAGACAAAGCAATTCAATTCAAGTTTATTTATATAGCGCAAAATCACGACAAGAGTCGTCTCAAGGGACTTCACGTAGTAAACATTCCAATACAGGTCCTCATTTATCAAGCTTGCTTACGGGGTCGGAAAACTGCGTAAGTAACTTTCCACGCAAACTTTGGGATTTATGAAAAAAAAAATTAGCGAAAAATGTGCACAACTTTAAGTTGACTAAAGACCTTGCTTACACACATGTTGGACATGGAGAGCACCTGCAGTGGATAAAATTATGAAATCCTGCAGCATTATCACTTGTACTGCTTCGTTTTCACACAGAACAAGACCCCCCACACGCACACACACGAGCATGCGCACACACAGACTGAAGCGCAGAATACAGAATGCAGAATATCAGCAGGGGGACAGATTGAGACAGAATGTCATGCATCTGTGTCAGTGTGTGTGTCCTGTCACTGTGACCCGATTGATCATGCGCCCTGGCTAGTTGAACAGGGAAGATCTCTGTTTGGCTGACTGGTTAGCGTGCATGGCTTTAACCTGGGAGTCTGGGGATCGAATCCCGATTGGAGCATTGTTTTTATATCCGCCACAGATCTCTCTGAAGAATTCACAACATTGACGGCTTCAGCAACGCTGTGCCACTCCGTGGATTTTCTCTTATTTGTTTTGCAAAAGCACTTCCTTTCATTTCTCCACCTCACCCACAAGTACCTCAATTTCTGCTTCTGTGAAATTGAGCTTCCTTTATCTGCCTTGATCTACGGTCGCCATCGTCATTGGCGGAGCGCGGCAACAGCCGGCTTGTGTACATGCATGAGATCCATAAGGCACTTTGCATTGACTATTTATGGCAGTAAGTGGGCGTGGTGAGGGTGGGATGTGACTAAAATGCAGCTTAGAAACATTCTAGTTAGTCTCCGATTTTTGAAGCGGAGATTGCGTGCAGCTGTGCGTACTCCATGTTTGATAGATCACAAACCTGCTTGGCATAAGTACATTTTTTTTGCTGAGCTTAAGTACGGTTTTAGTAAGGATTCTACGCAATGTTTGATAAATGAGACCCCAGTTCATTAAGCCCATGAGTAAAAAGTTTCCATTTAAGGAACCCAGCAGGTTGCATCGAGTCACTGACTAGTGTCAGTGACTTTACAGCAATCTTCATACTAAGCAAGCATGCAGCAACAGCGGAGAGGATTACAGTTGTAAATGTCTAAATATATTAATATCTAGTGGTAAAAAATGTAAAACTTTAACCGTCCAAATTCACTGCTGCTCACTTCTGGTCTTAGCGGTCAAGGAAGGACCCACCCGACGTACATGGACTGGTCCTTGCAAGGATGCTAACCTTGGATTCTGACACACAGCATCTTCTGTCTCAGGTCAGCTGCACTTGTATTCAGTCCTTCAACATTAGCTCCAATCATTTTGAGCCAAATATATATCAAAGCAGCACAGAGAAGATCAGAATCTCCATCTATCCACACAGAGCAGCCTGGTGCTCCAACAATCTGACCAGAGCTGCTTAATTTCTTGTCTAAAGTTTGGCCATCAGTCCCAAATGTACCATTACAGCTTGTGAACATTAAAGCAGGAAGCAGCTGGGATGTGTGTGACTGATGCAAGCGGCCAAAGGCCCAGTGTCAAACGAGAAGATAGTGAGAATCAATGCAAGCGTATCCAGACACATTAGAGTCCTCTTTAAACATCTTTTGTATGGTCGATCTGTCTATTTCATCTAACTGCATTATTTGGTTCTTTTTTAAACACAGCAGAAAGTTGTTTTTACTGACGGTTTGACTAACGCTGTAGTCTTCCTCAGAGCTTCGCCGGTGTTGGTGACGTCACTTGCTTCTCCGTTTATCAGCGGGCAGCAAACGACGATGACACCCTCAGCTGCCCGCTCTCTCCTTGCCGATGACACAGTCCCATGCACAATCTAATGTGTAGACCCCCTCGTCTCTGTTCATGGTTGTGTGACCACGTCTCCGTATTTCTATGGCTTCCTTTATCCATCTTTTGTATTTTTGTTGTTTGGCGTTTATGATCATTGTGTTGTCCCAGTCCATTATATGATTGTCCCTTGTGCAGTGGTCTGTTACGGCTGATTTCTTTCTTGTACTTTCTGCTTCTTGTTTCGCTGCTCTTGTGTGTCTTCAACTGGTTTCTTTCTCACACTCCGGTTTCTCCTATGTATGTTTTACTGCAGAGTTCACACGGTAGTTCATATATGACTCCACACTTATGTCCTGCTGGTATCTTGTCTTTTGGGTGTACTAGTCTTTTTCTAACTGTTGTGTATGGTTTTGTTGGTGTTTATGATGTGTTTTTTCATTATTGCTATTATTTTTTCTGTAATGCCTTTGATGTATGGAAGAGTTGTAACTGGTTTTGGTTCTTGTCTTTCTGGTTGTTCTTTTCTTTCTGTTGTTGTTTCCTTTGTTTATTGCTCATGTCGGGTATCCGCAGGTCTTTAAAGTATTTTGTATATGTTGATCCTCTTGTTTACGGTTTTGTTCTTCTGTTAATATGTTTGCTGGGTGGTATAATGTTCTGATCACTGACATTTTATGTATGGCAGGGTGTTCTGATGTCCATAATAAATATTGGTCTGTGTGTGTTGGTTTCCTGTATCTGTTTATATTCAGGGTCCCATCTTTTTGTCTGCTTCTTTTCATGTCCATGAATGCTATGATGCCGTCTATTTCTTCCTCATATGTGAATTTGATGTTGTTTGTGTCTTCGATATTGTTCAGGTGTTCTCTGCTTGTCCTCTTGGTATAATTTCTAGTATGCCGTCCACGTAGCATTTCCTTTATTTTATTTTGTAGTTTGGGGGGCAGTGGCTATGGCTTTTAGTTCTAAGTCCTCCATGAAAAACATTAGGTTATGCATATAACCACTGTTCCCTGAAGCAGAGGAACGAGGTACAACGAAGGTACTATGGGACATCACGCCCTCGTGTGGCCTGGCTGAAGACACATTTAATCACTGCCTGTCAGGCAAATGAAAGTGATGCTGCGTGGAGGCCCCGCCCTCCACTTACAAGCGACCGCGTCACTTTCATTCCTCAGTTCGATAGCCGCTCTTCACCAAGCTGGGCCGTGAATGGGGCAGCCCTGCGTTGTACCTCGTTCCTCTCTTTCAGGGAACAGTGGTTATATGCATAACCTAACATTCCCTTTCAGTCGATTCACTCGGTACAACGAAGGTTCTATGGGACGTACGAAACGCCCCATGAGCAGCTATCAAACCCGGCCTGAGATTGCAACCTAAGATGGCAAGTCAGATCCAGCAGAGAGAACCGCATGGGCCACCGAAGGGGCCAAAACATCCAAGCGGTAAAACCTCACAAAGGTGTGGGGTGTAGCCCAGCTTGCAGCTGAGCAAATGTCACCAAATGAAACACCTTTAAACAGCGCCCAAGAAGCAGCCACACCTCTAGTAGAGTGTGCCCTGACCCCTAGGGGCAGCTGAGTGCCAGTGACGCTGTAACACAGAGAAATGGCCTCCACAATCCAATGAGAAAGTCTTTGCTTTGACAAATCTTACCCATGGAGGGTTTGGCAAAACACACCAACAGTTGGCCTGTTTTTCTGATACTCCGAGTGCGATTTATATAAGCCTGCAGAGCACGAACCGGGCACAGACAATGCAGTCTCCTCTGCTCCTCAGAGGCAAAAGGAGGACAACTGAAGCCCGAAAGCTCTATGGTCATGGAACCGTAGTTGAGCAGGATGACCTTAGGCAAATAAGCAGCATTTGGATGCAGAGTGACCCTAGCTCCATCTGATGACATTTTCAGACAGGAAGCGTGAACTGAAAGAGCATGAAGGTCTCCCACTCTTTTAGCCGATACAAGGGCTAAGAGCAGAGCTGTCTTATAAGACAGAAGCTTCATACTGATCGATCCAATAGGCTCAAATGGGGGACCACACAGGGCCTCCAGCACCAAAGCGAGGTCCCAAGGAGGGACAGATGATCTAATAACGGGTCTCCGTCTGCGAACCCCTTTCAGGAACCGAATGGCTAAAGGGTGAGCGCCAGGAGAAACTCCATTAAAAGATTCATGGCAAGCCTAAATGGCTACCAGGTAGACCTTTAAAGTGGAGAATGACAAGCCCTTGTCCAGCAGATCCTGTAGAAATGACCACAATGGAGCTCTGTGAGGGAACTACTGACCTGTTCAGACACCACACTTCAAAAGCCTTCCACTTATAGGCACATAAGTGGAAGGATGCTCTTGAGCTCTGAATAGTATTCACCACAGCCGGGGGAAGACCTTCAGCTAACAGGTTGGACCTTTCAGTAGGTAGGCCTGCAGCTTCCACAGATGGGGCAAGGGTGCAGCTCTTCCCCTTGTGCCTGTGACAGAAGGTCCTGTCTGATGGGGAGCTTCCATGGGGGGGGGGGCTATCATCAGACTGATGATCTCTGGGTACTTTGTGGGCCACTGAGGGGCCATCAAAATCACAGATGTGCTCGACTTGCGCACTCTCTCCATTACTGCTGGAATCAGTTCCACCGGCGGAAAAGCGTAGAGGAAAACATGGGGTCCTGCTGCGAAACTGCAGCGTCTCCCAGGAGACGTTGTAGGAGCTTCACGCGCCGTTCGAGAGTGGGACCGCGGAGTCGGCGACAGAACTCGCATGCCTCTTGGTCCACAAGCACTCTCCTGGCGTGGAGAATTCCCAGACAAACCGAGCACGCTTCGTGTAAGTCCTTCTCGTGAAGAGAGAATCCACAGCCCTGAGGACAGGGGTGAGAAGCGGCTTTCCGTGAAGCGACGTCCAACACGGTGGTCATTGCCAGACACACAGCAGAACGAAGTGGAGAGGCTGAAATAGTTGTCGGATGTGTTCTCAGCGAGGTGAAGAGTGCAAGAACTGAGGAGTGACAGTGACGCGGTCGCTTATAAGTGGAGGGCGGGGCCTCCACGCAGCATCACTTTCATTTGCCTTACAGGCGTGATTAAATGTGTCTTCAGCTAGGCCACACGAGGGCGTGATGTCCCGTAGTACCTTCGTTGTACCGAGTGAATCGGCTGAAAGGGAACTCGCAAAGGGTAGCTGATAACGGGTTACCCATGACGAAGCCTTCCAGTTGTTTGTATATTGTTCCGTCGTGTGTGAAGTATGTGGAGTTCTCTACCAGTTGTGCTGTGTTGTTTGCTGTGAGATTTGTTCTTTTGTGTAATGTTTTGTCCTGTCTGATTCTGTTTACTACTATGCTGATGGTTTTTTGGGGCTGGTGTTTTTGTGAACAGGGATGTAACATCGTGTGAGATTAGTATGCCGTTGTCTTCTATTGTAATCTTTTCAGTTCTTTTGCTAGTTCTGTGCTGTTTTTGCAATGCTGGTCTGTGTTACCTAATAGTGGGCTGATGATTTTGCTGATTTCTTTTGCCATATTGTATGTCGGTGTACCTATGCTGTCAACTATTGGTCTTAGTGGAGTGTTTTGTTTGGAGAAGGGAGTGACACCACCAACAGTGGCGAAGCTCTGAGGAGGACTACAGTGTTAGTTGAAACGTCAGCAAAAACAAGGTAAAACAGCTTTCTGCTGTGTTAAAAAAGAACCACGTAATGCACATTAGAGTCCTGCTGGTTCTTCTGCTGCTGACAGTTGCAGCCCAGTGGGATGCTGGTTTTATACCAGCCTCTGATGTCCAAATAAAACTGGACTAGATTAGTATAAAATAAGAGAACTGCTGGATTACCGGATGACTTCTCTGGTCCACAGGGGTTTTCCCGTAGCGTTCTCACACACCCGTTATGAACAGTTTCTGCCAATCGCTTCAGGTCGTGTTCGGACTTCTCAACCAGCTCAGCATCACGAGCAATGGCATCCAACCTGAGTTAAAGCCACATGTTTAGGAGAGAACGTTCTTTTCTTTTTAAAACAACTAAATCCCACTGAAACAGCTCACCTTTCCAGCGGTCCTCCAAATTTTTTGTAACTCTTGACAAACCTGTTAATAATTCACATGAGGAGTTAGTGAGAACCTGACAAGGGGATCACGTTACAGTCCAGAGTTGCTGTTGGAAACTTGATTCACCTGCGGATCTCAGCATCAGTAAAACCTTTGATATTTTCCCGTGGAATGGTCCGAGGTCGTCCTCGTTTTTTTGGTCTTTTTTGGTCTGAGGCAGAGTCGCTATCGGAGCCAGAGTATCTCCTGTTTCTGCTGGGCCGACCCTCGTTGGAGTTAAAGCTGATCTGTTGGTGCGAACATGGAAAAGCCATTGGGCTGTTCAACAAATACTCAAAGCAGAGAGAGAGAGATAAACCATTCTCCAAAGCTTTCACCATATGTGATTTGGCTTTAATCAGTCTAAGGTCTGGTGGAAATGATGAGCACCTGTTTTGCACAATTCCTCATGCGTGGTAACAAGTAAATTTCTTCTAGCTCTTTTTGTCTCTCTTCCTCCTCCATCCTCCTCCTTTGCTCCTCTGGGATGATGTCATCCCAGCTCCGCTGACTTCGCTCAGAGTCGATATCTATATCCTCATCGTCCATCATGGAGAAGTTGGCAACCTGCACAGACAAAGTCGACGAGGTCAACAGAAACACCCGAGTGCTTTGGAACAGCTGAATGTTTTCAGCCTCTTTCTGACCTTGAACTGAGACAGCAGCTCCTCTCCTACGGTGGACGGCCCCGGGTCGTTTTCACGAGTCTCTGCTCTCTTCAGGATTTCATCGATGTCCATTTCCTAAACAACAAAACATGACAATAACTTCAGTATAGTTTACCCTCCACCATTACTCACATCAGAGAGGACGGCCTGTCCAGAGTCTCTGATGTATAGAAATGGCTGAATTCTAACAGGATGTGGCAGGAAACCACCAGATAAATAAAACCCACCACCAGTCATTTATGAGTTTATCTCAAATGTATTTTTAATAAATATTTGAACAATTTAATAAAATACTAACCTAATTTAAAACCCACAAGTTAACATATTCCCGAATAAATGATCTAGTTTAAACCAGAAACATTTTCCAGACTCAAGTCTGGTTTACAACAATGAATTCAAATGCAACGTGTTCTTCAGAGTGGTGGTGTTCTACTTTTCTTAATCTCTGGTTATCTCTTCTGCATTGAGCATGTTTTTAACTAATACCTTTTCAAATTTTCTATACCTAATTGTGTGTTTTACTGTATAGTGTACAGCACCTTGGCCATGATTAATGTAGGGAGGTGCTTTATAAATAAATGATGATGTTGGATTCATCAGTCCAAGTTTAGTAACACACACCTGAGGCTCCTGCTCTTCCCCTTCTGGCTCCTTGAAAAGCTCCTCAGCACCAAATTTCAAAATGGCCGAGAGCTCCTCCTTACTGAACGGCGCTGAACTGTAAGCAAGAAAACACTTAAGTTAAACCAGCGTTCTTGATTAGAGAGCACCACCACAGGGAGGGTCAAGTACAAAAGGCAGAAGGTGGTGTGTGCTGCTTGCCTGGAGGGAGCTGCACCAGTATGGAGGACAGTTTTTCCTGTGGTATCCATTCTCTGAATGACAAGATGGTCTAAAACCATTTTCTTTTTGGCCCTCTCGATGATATCCTCCTCCACTGAGCTCTTTGTCACCAGTCGATAGATGTTTACCTGCAGGTCCAAAACACAAACACTGATATATAAATATATATGTATATATAATACACATGAGGTAACTACTGATATTAAGATAAAAGACACCTCAGTGTTGACAGTGAAAGTCACGTGTGCTTGTTAAGCAGGATGTGTTTATTGTACCCTGTTTTAACCACATGTTTCTAGAGTTGTTCTACAATAACACTTACTGATGCTTTACTTAAACCACATGACTGCAGAATGATCATGTTTACCAGGGACAGGTGTTTCTAAATAGGTCACCCCAACAGGACAGCCTCAGCTACTTACTAATAGCTACAGAGGGCTGATGTGTATCTGAGGAGAGCTGCCTTTCTTGTGGACACAATTAGTACGTTTACATGCAGCCAATATCCGGGTTATGATCGGGTTAAGGTCGGCATTCGGGTTTCTGAGTTGATCAGAATAACCCGTTTACAAGCATAAATAGAAAGAGTTACCCCTAACTTGCATAACCCGATTTAAATGCGGACGTTGGGGTAGCGTCAGGACGTATGGACTACGTCAAGACGCAATATGCGTCATTTCCGGTTTTTCTTGTTCCGGTATCCGTGAAAACAACATGTTTCCCAGTTCGGAAGAGATAGCGACCGCGTTTCTTTGCGCTTTAGTTTCTTCGTCACCCCAAAAGTGTGGTGCTGTGCCGCGACTCGCCATTTTGCTCCCAACTTGTTGTTTACTTCCGGTGTTCTGGCGCATACAAGACGTCTCGCTACTCAAAAGACCACGATTCCTTGCGAACAGAGCATGCGCAGAACACACGCTTTGATGGGGATGTCCCGATATGCGTTTACACGACCAAACAATCGGGTTAGAAAAGGGTTACCCCAGGTGTAGTAACCGGGTTTTTAAAAACCCGGTTATGAGCATATCCGGGTTTTTGGCGGTGTGTACAAGGACCTGCGGAACCGGGTTATTGTGAATATTCGGGTTTTAAAAGGGTTACTGGCTGCATGTAAACGCACTGAATCAGGACAAACCATCAGATTAGCACATCAGGGGCGATCAGAGGAGAGAGAGAGTGAGAGATGACCAAGGTGGTGCTGAATAAATCTAGGTGCTCTCTTCCAGCCAGGAAAGTAAACAAAATACAGCTAATCACAACATACTAGCTGCAGTAGCTTTCTTGTTAGATGACTTTGAGTGACGTATGCAAAACACAGTTCTTCACTGTTTAGAGGAGAGAATTTTGATTTTCTTTAATGATTTATAACTAAATGAAATAATGAACCCAGTTCACCTTTAGTAAAGTGTAGTTACACTGAATTTCTACAATTTTCATTCAGAGTCTGGCCAATATCTTTAAAGGAATCAGAAGATGTTGGACTTCTCAGCAGTAAAAACTCACCTGCCCTCAAACTGGTAAAGAAATAAACAACCACAGAAATAGGCAGAAGGTTTTGGGTTGATGTACAACAATAATCTAATTGTATAGTACCCGTCTAAATCAGGGACTCCAAAGTGCTTTACAGAGCGCGCGCGAGCACACACACACACACGCACGCACGCACGCACACACACACACACACACACACAGATAGCAATGAGAACATAAGGGGAAGATAAATAAAACATTGGATTAAAGTGAGAAGCAGAAGCCAATCAGCACCGACCTGTCTCTTCTGACCAATCCTGTGGGCTCTAGCCTGGGCCTGCAGGTCATTTTGAGGGTTCCAGTCAGAGTCAAAGATCACCACCGTGTCAGCTGATGCTAGATTGATACCAAGGCCACCAGCACGTGTAGACAACAGGAAGCAGAAATCCTACATAAACAAGAAAACAACTACTTTGAAAGAAACGGTCACGGTTTGTTGTTACTTTGCATAAACTACGAAGTACCTCTGAACCCTCTGCGTTAAAATGATCCAACGCCTGCTTCCGCATCTCCCCTTTGATGGAGCCATCTAGTCTCTATAAAGATCAACATTTCAGATTAACCAAACGAATCATTGACATTTTGAATAACTGATGAAACATGTTCTTATTTCTGTGTATGCGGGTGAGTAGGTACCTGGAAAAGGAACTGCCGGCTTCTCAAGTATTCAGCCAGGATGTCAAGCATTCGTACCATCTGGGAGAAGATGAGAACTCGATGACCTCGCTCCTTCAAACGCACAAGCAGCTTATCCAAAAGGACTAGCTTGCCACTGCTGCGGATCAGTTGCTTTAGAAAGAAAAAGGTTCAGTTAACACATTTAATAACATACCACGAAAATGATGCTCAATTATAGTATTATTATGTTGAATCTTATTTTGACGAGTGAATCTTGAGGAACCTGTAAAGCTTCAGCCTTGTTGAACAGCTCATGGTCCTCTGGTGGCTTGATGAGGTAACAGTGGTTACAGCACTTCTTCAGCTCCATCATGATGTTCAGGAAGCCAGACGTGCTGCCTTTGGTACCTTTACTCAGAGCCTTGTAGTTCCGGGTTAGAATCCACCTGATCACACAAAAAAAAGATGCAACACATCTCTAAAGCACCCCACTACTCTTCATGGTTTATGATTCATGTTAACAATGTTTCACCTGGGTCCTGATATATTAATATGTGGTTTATGAAGAGTTAAATTTGAGAAGCATCAATTCCAGAGACATGTTATTTATATTATTTTATTGTGAAATTATTATCAAAAGAGTTTTTAAATTTACTGCATTAATTTGATTTGACAGTCAGGTCTGTGCAGATCCTGATATACCTACTAGCTTACTCAAAATATGTCAGATATCATGATCTTCAGGACCTTTTCTCCAAATGAATCTCCTAAAAATGTTTCTACTGAACATCCAAAATAATTCTAGATTGTTCACCCTTAAAGGAGATTGCAGCTACAAATTATTGCCAGCAGGTGGCAGAGCTGCACTGCTTTCAGACGCCTGTAAATTTCTCACTTTTGTTATATTGCAGCCATTTGCTAAAATCAATTAAATTTGTTAATTTCTTCACTAACGTACACACAGCACCCCATACTGACAGAAAAACACAGAACCATAGACATTTATGCAAATATAATAAAAAGAAAAACTGAAATATCACATGGTCCTAAGCATTCAGACCCTGTGCTGTGACACTCATTTATTTAAAAGGGCATTAGATGAAGTGAAAGTGTAGAAATGAAGTAAAAAATTGACAAGGGTCTAAAAACTTTCCGTACTCACTGTAACTGAAACATTAGATAACTCAAATAATGCATTAACCTGAACCTAATCTGGGATTTGAACCTGCAACCGTCTTGCTGCACCACCATCAGGCCATATCACAGAAAGAAATGAAGTTTCAAAACACTGGAATGTTTTCTAAACCTGCAGCTAAATCAGACATTTTCAGCAGCAACAATGATAAAATCTCTTACTTGTAATACTGTTTCTGGATTGCGCTCATCTCCACCCTGAGGATTTGCTCCACTTTAGCAGGCAGAGATTTCTCAACATCCTTCTTGACGCGGCGCAGGAGAAAAGGTTCCAGTTCTTTATGGAGACTGGTGTAGCCAGAGTCTCTGCCTTTACCGTGCTCCTCCTCAAACAACTCCCACGAGTGAAATCTTAAGAGGAAAAAATAAATAAAAACAGCAGACAACAGCATCGATGTAGTGAGTCACTAGTGTCTACATGTTGACTGCACATCAAATACAGGATTTTCAGGTGTTTAAAATGCACTAACATGACAAAGGTTTTATAAACAACTCCAGGTTTGACACGGCCTGTTTAAATCCAGGTCCAAACTCTTTCTTCTGCAAGGTAATTTCAAACATGGCAGAATAACGCAACAAACAGCTGATGGGACCTACTTTTCAGGCATGATGAAGTGCAGCAGAGACCAGAGCTCTTTTAGGGAGTTCTGCAGTGGTGTTCCTGTGATCAGGAGCCTATGAGTGGACTTGAAGTCCATCATAGTCTTGTAGAGGAGGGAGTCGTCATTTTTTAGTCGATGAGCCTCATCCACCCCAATGAAGGCCCAGTTAACGCTGCCCAAAAACGACTGGAAACAAACAACTTACTTGTCAAAGATGACACATAATACACCAAAAATAAAACAACACAGCAGAAAACCAAAAACAAAAGTAACAACAGACACATTTATGAAAATCAACTGTCCAGCTGTCTCAGGGTTCTTTCCACAGACATCTGAGCACCTCCCACAGATGTTCTAGATCAGGGCTCATAGTTCACTTTAGAGCAGTCCAATGTGTTGAGCTGTGTTTTAGGTCGTTAATCTGTTGAAGGACCCACGACCTGAGATTGGGAACAAGCTCTCTGACACTGGGAAGCACATCTGGGACCAGAATGTCATCAACGTGGGTGTTTTATCTCCACAAATAACAAGCCTGGAGGAGCTTGCTAATGCTAGCGGTTGGCTTCTGTTGGAAGAGATGTTCTCTGCTGATTCTGAACGCTAAAACAACAGAAAGGCCTTCACGAGTCCATATGGGCAAGTCCAATTCACTGTGTGACAAAAATCTGTCAGGCTTTTCAAATCCTAGAGTTTCATCATGTTTTCTAACAGAAGCCAATGCAGGAAACAGGTGTAGGAGACTATTTTTATGTTCAGCCTGCAGTAAAAGGTCGGAGTAACAGATTAAAATACCACAGAAATAATCATAAAAAGATGTTTTTTAGTGAACCACACCTTTATATAAATCATGCTCATAAAAATTCACCTTATCTTTGAGAAGAATCTCATATGTTGTAAGAAGGATGTTGAATTTCAGTCTCTTGCTGTGAACGTGCATCCACTCGTGTGTTCTGATCTATTAATTAAAAACAAATATATTTTAACAAAATAAATGAAAGAAAATATATAAAAACACATCCTTATAAATGGCTGCCAGTGGCTGTGTATTTCTGAATCCACATACCATATTCCTGCTGCTGATGTCTCCTAAGTAGACCACAACATTCATTTGTGGGGCCCAAAGGAGGATTTCCCTCTGCCAGGATGTTAGTGTAGAAAGAGGCACTACCAACAAGAATGGGCCATACAGCTGGTGCTCGTGAAACGAGTAGTTGAGGAAAGAGATGGTCTGGATGGTCTTCCCAAGGCCCATCTCATCAGCAAGGATACAGCTGTTCCCCCTGGGAGGTAAACAAGAGCAAAGAGTCTGAATGTTCACATTTTATCTAAACAGAACATGGTTAAGGATCGTTTCCACCCAGTCTGATTTAGATGCGACACACTAGGCTTGATCACTTCCTGCCTGACGAATCTGAACTTATTTGTGTGTGTACACAGCCCAAACCAAACACCAGAACTGAGATAACTGGGACAGAATAAACATGTGCTGTGATATCTTACAGGTGTCATTGTAATGATATAGTTAATGTTTTCTTCTCTTTAGCTTTGAGTGGTCAGACTGTCATGGCTAATCAGTGTAAATGATTTCACTACAGCTCAGAGAGCGGTCACAAAACTCCAACTAAATGGTAGATTTCCTCCCACATCAAGGCACAGTAGACCTTTTAAACAGTGTAAAGACTGTTCAGACATACTTGCTCCAGGAGTGGGCCATCCAGTTCAAACCATCCAACTGGTAGTCTCTGAGCTCCAGTCCATCACTTCCAATGTACGATGGTTGTTTCTTCATGGGTACAAACCTGGGTCGTTGCTTCAACAGCTATCAGAAACAGTCAAAGAAGGTGGATGTTTGAGGAGAACATCTGTTTAACTCTGTAGAAGTCATTATACTAGCAGTGAGGGGTGCACATTACTCTTACTACTAAGTTACACAAGTGAATACCGGAGGGTTAGGGATGTTGCTTAAACACCCCTTGGAGTGAACATGTGTGTTTGTTAGACCTCAAGTGGTGCAGGGCCAAAGGAGAAACACATATCCACACAACACCAGTGTGCAAAGGAGGACAGTGGCAAAGAAAATGTTGCACATGCATTGTTTTTGTTGTGCACCCTTGCTAAAAGTGTTAAGAGTTTGGATAAATGTTTGAGTTATTTAAAGTTCATCATAGCTATTACAGAATAAATTTACACACCTCTACCTTTGTAACACAACGCGACACAATTAAACATATATTCAAAACAAAAACAGCCCATTTAGTCACGTTTTTGTTCATACCAATGCCACATTAGTCTAACTGGGGTAGTGAAGGGATCCATTGTCATCCACCAGTTATGACAGGGCAGGACAGTTTCTCCAGGATTCAGACACAGAGACCATAAAATACAAAGCCCTTTGAGACATTCTCGTTAAAGGTGTGGTTCACTTATTCAATCAATACATTAGCAGTGGTCTCTTAATTAGGAATGAATGCCCTGTAAGTCCTAACATGGGAGAAAAAAGCACCGGTGCACCTGTTTCAGGAACTAGAAGTGAGCCACATCACAGCTGAGCTTCAGATGACAGGATTTGGAGCTTCTGCTGTGTTGTGGAAATGCTAATGCTAAGGGTTAGCTTCTACTAGCCAAGACATTCTCTGCTGTTTTTCGTATGCTAAACTAACAACAGCCTTCCCCAACACGAGTCAAGATGGGGAAAACCATGAACTAGGGCTGCACAATATATCAAAAAATTTTCATCATCGGGATAACAGGACGTGCGATAGGCCCATCGCAAAGCATGTCAAAAATGGCGATAAATGTTTGGTTCAAACATTTCCATCCGTGTCATACATCAACTTTTTGTAAACCAGCTGTTTTTTACGCGGAAGTATTATTTGACCAATCAAATGTAGCCCTTCTGATATGCGGCCAATCCGATGGGTCCATTTACGTAATACGCCCGCCCCCTACGTAGACCCTTAGGATGGAAAGCAACACCCGAACTGAGTTAGCGGCGCCGTTCCCTTGTTCGTCATGCTGGCTCAGAGCAACGAACGCACTTTGTGCTGAGGTTTCTGGAATCAGCGCTGCTTTCAAACGTGAACGTGAGTCCGCTCGGTGTCGTTAAGCAGCTGATAATAACCGGGCTGACTCCGACACGTGCCGGTGAACCAACCCACCTTCATGTCGCTAGTGTTCCACCGGGTGGTGATGTTAGCCCCAGGCTCCGGTTAGCTTCCAGCTAAAAGGCTACAGCACTCTCCTCCCAGTCCCACCCTGCTAAAGAGGGCCTGGAAAAGTTCCCCCACACATCAAAGTGATTTTTAATTTATGAGCTTTTATAACCTTGTTAATCAGGATAGTTGATTTGCTGCTGCACATAAACTGTCAGTCAGAAGCTCTGCTAGCCAGTTGTCTTAGAGGAGCTAGTTCAATTTGTTAGCTTGTTATCAGAATCATAGTTGCAGTTTCATCATCTGAGCTGCTTTTTAAGATCTAGGTAAACTTGTTCAATTTGGGGTTAAAAACAAACGTTTTCACATATTTTCCATGTAGTTTTTTTGCCAGTTCCTCTTCTGAAAGGTAAACAATTGTTTTTCCCTTTCCCTCAGAAAATCTTAATATTCTCCTAGTTTGGCCCAGCTCAGATCTCTTCCCAATTACAGCAACAGCCTTCTATCATAACCACATAAGTGGAGAAAATGTTCAATAACAATGAGAGAATTTGCTGTTGCATTTAAGTGATGTTAACTATTATTTAACATTTAAACCTATTTTCAGATTTTTTTATTTATTCAAAAAACCCTGGTAAGGGATGTTTTTCTGTATTTGGAGCATCAGAAAAAGTTTTATGGTGGAAGTGATGTTTTAAAGTCACAGAGAAGCTGCATGCATGCAGTTTGTTGTTTTGCTGCTAATACAGTAGCAGGTGCAGCTGCATATTTTTGCAATAAAAATGTTATGTTGTAATGGAATTCATGCATTAGTTTTTGTTTGCTTTGAACCCAGAGCAGACGTCACACGCCGGACGACATCAACACGGCATACTTTAGTATTTGTTCATTTATCGCAAGTAATATCAATATCGCAATATTAAGCACTGTTATCGAATATCGCAGGTTTTCCTAATATCGTGCAGTCCTACCATGAACATTATGTGACAGTGTGATGCAGATCTGTCAGGCTTTTCAAATCCTAGAGTTTCACCGTCTATTTTCTATTAGAAGCTAATGCAGGAGATAGATCTATTTTCATGTTCAGCCCGCATAAAAAAATTCAGAGTGATCGATTATAATCAGAAAGAATAAAAAAAAATATTTTTTCAGTTAATCACACCTTTAATGTCTAATTTAATCTTTTTTTAACTATCAGTGATTTAGTCTAGAGTAAAGTGTTAAGCGCTGTGATAAACTCTTGCAGAACTGAAAATATCAACAAAAATTTAGTATCGTGTGGAGTTTAAAATCCTATAATCCCGACAACCCTACATGCTGCCTCTGTCTGAGGGAAGCTACAGAAAGTGAGGTACCTTGAAATCTCTGGATGGAATGGTTTTAGACTGGTTTCTGCTCATGTAGTCATCAATGCATTTCTGGAACTTCTTGGCAATCAGAGCACCATCTTCCCAGCTACATTCTGAATAGGGCAAACCCTGCCATTTACAAAGGTAGTCTGGGTAACCAGCAGCTGACTTCTGATTTGAATGTCCTGTAAAAAAAAATAAAAAAATCAAACATGAATATGTGACACAGACCCACATTATGGTATCCATGTAGTGCACCAGTTTGTGTGTGCAACCACACCTATGATCCGCTCCACTAGCTGGTACTGAGAGTGCAGGTCATCTATCAGTTCTTCCTGACAACTGACATATTCTATATCTTCTGGAGAAGCAGTCTGTAGCCTGTAGAGAAAGCAAATCAGCACCGTACTTTTTGAATGAACCAAGGTGGGTGATATGTGGGTCATGTTATGTGTGAGTTAAGAACAACAGATGACTGTGAACTCATAAAATAGCATGATTAATTTGATTTATTCTCCCATGTTTGGTTGACAACATACTAGTGAATACAGAGATGCTGCTGGATATGAACAAGACAGAAACACCAGTTCCTTCATTTATTACATCCTGTTTTTGTTAATTAATCAAAAGAGGAAAAAAGTGTAGCAAAACCACATCCCGTTCATAGTCATGTGGATGAATGTCCGTGCAACTAAACTTAAGACATAAACAAAACATTTAAACGATAGACATCTGTGCTTTACATAAAAACATCAGGAGTTCCAAGTGAAAACCTGCAGCTTGCAACCAATTCAATACGATCCAAAACAACAAAACATTCTTACCATTTCTTTTTCTCTTGTTCTTTCTTCTTGAAATTGTCCAGTTTCTTCAGGCCCCTGACGTTTTGTAACTTTAGTGTCTCCTCCGTCTCCCAAGTGTTGTGGATGTGTGCCCAGTTCTTCCACTTAATAAAATACTGGATGTCTCCAGCCTCTTTACTAGGATCAAAGTTGCTGTTGGGGTCCCCGTCTGCTTCTATAGCGTATACAGTGGTTGCACTCCCTATTGCTTTTGTATGAGAGGAAATCACAAGTTACTCATGTAAAATGTTTGTTTCAGGGAAAAACAGGAATAAATGTGTAGTTTTAGTAAAACGAGGAAGACTTTTGTCAGAGGTCTGAACCAATCTCCTTCAGAGCAATCGCAGATTCCACACCTGGTTTAATTCCTGTTAAAACTACGACTTCATGGGGAAAGATTGCCCCACTTTGTGCTCCTTACCTTTTTTTCTCCCTTTTCTGCAGTCCATCACTCTTTCGATTGTTTCAAACTCATCTTCTTCAGGCAGCAGGACATCTTCACCCAGAACCTCCACCAGATCGTCTGAGTCGGTCTTCAGCTCCTCGTCCTCCTTGTAGCTGATGTTGACTGTGGCCTGCCGTCGTGGTCCGGCAGCCGCCATCTTGGCAAAGTTATTCTCATCCTCAGAAGAAGAACCCTTCGAGGCTTTCTTTCTCTGGATGCTTTTCTTCCCGTTCCGAGAATTCATCCTGAAATAAAAAATAACAACTCCATCAAAAACTGATGTTTTCAACCATATTTATAAATGACTTTTGCAGATTATAAACATGGTCCTGCTGGTGTTTACAGATCCTGCCTAAAACTGTGGCCTGCACCAGCTTAAAGCTTTTACTCTAAGACTCTTTCATTTATATCATAGCAGCACACAGAAGAAGCTCCATGCAATAAAAATAGTGCAGGTCTCAAAAGTTCAGTCTGGTTGAACTCCGACAGAAACTCGTGGCGTGTTTAGACTGCTCTCCTTTCACGGGATGTCATGGAAATGAAGCCCCTTACCAGAAGAAAAATATGCCTTTAAAATTCTTTAAAAATATTTCTTTATCTTAAAGCCACGACGTCTCAACCTGTGGGAAGACTTGCCAGGTGACTGAAGCTGCTAATACATAAATGTGTGTTTTATAGAGGAACATAAACTGTTACAACAGCCTCGAGACACAGTCAGACGATAGATGATGTAGATCTTTGCCTGATCAAAATAGACAGAAAGATTTTAAAGTTGTTGCAAAACAAGAAAGGTCAGCCTCCAAAGAGCAGTCCAGTCTGGGTGGGAAACTATGAAGTTGGAGCTTTGGCTTGTATATCTGATTATTCCTCAGTATGAGAACCTTTTAGTTGATTTTCATAGCAAAAGTTAACATTTTTACAGGAATCAAACAAAGCACCAAACAAACAATCATAGCAAACACGGGCTCAGAGTTTCTAGATCCAGCAGCAGATTATTTGTAGGATCCCGTCCACTTACTTAGTAGGAGGCTTTCTGTTTTTGACCTGAAGACTGGGCTCATAGTCTGATGTGGTTTCGTTACTGTTCTCCTCCGCTGAGGAGTCGGATGCAGAATCACTTCCAGAACCAGAACCCGATCCAGAGTCAGACGAGCCTGAATTTCTTCTCTTTTTAGATCCACTTGACGTCTCGGATTCATCACTGCTGGAGGAGTCCTAAAAATGATTAGCATACAAACAAAATAATCATCAGATGGCAGCGTTCAGACTCAGTTCAGACCTCTAACTGGTTGTAATGAAGAATGGGTTTAATGACTATAGAAAGGCTGTCCTCTGGTCGATGGTGTTAACAGCTTTACTAACCACAGGTAGTGGTAATCCACCAGGTTGGTTAAGACAACCACAGTGCTTTTCACTAGTGATGCACCAATATGACCAATACCGATATCAATGTCACTGTTATGGCCGATAACCGATATTTGCCGATACCAATATACTGACATTAATGCTTCTAAAATCAGCAGATTTTGTATAGAATGTAAATTATTAAAGCTGAATTTACATTATTATGTACACACATCACACACATTTACACTTCTGAGATGATTACAATCACTGTCACATGATTAAACAAGTACACATCACCCCCCTCACCCTCTGAAACAGATTAACAACTGGAAACAAAATGGAAAAAATATCGGTTGTTAATATCGGCCCAGTTTAATTTATCGGGCAGATACTGATATGTTAAAAAATGACTACCATCGGCCGATACCGATATTGATGCCGGTGCATCCCTACTTTTCACATTAAGGGGCAAATAAGTGACCGACTTTATAAGTAGATGGGGAGCTAACACCTTTACAACAATGTAATTTTTTCTGTCAAAACAATTATTAAAGAGTTCATGGAGCGTCATACCCATAGCTGTGATAGCTATATAGTTAACGCAACAGTTACCAGCGTACAGCAAACACACTCATACCAACACTTCACTATCCATAAATCATAATCCATAATTACAGTACACAAACAAGGAAGATGAATGTCTCCATCCCTCAAACCCTAACCCTTTGCCCAAATAAATAATTGACCCCCAATCATTAAAGTGTGTATTGCTTATTTTACTAAGAAAAGTCTGAAACACATAGACTAACTGGGACAGGATAATAACCTTACACATTCACTTTATAGCTCAAAGGCTAAACATGACAATAATTATTTAATAAAATAATAATACTAATATTTCTCATTAGTCGTGATGACAAACCCTTTGCTGCTCCGACACAATTTTAGCTTTATTATTGAGCAAGAACTCAACTGATGAATATCAGTTTGAGTGTGTGTGGTGCATTAAAAACACAAATAACTGCCAATATTCAACACGCCCGTGTTTACAGATGAATAGTTGGTAGTTACAGAGCAGAGAAGTTGGACACAAACCTCATCAGACCCGCTGTTGGAGGAGCCTTGTCTCTGTTGCTGCTGCAGCTGCTGTTTCCTGAGCATCGCAGACCTCTGCACAGCTAGAATGCTGGGGTTGGACTTCCAAAACTGCAATCAGTTATTAAAAGAGAGACAGGTGAGCCTAAATACTTCCCGGCAGAGTTTCACCAGAGAATTTTCATTTTTATGCATCCCTGTTTTAATTTTCCCACATTGTCCCGGTTTAAAAGTGTTTATGTTTTGATGATTAATTTGTTTTCATTTTATAAATCTGCTTTACTTAAAAACTCCCAGAATTTATTTTTGTTTGATAAAATCAAGCGTCAATCTATTGTTTGCTATTATAATGGTGTCCTGTCAGACTCTGGGATGATGATGATGTCTCTTTTCTGCTAACTACTAGCTTTTATCTGGAGGTTCAGCTCCTCCAACACAGAGCTAATTGTCCTCAGTCTGATTTGTGGCAACGCTTCACACAAACTGTCACCACTTTATTATTTTATATCATAACATATCATTCTTTACCCCCAACAGCATTAATAATAATAAAGCATTTATAAACATGTGTCTCTCTTCTGTTGAAGTGTTTTCATGTTGAAGCTAGCTGACACTGAGGCTAAAGCTAAATCACCTTCTGCTCTGACCCTAACGTAAACTTTTAAATATAGTTTGGATATCATCCCGCTAAACATTTGTTGCTCTGTGTTAACTGAGCTCACTCATGTCTGGATCAAACAGAATGGACCAGTTTACCTCTGCTCCGTCAATGTTTGATTTAATCTGTGGTTCTGCCTTCTTTTTAGACTTCTCTGTCTCAGAGTCCGACTGGCTGCCAGAGTCCGAGCCACTTCCAGAGTCACTGCTCCCTGATCGGCTGCTGCTACTGGAGGAGCTGGAGCTGGAGCCTGAACTGGAGGACGAAGCCGAGCCTGATCCAGAGCCGGACTCATCATCAGAATTACTGCCAGGGGTGAAGAGAAAATGAGAGGAGACCCATATTTTAGTAAATACCAGATGAATCCTATTCAAATCCATCTATTTCACAAAGCCAGACCCCGTGTTCAATGAAATCTGTTCATGAGAGTAGTAGCGAAATACCTGACACACACAAGGGTCGGGCGATTTGTATAATTTTTCCCACCGTCAATTGTCAGTCCAATAAATGATGATGGGCGATATATTCATGCATGTGACTCTTTGAGCAATGTCATGATACACGGACTGATTTCCAAATACAGTAGAAATACAAACACGTTTTTTTTATAGAAGTGCAGCTTTTTGTTAAATTTTGTATTTGTAGTGTGGTAGAGTGATGTATAAACTAGAGGCCGACCGACATATAGCCGGCTGACATGTTCAATTTTTTTCGATATCGGCAGAAATTATTTTTAAAAGTTAATTAAAGAAAATAAAAATCAGGCACCTGTGTGGCCAACTGCCGCCACTTAGACTGGAAAAAAGACCCGGAAGACCTCAACACACCATGAGCCAGCCCACTGGCGCTGTGCTCCAGATAACCTTATGCTGAAATAAACAGCAATAAAACAATGTACGGTTCTAGCATAGAACCTTCCTTTTACCTACATCATTTTATGCTAAGCTAAAGCAAAATTTACTGCTTCCAGATCAGGAGAACGAATTAGCTTGTTAGCTAAAAAAATATTTTTTCTCAATTAACGAACTCTGGGAAATCTAACAACAGACACAGTTTTACTTCCGAGTGGAGTATCCCTTTAAGTTTCGTGTTTAATGTTTGCACTATTTTTATGTATAGTTTAGAATTAATTTTTACTACAATGCGGTAGTGTGCTTTACTTTGTGATTTTTGTTTTATTTGAATATTTTACCTGTACAAGCCACTATTTTGCACCATTATTCTGGGTACGGATTGATTTTCTTTATTTCAAACACTTAAACAAATACTTGAATATCTAGTATATATATATATCTATCTATATATCGAGAGAGAGAGAGAGAGAGAGAGAGAGAGAGAGAGAGAGAGAGAGAGAGAGAGAGAGAGAGAGAGGGAGAGAGAGAGAGAGAGACTTAATAATCGGCTTTAGATATCAGACATGGGCAATAAAATTCTTTAAAAATAGTTATCGGCCTTAAAAAAAAGAAAACATATCGGTCGGTCTCTAGTATAAGAGGCTCGTATTAAAGACGGTTAAAATGTTTAAAGGAAGCCACATCTTTGTTTCCCTGTGTTGCCCACCATTGTGGTGTTTTATATAACACCCAGACGTGGGGAGTTAAGAAATCATGTTAATGAAAACATGACAAAAGCTACAAGATATCAAAAAGCAACATGTCACAATTTGTTTACAAACTACAGACCCCAGAGCGACAACCAAAGCCCTGCAAGCCTCACCTAGTTACAGGTCAGAGGTCATCAATCAACAACAAAAAAAAAGAGACAAGAACAAAACCTCTGCAGACCAAAAACAACACAAAGACCCGTTTAACACCAAAAAAACCCTGATGAGCCGCAAGACTTCTGGGTAAAAATTCTGTAGAGTAGTGGAGCTGAGTGACTCGTTCTATTGGGAGTAAAACACAAACATCACACCAACACGGTTAGTGTGTGATGGTCTGGCACGGATTTGTAAGTTTAGGCTTCTTCTAGCTCCTTTTAACAGGTGCAAAAGAATTGGTTTTAGTTGTAATGTGTGTTATTACTTTTATAACTCTTTCTGTCATTGGTCTTTATTTGTCTGTTACATGCTGCGTTGGGCGATACGGCCTAAAATCAACATCACGATATATTGAGGATTTCACCTCGATAATGATAAATGGACGATAGGGCTGCACAATATATCGCAAATATATTGTTATTGCGATATTAGCATGCACAATATGCATATCGCAAAGAGCAGATAAATATCATAATGAATGGTCAGCTCAGATGTTTGCTACATGTAATGCATTCTGTCAGTCAAACATAAGCATGATGTTTTTTTAACACATCAAATACAGCTCTTCACCCATTTGGGTGGGTTCTCATAGGTCAGATGCCCGCCCCCGAGGCAGACGGCACCTAATTTTTATGGTTAGCAAACACCTGAGTTAGCTTAGTTCTGCTCTTTCTGCTGATTCTGCTTTTCCTGGGATCCACTGGTTGTTCATTTGCTTTTCCCTTGCCTCACAACTTTTGTTTTTCTCATTTTAATGATTTATTTATTCTTTGCTTTTGATTATTTTTGTTCCTGAGCAAGTTATTTATCGCAAGTAATATCGTCATCGCAATATTAATCACTGTTATCGAATATCGCAGGTTTTCCTAATATCGTGCAGCCCTAATGGATGATAACTACAGGTATGTGCAGAAACAAAAGTTGTCCACTAGATGAAGCTGTAGCTGTCACATGCATTACGTTGAGTCACATTTTTACGCTACTCAAGTAGGGCTGGGGGTAAACGATTATTTTTAAAACGATTATTCTGACGATTATTTTATCGAATAGTCGACTATTCTAATGACTATTTAGAAAATTAATCTAATGATTATTTTTCTATTGCACAATTAACAAAAACCAGAAAATCTCAAATAAATTCCTCAAAAAAAATTGATAAATTCTTACTGTAAGAGAATAAACACTACAGGCCTTCCATTTTGTATCACACTGCTTTTATTGTGTTGCGGTTGGTTATGTTCTGGTGACGTGTAGAACTTAGGAGTGCAGGCTGCTGCCTGAGAGGTGGTAGAAGATGGAGTGTCTCCATGCTGCTTTGTTTTGGTCACTTATGTGCGTGAGGCAAGTGGTGTTACGACCCTTCCTGGGGAGTTTGGCTCGTGTGCAAAAAGGAAGGGACAATAACGGGATTTAAAAGTTAAAATGATGATCAGGTTTATTTACAACTACAAAAAAATCATAAATCTTTCCATCCACAGGTTGGGAATAATAAAACTAATTCTGCCTGTGGGGAATTAAAACAAAGTACAAATAACTAGGGATGTCCCACTGGGCAAAGATTACTGGGTTCTGGACCAAAATAAGGATCTCCAAAAGTCCAAACTCTAAACTGGGCGGTTAAACCAAACTTAAGGTGATATTTTACACTAAACCGAAAACCCACAACACTCTAAAATAAAAGGGAGATCTGCACCACAAAAAGCTCTAAACCAAAACGTAACAGCTTATCCAAACGCAAGAAGCTGTTAGCGAAGATGCTAACAGTAGCTTTACCAACATTAAGTTCAAGTTACCAAGTTTAAATAAAACAAAAACACCCAGCAGCAAACAGACCAGCACGGAGGAGAGACTGCTACCACCAAAACAGCTCTCCTAATGTCTGAAAGAAGCTCCTTTATGAAGGGAGAAACGCTCCCGGTGATTTTCTACATCTGCGATAGAGACGAAGCAGCGCATCTGACCCCGGAAGTTGTTGTCCGTTGCCGGGAGATGAAGGCGGACCACACAGGAAAATAATCTAGTAGTGGACAAACATTGTTCCGGGTCTTCCGTATTTGGCGGAGATGTAAGTGAAGGCAGAGAAGAGGGCGAACTAGAGGAAAAACAGGCAGATTCCTCGTCTATTTACAAACTCCTGGGGATGCAACAAGTGGTCGCGGTGCGTCGACTTCCGGATCTGACGTCGACAAATTTTTAGAATAGAGTCGTCGACGTCGTCGAGGCTTCGCTACAGCCCTATACTCAAGATGGTACAGCTTCTTAAAAGGACATGAATGCTGCCAACCTACACACATCTTTTCATGTTTTTATTATCAAATTTATTGACATGGGAAAAATTATCTTGATAAGAGTCAAGATATTTCGATAATGATACATTTTTGATTTATTGCCCAGCCCTATGTTGTACTAACACTGCTCTATTTGTTTGTTCTTCCTTTTTATTGCACAGTTCAGATAAACTTAATTTCATTTCATTTTACTTTCATTTGCTGCTTCAGGTCCTAGACTGATGGAAACGTGAAATCTGCTCTCTGGTAGAAAGTTTATTAGGAGAATAACCGACCCTCACCTTAAGGTGGAGCACACCTGGGTTATGAAGAGGAAAACGATCTGAAGCACAACAGGAAGTAAATGTCTTGGCCCTACTTCTGATTCTCTTAAGGATGTAAAGCAAATCTGAAGGGTTGTGCCTTTTAACAGTCACAATCACATTTGTTTAGAGACTCGTTTAATAAAATGATTGGTCTGAACTGGCAAACAACACAAATAAAAGCATTTAGTCCTTTACAGACACACAGTCTCATGGGCCGATACCCTCACTAAGCCTTAGAGAGAGTGAGTTCAATAAAGCACTGCTCTTCTTTGTCTAATAAAATATTTGTAAGCTACAAGAGCCACTGTAATATCTGAGCTAATGTATTTTGTTTGACATATAATTTAATAATATTTTTAGAAGTATACAAAAGCCCAAAAAAAGTCTCCAAATAAACATTTTTGTTTCAACAGTTATTAGCATATTTACTATTCTAATATCACATCATTCAATAGAATCAGTTTGGTAGCTCTTTCACATTAGTTGTTTTTAGTTATAAGGAAAGTCAATATCAGAGTGGATAAGAAGATTTAAATGGATATATGAAAGCAAACGGATGCTTCTGTTTAAGTAAAAAGGAAATCAGTAACAACCTATTAAAGGGAGATCCTACGTTCCAGGAAGATGATACTAATACTATGTACAACTTAGATTTAAGGGCCAAACATTAAGGGCAATGCTAAGAAATGGGATTCCACTTTAATGAGAATGCTGCAGACAGTACAGAGAATCCAAGAAAGAAAGGATAAAAAGTCATAAAAGTGACTCAAAAACAAGCCGTCCCTGTCACTAAGTAACCAAATGATGATAATCTCCACAAACCTTCTATAAGCAGCTGTGTGTGTGTGTTCTGCAGCCATGTTTGACATAATCTTCCTGATCATTTGGCCTTACCTTGACTCTCCACTGCTGTTGCTCACACTTTCATCCTCACTACGTCCAGCCATGTTAGAGCAAAGTGCAGACCTGGAAACGTGTAGTGAAATGTTCCAAGTTATGGACCTGGGGGAAAAGATATGAAAAATAAAATGTATTAAATCAAAACTTTAAAAGGAACTGCGTAGGGCAAACAGTAGAGCTGATGCCTTAATACTGGAAAATTTATTTACTGATGTAATGCTTTCCCTGCTGTGCTTTAAGACTGTGTGTGCAAAGATCTGCACATCATGCCAAACAGAAAGAGAAACAAACTAAACAAAACACTGATCGTCTAAATATTATGAAACAAAATATGGTGACAGCTCAGTATGACAACTGATTCCCTGCATGATGCATTTAGTAGAATCGATGTAACGACATTTAAACTAATCTTAAGTTATTAATGGAAAGTATTTGTTGTGAATGACAAGGACTATGAGAATAGTACACATAAGACCCGTTATAGCTCTGGATATATTGTGAATATACCTAAGCAGAGATGCTGCTCAGGTAGCAGTACTTTTATCACTGCCGAGGCCTAAGGCCTACGCAGTTGCAGCGTTTTATTCGCTCAAAACGGATCAATAAATTCAAAATAACCCCCCTATAAAGAGACATCTTATAGCTAAGAGTCTACTGCTAACCTAGTGCAATACATTCTTCTGAGTAAAACTTCCTTAGTGTGGCTAACAGCTTAACTTGTAGCGTTAGCCACCTAGCTAACACCGGCTACTAAAGCCTGGCGGGGCACGATAGCAAATATAGGGAAACAGCCACCGCGCCAGTCTCTTCTCTTCAGATCCCTGTTCTAACTGTGAGCAATTGCCACAACTACTTACACTGCCAAATACTAGTGACGACTTGAGACAGTAAAGCGTTTATAAGTAATAATTGTACAATTTCCTACATTTAAGCTGATGCTGTTTGCTAGCTGAATGAGATTTACCTTAGCGGCAATGAGTTTTCAAATCATAATAATTAAAAGACAATAAAACGAATCAGGACAGTTTGCATTACAACTGAGAAACGCTATAAAGGATCAATCAACGCAGCGTGACTTCTTCAACTTTACGTATATAAAGACTGTATTAAACACTCAGAATTGAAGATCACTGCTCTTCAATTGTGTTGTCAAAAAAGTAGCGCTAGCTAGCGTTGTAAAAGCACGAGGCTAGCACGGGAGCTATCATGATAAAAACTAATGTGGAACCAATAGTCACTTGTTGTGACGTGTAATACAGGCATTTAACCGCTCATTAGTGTGCAAATATATGTGCAAATATTGAACCACAGCAAAGTGTTAAGATCAGTTTCACTACTAAACTCAAATTAGCTAACTAAACTTCACCATCTTGTTTTCATTCTCCGATCACATCTCGCGGTTTTAACATCCAATGTTAGCTTAATTTAAATTTTGTTCATCTACATTTATTAACTAAAAAAACGAACATTACCTTACGTTGTTGTGTTATCTGAGAAACCCCAACAAAAATGGTAATCAAAATATGATTTCCCGCTTCAAAGGTCCAGTATTTTTCTATTTAACTGGCGTGCTGACAGCGGCATTTAGCTAACGCTGCCGTACTAGCTAGCTGTAGCTCCCGGGTCGGGAGAACAGCCCCGAAAAAGTAAATCCGAAAGAACTTGTGGAATTCTGGTTCTTCTCTCCGTTCAAAACTCGAGTAAATCCACTGCGCCGTTGAAGCCAACGCCAGAGTCTGTTGGTTAGAAGCGATGTAAAACAAAAATCAAAACAAAAATCTGGCATTTCACGCCAGAGACTTCCAACAACAACCGGCCTCTGCCATTACGACGTAATTGTTCACTAGTAGGAAACCCCGAACAGTGACGTCACGACCTCACTCATCAGCACACTGTTCTCAGAAAGCCTACGTTAACTTCTAATATATACATATATTAGAGAGAGAGAGAGACAGAGATATGCTGTAAACAAAGGATTTCAAAAGTGGAAGTAGTGATAATTTGTTTTCAATCAACAAGCAGTAAAGGAACAATAGAAACCTGAATCAAATCAGTATCTGATGTGACCAACCTTTGTCTTCAAAACAGCATCAGATCCTCTAGCTACACTTGAACACAGTCGTTGAATGACCTGGGCTGGTAGGTTGTTCTAAATATCTTGGAGAACTAAGCGGTGGGGGTGGGGGGGTGGGGGTGGGGGGGGGTTGGGCAGTGCCAATCTATAGTAGTCTTTAGGCAAAAAAGCAAGGTACACTCTGGATAGGTTGCCAATCAATCACAGGGAAACACATGACTAACAGCCATGCACACACTAACATCTAGGGAGAATTTAGAGAGAACAATGGACCTATCAGTCATATTTTTGGACTGTGGGAGGAAGCTGGAGTACCCAGAGAGAACCCAGGTGCACAGAGAGAACATGCAAATTCCATGCAGAAAGACCTCAGGCCAAGATTCCAACCCGGGACGTTCTTGCTGCAAGGCAACAGTACTAACCATTGCTTCACTGTGCAGCCCGCTCATACACTCACCTAAAGGATTATTAGGAACACTAATATGGTGTTTGACCCCCATTCTCCTTCAGAACTGCCTTTATTCTACATGGCATTGATTCAACAAGGTGCTGAAAGCATTCTTTAGAAACGTTGGTCCATATTGATAGGATAGAAGCTTGCAGTTGATGGAGATCTGTGGGGTGCATATCCAGGGCATGAAGCTCCCGTTCCACCACATCCCAAAGATGCTCTATTGGGTTGAGATCTGGTGACTGTGGGGGCCATTGTAGTACAGCGAGCTCATTGTCATGTTCAAGAAACCAATTTGAAATGGTTGGAGCTTTATGACATGGTGCATTATCCTGCTGGAAGTAGCCATAAGAAAATGGATACATGGTGGTCATGAAGGGATGGACATGGTCATAAAAAATGCTCAGGTAGCCTGTGGCATTTAAACGATACCCAATTGGCACTAAGGGGCCTAAAATGTGCCAAGAAAACGTCCCCCACACCATTACACCACCACCACCAGCCTGCACAGTGGTAACAAGGCACAATGGATCCATGTTCTCATTCTGTTACGCCAAATTCTGACTACATCATTTGAATGTCTCAACAGAAATTGAGACTCATCAGACCAGACAACATTTTTCCAGTCTTCAGCTGTCCAATTTTGGTGAGCTCGTGCAAATTGTAGCCTCTTTTTCCTATTTGTAGTTGAGATGAGTGGTACCCGGTAGGGTCTTCTGCTGTTGTAGCCCATCCGCCTCAAGGTTGTGTGTGTCGTGGCTTCACAAATGCTTTGCTGCATTCCTCGGATGTAATGAGTGGTTATTTCAGTCAAAGTTGCTCTTCTATCAGCTTAAATCAGTCGGCCCATTCTCCTCTGACCTCTAGCATCAACAAGGCATTTTCGCCCACAGGACTGCCGCATACTGGATGTTTTTCCCTTTTCACACCATTCTTTGTAAACCCTAGAAATGGTTGTGGGTTAAAATCCCGGTAACTGAGCAGATTGTGAAATACTCAGACCGGCCCGTCTGGCACCAACAACCATGCCACATTCAAAATTGCTTAAATCACCTTTCTTTCCCATTCTGACATTCAGTTTGGAGTTCAGGAGATTGTCTTGACCAGGACCACACCCCTAAACGCACTGAAGCAACTGCCATGTGATTGGTTGGTTAGATAATTGAATTAAGGAGAAGTTGAACAGGTGTTCCTAACAATCCTTTAGGTGAGTTTATATATATTGCACTATATAAATAAACAGAACATGTACACACACACAAACACACACACACACACACACACACACACATATATAGATAGATAGATAGATAGATAGATAGATAGATAGATAGATAGATAGATGGATAGATAGATAGATAGATAGATAGATAGATAGATAGATAGATAGATAGATAGATAGATAGATAGATAGATAGATGATAGATAGATAGATAGATAGATAGATAGATAGATAGATAGATAGATAGATAGATAGATAGATAAATAGATAGATGATAGATAGATGATAGATAGATAGATAGATAGATAGATAGATAGATAGATAGATAGATAGATAGATAGATAGATAGATAGATAGATAGATAGATAGATAGATAGATATAGATACATATATTCAAATATTTGTTTAAGTGTTTGAAATAAAGAAAATCAAACCGTACCAAGAATAGTGGTGCAAAATAATGGCTGGTAGAGGTAAAATCTCACAAAGTAAAGCACACTACCACATTGTAGTAAAAATAAATTCTAAACTGTTCATAAAAAATAGTGTTTTAGAATGCCCCAATTTTTCCAATTATTTATTGCAGTTCAAGTCATTCAAGTCCAATGAATAGCTTGAAATGGTACAAAGTCAAGTGCTGAACTGCCAGAAGATAAAAAAAAAGGTAAGTTTACTCAAAACTGAAAAATAATGTACATCTCTGAATGATACAAAAAGGCCTTTTTCAGAGAACACAGTTGTTTTGCAACAAGAGGTTGATCAAAAAGCTGGTGCTACTAATTCCCACAGGTGTTCCAACTTTTCTGGATTACTTACAACCCCCTCTGTCTGCATAAAAGCAGTGCTGGAGCACGTGGTACCATACCATCGTGACCATCAGCTGAACAGTATTGTACTGCAGATAATAGTGTGTTGCTATGGCGAGAAAAAGGTAATTAACAATGGAAGAGAGACAGATCACCATAACGCTTAAAAATGTAGGTCTTTCCTATAGAGAAATTGCAAAGAAAGTCAAGGTGTCAGTGAGAACAGTTTTCTTCACCATCAAAAGACATTCAGAAACTGGGGCAAACTGACAAGAAGAGGTCTGGCAGACCCAAAGCCACAACTGCATCAGAAGACAAAATTCTGAGAGTTAACAGCTTGCGTGGTAGGCGGGTCACAGGACAACAGCTTCAAGCACAGCTTAATACTGGTCGTAGTAAGCAAGTCTCAGTTTCAACTGTGAAGAAAAGACTTCGAGCTGCAGGTTTGACAGGATGAGTTGCGGCAAGAAAGCCACTGCTAAGACGTCAGAATAAGAGAGAGGCTTGCCTGGGCCATGAGACACTGCCACTGGACTACTGAAGACTGGAAGAAGGTATTATGGACTGATGAATTCAAATGTGAGATCTTCGGTTCATCACGCAGGATCTTTGTATGCAGTTGGGTGAAAGGATGGATCCGCAATGTGTGGCATCAACTGTCAAACATGGAGGAGGAAGTGTGATGGTCTGGGCTGTTTTGCTGGTTTCAGGGTCGGTGACTTGTACAGAGTGAGAGGCACCCTGAACCAAAACGGCTACCACAGCATTCTCCAGTGCCATTAAGTACCTTCTGGTATGCATCTAGTTGGTCAGGGGTTCATCCTACAGCAAGATAATGACCCAAAACCAGGGGCGCAACTACCTACTTTCAGAGGGGCATTCAGACACATAATTGTCCCCGTATTGAGGATTGCTAAACTATGTGACTCAATTGGAGGAACAAAGTGGAAGCAGCTGCTGTTATTTATTTGTTGCTGGTGTTTGTAACTAAATCTGTCTGCAGGGCTTTAGGCCCAGGGCAGAGTACCTCAAACCGACTAGATTATGACCTGTTATTAATAATATCACGCATGTTATTATGTTTTTTACACTAATCAGAGAAACATGTAATGTTCACAGACATCCAAACCTTATAGCCTTGAATAAAATCTTAAAAGAAAATAATTTATATAATTTTTTCAATAAAAGATTAGCTATCTGTGAACAGTTTATTTTTGATATTGTCCAGCTGCTTATTTCTATAACAAAGCTGAGCTGTGGGAGAAAATTTTCAGGCTTATTTAATCTTATTTTCCATCACCTGTGGGTTTAGTGTATTTACTAATTCACTATTAATTACAAAATGATAAAATTTACTATTAATTACAAAATGATAAATAACAGGTCACTCTGGACATAGAAAGTGTTTCTAGGAACAGGGCTGGGTTGGGAGCAGCTCACCTGTTCCTGACAGGAGAAATCTTCTCATCAGCAGCAGGTGATCAACAGAGTAACACCCAAAAATAACAACTAAAAACACCTACCAGACCGGCCCACCGGGAATTCCTCCAGTCTGGTCCTGGTTACCTCCGCCGTACCCGTTAGACAGGATGCGCATCATCTAACTCTCATTGTGACACCAGAGCTTGGCTCGGCTGGCGCTTATTAATGCAACTTTATTCTACAAAGTTTTCATAAATAAACACACAACTTAGATCTATGACCATCCTCTTCATCCTCGCGCAGAGGCGCCGTAAAGCGGTGAAAGATTAGAAAGATTCTAAGGGCCCACAGCTGTCAGGGGCCCAAAAAAGTTCCAAAGTTGAATAAAAAATAAATAAAGTTTAAAAATCACAAGTACTTTACTTTGCAGTATTTTTTCTCATTTAAGACATTAAACAAACAATCTTTTAGTATTCATGAAATGTGTATTTATTCAGAGGTCCCTTCTTTATTTTGACTAATTAATTTGAACCCCCCCCCCCCCCCCTCCCCCCCAAACGGCATAAAATGGTACAGTCCACCTGCAGGGGGAGCATCAGGCGAATGTACAGTCTATGGGCGAAGCCAGCTCTCCAGCAGTCAGACAGTAGTGATGGGAATTACGGCTCTTTTTAGAGAGCTGATTCTTTTGGCTCAGCTCACCTGAGAGAGCCAGCTCTTTCGGCTCCCAAGTGGCTCCTCAGATTTTCTGTTGCGTAGAGTACATTTATAGCCAAAATAATGCTAAACTATATGTAAAATAATTTACTAATGTAAAAAAAGCAATATATCAAATATTTATCATTTATATGGATTTACTAACTGAAAACTTTAAGAAATCTCCA